AAATTAACAATAGCTTCGTTTCATGAATATTAAAACTGTCTGGTGTTTACGCTCTTGAACGAAAATTTACTTGGTTGATTTTGATCGGGAAAAAAACCTTCATCTGGGTTTTGTATTTATGTAAGCTTACAATAACCTGGGATTCAAAGAAAGTCCTACAAAATGTTAACACCTAACGAAATGTCAAACATTTCTTAAGCTTAGTGTGGAAAGCCAGTTTTATCCTTCATGATTCATTGCAGTTGCTTAGAATTTGTTTCAAATTTATCAGAATTAGTTTGCTTCATTGAAACCAGTTTAACTTACCTGATGAGTAGCGACAACCCTTTTGCTTTCTCCGTCCTCAGATAATTACGTACGTGCAGTCGCTGTGGGAAATTCACATAATCAGATCTATTTCTGTTCTGTGTTAAGGGACTGCAATGTATTCCTTGTGTCCTTTACCTCAAATTTACATATGCAATTAAGCAGGTGCTGTTATTCTTAACTTGTAAAAAAAAACCGACTGTCGGAGTGACTTCCATCGAGATTGTCCAAAAAAAAAAAATTTTCGTTATCGCTCAAACCGTTCGGAACTTACGTGCCGATTGTCAACGGTTGTTCCTACATCACCGAAGGACTGGTAACCAGGGACATGGCTCGGTTGTCGGTTCGATGGATTTTATGTCGACTTGATTAGCTGCTAAAAATTCATCCAATAAACAAGTTAAAAACGTGACTTGCCTAAGCATGAGTTCGAAAAGTAATGATCCCGCACAACTTTACTTATGTCTTAAAATGTTGTGGTTGACCAAAAAAATCTGATTTGGCACAGGAACAAAGTTTTCCCATAAGCCATCTTGAACAATTTTTTTCGTATCTTACTATTGTCCTGCTTTACCTCACCTTGTATGATTACTATCTTACAGACCCCTACCAAAAGAACATGTCAGACGATATAGCAGCCTGGATCCGACATCCAAATCGAATGGTGACGTCAACAAAAATGGACCGCAGGTATGAATAAAGAATACGTGTATCTGATTTCAAGAAACAGTGTATCGCGTAGATAAGATGATGGTAGGTCAGAATGACTTTGCTTTGAGAAAAAATTGGATAACTTTGGTAATTACTTTCTAAACAATGTTACACGATTGTAATTGACTCCACTGGGATAAACGTCAGTGCTTTGCCTTCATCCTGACTGGAAACTTTGTAGTTGACGCGACCTGGTTAAATTTTGTCCTGATTACCACAATATTCCAGATTTAGCTGCTGTAGGAATCTCAACGTTGCTGAGGTTTATCCTTTCGAGTAGGTTTGCCGCGTAGGGTTCAATGTTAGATGTTGGTAGCAGTTCAACGCTAAATGCAATACATATTCATGATTTGCTTGGTCTTGTTTCAGACTTATCCAGACTCCTCTCGTGGTGTGGTGGGGGCTTCTGTACCCTGTAGTGTAACCACGCCCAGAGTGGCCGAGCGGCTTAGGGACCAAGCCGCTTTGCCGGCTCTTTACCTTACACCGACTACCAGAAGGAATGAGAAAGGTGACCTAGGTACAATTTCTCATTCAAGCTAGGCCCCTCTCTAACTTCTACTTGCCGAAAATTTCTTTCAGCAACTAGTTTGCTTTTATGAATCCTACCTCAGAGATGTTTTAATCTTGTGTGTTTGGCTATAGTCAGTATTTCCCATGTTTCGAAAACTCTTGAACCGTCAGTTTTATCCAAATAAATTCCAAATTGTACATTATAGTGAAGATAAATCTAATACATAAAGATTTTGAAACGTTCGAAAAGGAACGATCAGTACTTCTTGTGTTTCGAGGTGCTTGTAGAGTATTTTTGTGAAAAGTTGTCCTCTTTTTGTTGGCTTCATAGCTCTTATGGAGGGAAAATCTCTAGATCTTGACAGTTCTAGCGATAGCGATACTGGAGTGGAAGTGGATCAAGATCGACCCCATTTAAGGAGAGATCCGTATTATGACGACATGATAACTCGAATAAACACTCATTTAAAGGAAGCTGTTGAACAAGGAGCAAGTCCGTATGCTATATATGGGCTGGAAGACGACGATGCGGATGATTGGTGCTGATAGTTGAAGGAAGTTCTAGAATTTATTCAAAGAACTTCGAAAGAAAATTTGGAAGCTGCAGTTTAACAAGACCGGCTTTAATATGGTGAATTTAAATAATCCAACACCAAAGGAATTCGTCGTGGTTTTATGGCGTCGACAGCTGTCCAACTATTCCATCGGTTGCGCTCCTCTAGGAGAAGGAACATGTGAGGGCCGACAGAACTGAAGAGAAGTTTTAGCTGTGAAATTTTTCATCACATCCCTGTAGGACGTAGTTAATTTTGAAAGGTTCCTAAAATTTGAGCTCTGAGGGGGTCTTCTTCCTCGACAAGCCACTGTGCGGAGCTCGCCATGCCGAGGAAACAAATTCATCGCGAAAACTATGTTCAGCGGCTGTGTACTGACGATGCTAGTCACAGTCATCAAATGACGATCTGAAGAAAAATCTCTATATATTGCATTAATTTGACCAAAACAATTTACATAAGCGAACAATACGGAATTCAAAGAGTAATTTATATTAACAGCGTGATGTAACAAGTTACAATTTAAAGATGTTAAATTTATATGAAGTGATGCATTCAAATATGTTTAAATTATTCTGAACGCTTTAGCTTATTACCTCAAAGAGAAGAAATATTATGATAAATTGAAATACTAATATACAAAGCTTTTCAGATTTTGTAGTTAATTATTTGCAAAGGGAGATAGGTTTCAACTTAAATACCTCTATCTCTAAATATAACCCAACCGTTTTACTTTTTTTTCTAATAGCTCCAGTAGATTAGAGAATCAATTTTTTTGTTGAATACAAGAAATAACCGTTACAGTTGGGACAGTGGAAGCTTTATATTTTTCAATAGCTATAGACTCTCCTTTTAGCTATAGAATCTCTTTGCCATGGAATTTCTTTGCCTTTTCAAATTGCATGCAAACGGTTGGTGTTCAAAATTTAATGCCAAATCGAAAACTGAAAAAGAGTGTGTTAGGGTCAATAAGAAGAACGAGTTCTTTTTCTAAACTGAACTTGAACTGCCAGATGGTTAGAATCATTCGCTTCTCCGTCTTGTCTTCTGTCTTATTAAATTTCAAGATAATAAGCGCGAAGTTTATACTCTACTTTTAATGTACTTTTAAAGCGACTACTACACTTTTTACTATCATTTAAAATTGTTTATCAACAGGTTTAGTAACACACTGCCCTTCGTTTCTTAAAAAAAAAGCGACAGTGTTTTGGTTGGGGACAATCCTAACCACTCAAGTTTTCCCAGTCGGTTTATCATAATTGCATAGCTGGAGAACACTCGCAAGGATAGAATAAAATTAGTCAAGTCAGTAACAAAATGTTTTACATATAATGTGCAAAAATCTTGATTCTACGCTTTAATTGCTCCTTGCAAACACAACCGAACTGTTGGGCAGAATTCACGTGAGGAAACAGAAACATTGATATTAAAAAACATTGCCGAAGAAAACAAAATCTGGGATCAGATGCCTATACAGCAGCCATATTTCGGAAATTAATATTGATATACGTTATTTCAAAAGTTGATAATGTAACAAATGAGTCACGGTAGTGAGGCTTTTAGAGTTTTTCCTCCCGTTTTATTCCCGCCAACAAATACCCAGGGAAAGGGTGCAGCTTCTTTCTTCTTTCATTCACCATTTCTCTTTATTTATGAAGTAATGTCAAATTGGTTCTCGAGAGTTATGTCACTGATCTTCAAAACTCATGCAACCCTCTCAAACAATCAGACAAGATCAAATCCAGAGAGTTTCTTCGTTTAAACTTTACGGTTTTCACGAACGCCTTGTCATATTTTTGTTCTGAATGGCTTTCGGGATTACTTCTGTTTTTTTTTTTTAGTACGTTGATTTTAGAATGTTCATTTTGACGAAGCCATTGATATATGTTTTGAAACAGAGGTCTTCGTCTAAGTCTGTCGACTATTATGTTCACTTGAGTAAACAGTTCCTTCAAACGAATGATCCTGTCTTCAAATTTTTCGACGATTTCTTGGCTGGTTCTTATGGCCAGGAAGGATCCTAACACTGGAAGTCATATCTAGAAAGAGTCTTGACCCTTTCTAAACGTTTAAAGATTCAAGATTTGTATATGAATTCTTTCGAATCCTAAAACTTCTTAATTCCTCTGCCAGAAATAAAAAGGAAATTTCATAACAGTGTGTAGACACAAATTTGATCTTTGAGTTTCGATGTCCCTCACGAGCGAGCGAGATACTTTATAAACACGAGAAGATAAATTAGTATCCATAAGCAGGCAATGTTCTGTTTAGACTACGATTAGTCCCTCCCTTTCGGCGAAGATCATCGCGCAAGTAAAAAAAAAATTATCACAAACCGACTCAACTTTATTGGGTCAGAAGGGTTCCTACTGTCAGCCATGAGTTCTTATCGGAAATAACGCTCATTCAATAAAAGCCGCAGTGAAGCAAGCTTTACTTTGCACGAAAAAAAGAGAATTAGCGAGGTCCCAAAAGAGTTGCAAACGTTTTAAAAGCTGCAGATGTTTTAAGTTATATGCGTTTAGGCGCATGAAAGTCCTTAAACTATATTTATTAAGACTTGCTAGAAACATGCAGGAAAAACTGTGATCAACCGGTCAGTCGCATCCACGAAGGCAAATTGCTAAGTATCACTTAAAAAAAAAACTCGCCCCATCGATCAGCTTTTTAAGTGTAAAAGTCACATATTTCTCAATACATTTCCAAATATGATTCCAAACAAAATTCTGCCCATACGTTCGGCTAAAATACGTTTTCTTTTTTTATAATCATAACAAAACGAAGCCTGAAACGTCAAAGAACTCATTTTCTGAGCATTTCTCCGAGCAAAAAATGAACAGAAACTTGGAAATAAGAATGACTGGCTCAAGGTAGCTTCGACAGGGTTTCAAAGCAACATATGTCGAGGGAACATGCTTCGTAAGTAAAAGGCATTTCAGCCTTTAATCTGTTTCTTACGCTAAATAGTACAGAGCCCTTTCCATTGTAATGACGCATTTCCAGTCTACCATATCCGGTTAGGAGACGGTCGTTAGTTAAGTTGGAAGATCGCCAAAACACGCGGTAACAGTTATGATTTCAGGCAAGAAATAAACGAGAACGGAATAACGTCCCTTTTCTACAAAAATAAATACAGCAACTTAGTGATAACTGGTTCAGTCGCTTTCTATTCGAGAAATTAAGTCTTCCACGGATGCAAATATCCTCGCTAATCTTCATCATCGGTAACAAACTTGTCCAATTTTGACACCAAACTGTTCTCTTCCCACTGCACGATGAAAGAATGTCCAGTCTTCAATAGGAAGAACATCAACTTTGTCAGTTTCGAACTTAAACTCGGTTCTGCGCCACTTTCCATCATCGCGCTGTTGAAAAATAGTAAAAAAGTGTTAGTAAAAAAACAACTGGATATCATCTTGTTAACTGTGCAACGTTTGAGTTGTGCTATCAAAACAGCACTCATACTTGTCTATACCTGGCAGTAGTCTCGAGTAACATTTGGCTTTGGATTGCTTGTCGGTGTGAAGTCGAAGCCTCCCCTTCCATGAAAGATCCAGGAATAACGATGACTTTTTGATGCTCTGTGGAACCATGCTACAATCCTCTTACACTTGACTGTTATTGTTTGGCTTACCCTGGTACTGAGAAGTCTCAGGAAGTTAAGCTGTACTTTACTGGCTTTGTAGCCGATCTATAAATTAGTGGAGAGAAGGCTTCTTTAACAAGCAGGTGGTAATTAACGAGTAGAAAATGTTATCAAGAAAATGCAAGAAGTCAGTTGCACTTTTGCTAATCAGCGAACAGGATATACCGTCATTACCTTAAAACCTTGTTCAAGATTTGAAAATCTCTGCCACGATGATTCTGAATCATTTCTCCAGGTCTTCTTCGGAATCTGTAGATTACATAAAGACATAGCTCGAGTTTCAGGGACTTGATTAAAAAAAAAAAACATCGTGACTCAAGAGAACCGTATACACAAGAACTGGCTGTGCTCTGATGCTGACTAATTTTCGTGTTGGAAGAAAACGAACATACCTTATCCTGAAGAGGAGAAACACAAGATTCTCCTCCAGCGGTAAAGTTGCAGTATACCTTAATGGCATCAGCAGGGCATCCAAGGTTGGGATCAATCCAGAAATGACCTGTACCAGAAATGGTTAACACTATTTTAATCGAACCTGTACTAGACTGTCACCCTCGCAGAATGTATGAACGACCATATGCATTTAATGAAGGTTCCACAAAATAGAGATCAAACGTAATAAAGAGGCCGTGATATGCCAAAATTTATTACTGAAAGCAAGTGTGCTAAGCCAAGGCGGCAGTCATAGCCTTGAAGTGCCTTGTCAGTTTCTTTTTTAAGAGGGTAACTTCTCTACTTTCAAATAATTGTTTGAGTGAGAAATGAAAGAAGAATATCATGTGGAATGCGGTGATGACGTTTGAACTTAAATAACAAACGTTGATTTAGTGCAATCTTGTACGGTTAACAAAATTACTTAAGAAAGGGATTCATGATTTCAGAGATTGAATCCGTAGAACATTTACTCTTTTCCTGTTGATAACCTTGAAGAGGAAGATGTCATTTTGGTAAGTTCGATATTGCAGAAGATTTTCTCCTGTTTCACTATATTTTGCTTCCGGGTAATTTTCTATTTACTCTCGGAAATACCAGAATGGTATACCTTCTCTTCAAGGTTTTATAGCCAGGACAAGGCGTGTTTATAATATCGAACTCCATATTGCTGGGAAAAGAGACAAATTTAGTTATCATGTTAGAAAGTGGGAAAGGTTAATAAGCGTTTTTACGAATAAGCGATGTCATGATTAATTTCCATCATTAGTTTAAAAGTGATGTCATTGCAACTTACATACTAGGTAACTGCATTGCTGCAATAGCTTTGTGTGAGTGTTTAGCTTGGTATTCTTCTATTTGTACTATATAAGTGTGTGTGTCTTTTTCTCTTTTTTTTTCCTTTCTTAATTTCTATTTTGTATGTAAACGTAAGAAATGCTTTACTAAAAAAATTTTTAAAAAAATGATTTCATTTCAGTGGTTCCTGTTTGGTGACCGTTCAAGAGAGATTTCAACAATATTAAAAAGCCTACAGGACTCTGTCAAAGGTGAGTGACTGCTTGTTTGATATGAAAATTATACTAATCCAGAGGAAAACAATTTGAAATTTTGGAAGCCAACCATTTCGTATAAGGTGACCGTTAAATACGATCCTACTCAATTCAAGCTCGACTGTCTACGTCAAATTGTGAGTTTTCAAACGCTTCGGAAACAGTTTGTTGACCCAAAAAAAGGAACTCCTCACCCACCGTCTTGATAGTTGTCACTGTACATAAGGTCTTTGCACGACGTGGCTGGATTATCTCTGGTACCTAAAGGGGATTTGTATTTCTCCACCGTAGAAGACACGTATAGCAAAGACTTGATGTTTTGCATTGCCTGAGAAGATACCAAACAATCATAGTGTAAAAAAGAAGAAAATAGTATAATAAACACTGAAACTGAGTTCAAACATCTGAAAAATTACCTGATCAAAGTCATCATTCTGGGTAAATCTTTGAAACCCCAGCACCTGACCAGGAGGGCCCTTGGGTAAAAAGTAAAACAAAAAATACCAAAGTGAGCAAGAGAATCAACTCAATTCCTTACTGTAGTCTCAATATTTCTTGGCAAATATTGCATTAGATGAGAGGATAAAGGAGACTGAAGGAGGGGAGGGGTAGTTAGGGTTGATAGAGAGAGATTCGAGAACGATTTTTATTTCATAGGTACTGAGATTTACCCACAAAAATCGTAGTGAATAAAATTCGTACTGATTCTAAATGTAGCCAATCAGGAGTACGAACGACAAAATTTCACCGTGAAAAATTATCGTTCGTCCAATCAGCAACGCGAACGACGAAATTTCACTAATGATGAATGAACGAACTGAAGAGAACGTCATGCGAGAGCCGTTGCACAAAACCCGCGCGCTTTGAAAAATGGCCGAGGGAAGGTTCGCTTCTGTTTACTCAGTTGAAGAATTCATTTTAGAACACGAAAACAAAAATACCGCTCGAAAAACTTGTTGTTGAGAAATTTTTAAACTACTTTTTACGCTTTTCATCGCCCCATTTGTGCTATTTGTCTACCAAAGACAACACGAAAAAATCTCAGCACCTATGAAATAAACACATTACAGTATGGAAAATGCTTTGTACGATTTTCATTCACTCGTTGATACTACACAACTCGTGAATAAAAATCGTACGCGCGCATTTTCCATGAAGTAACCTCTATATCTCAAGCTAGCGAGGAGTCATGAACGAAATAAGGGTTTCAAACTAATTTAAGCTACTTGCCATTTCTATCAATCAGATTAAATCCTTAATCATTAATCAAAAACTCACCGGCAGACCAACTGCACCCTAAAAATGGATGAAAAATAGGAAAAAGTTACAGCTCCTATCTAGTCCTTTCAGAAATTCCATAGACGTACTTTATAATATGAAGGGTCTCACAGGCTGAGATCGAATGTACCGACCGAAAGTAACACAAAAGTAAATGGTCCACGGGCGCATCATTTACTGTTCTCACCGATAACCAATCAACTGATCTGCAGCCTCTGGGGAAAAGTTGTTTGAGGCATTTAATTATACTTAGACGTTGACTGAATTACTGATGAAGATGTTACCACTGCACTTTCAAACTTAGAAAAAATAGGCAGAACAACTAAGATTCGGAACAAACTAAGTATAGAGCCACACAGCAGCTCGTAACATCTTCGGTGCTGAACATGCCAAATTCTTAAAAAGTATTCTTACTTCTAACAGTTATTAAGGACACCGCAACAACCCTTCGTACATTGATAAACGCTACTGATACCATATTCTCGCAGATGATTGTTGTGAACAAAGGCAACTACAGAAATTTGTAAAGAAGCTGTCACTTACCACAATTCCTCTCACTCCCTACGGAAGAAAAGAAAACACGATTGAGGTCTAAAGATCTGTTTCATCAAATTAAAATTTAGAAATAAGCCAGACATACCTTTAATCCTGAGGTTCCCTTGGAGATTGAAATAAAAAGAAGAAAAAGAAAACATTTTAAGTTAAGGTGTCGTCAAGTATTTTAGTTAAGGCTTAAGCATCTTTCAAGTCCAATGTCGTCTACGCCCAGGCTAAAGAAAATGGGAAATATTGTTGAGACCCATCACTTAATTAACAAGAAAAGCTTCAGTGACACCCTACATTCCTGTAGCTAGAAGCATTTTTTATCACTTAAAGAAAAGGACAGAAAATCTTCATAATAAAGAAGAAATCGTCTTACCGGAACGCCTTTTTCTCCCTGCGACAAAAAGAACGCAAACAAAACTGATCACATAGAAACTTTGGTAAATAATAAAAAGGAACATGTTATGATTATGGGACGACCAAATGAGTGCTTATCCATTAACATCTAATATACTTTAACAAATCTGAACTTTACATTAACAAACACTTACCACGTAACCAGTTCGACCCTACAAGCAAGAGAGCAAAGAAAAAGTGAATCATATTTTTGGAGGAGTTGCGACGCCTTACTTCGCACATATGTCAATAACCTCTGCAGTAAATGGTTTGACCTTAAACGTAACATTTATCGTATAATGTAAGACTAGAGCTTAAAAGAACTGTTTTCGATTCAATTTTTAATCCCAGAGTCAGACACTAAACATATCCACATTCCATAATACTCTGCAGTAAAATAGGGTAAATAAAGATATTCGTATCGGAGACTTCATATTTGTCACATCTTTTACCTGATTTCCTTCTGAACCTGGGCTGCCTCGAAGACCGGACATTCCAGGATCGCCCTAGAATTCATTGCAAACACCAGTTTCCTTACAGGGACATTTCAAATTCTAAAATCGTAGTGACCAAACTTGGGCTAAAAACACTGAAATGCAATTTTTTCTACTGTACAAAAAGCATATAATAATAATCATGAAATTAAAAAAAAGGTTTAAACAAGTAGGAAAGAATCGAAACAGTCAAGAAATGTTTTTTAAGTGAATCAAGTATAAATCTAGCTAATTATTGTAAAATTTACCATTTGTCCTGCATTGCCACCTCGACCTCGATCTCCACTGACGCCAACAGAACCCTGTCTTCCTTTCGGTCCAACAGCCCCCTTATTCCCAGGAATACCTCTCTCACCCTATAACAGCGAAGAAAAACATTCAAATCAAAGTCTCAGGCGCGGATTAGTCCTCTCAGCTATGTAAATATCAAAAGCTTACCCTCTCGCCCCGCATTCCCGGGTCTCCCTGCGCACCCCTTTCTCCAAACAGTCCCTGTCAAAAAAAAGGTAGTTTTTGATAATAAACTGCATAATTAATATCCTCATCTACTTTACATCTAACATCCTCATCTAACATTCCTCAACCTCAAAATATTATGAAAAATTATGTACGTATTGCAGACCAGATAATTTAATGTCCAGAGTTTCTCAGTCCATTGGCCCATTTTTACCTCTGCACCTATCGTCCCCGTCTCTCCTAATGGTCCGAACAGTCCTTTTTTTCCCTTTGACAATAAAAACAAAGAGAAACAAAAGAAAACAACGTTTACGTGGGGATATAGTATATATCTGATGTAAGTAGTTCAATCAACGTTTGTTATTCTTAAACATAATTTTGCTTTAATCTTAAAACATATAAAAGGGGGATAAAATATGCCAGATATAAGGTTTGCCAAATAAATTACCTGTTGCCCGAGGGAACCTGGCATTCCCCTTAATCCAGGTGGGCCAACGCTTCCCTAAAATTGAAATGACAAAACATAACAAACAATGTCTTATGAAAAACCGTTGTCATTTACTATGATCTATCACTATCGATTTTTTTAGGACGTAAAAATGTTACTTGTAAAGTTCTGTAATCTAGGACTTTCGTATGGAACCTTCGGACTTACCACAGCGTGTTTCACAGCATGAGTGCCGAAAAAAATTACAATTCTAAATTCTACAAATGGTAAAACACTTTAAAAGACTAGGACACATTATCCGCTTTTCGGTTGTGTGTATACCTCAGGCCCTAGTTGTCCAGAGGGTCCCAGACTTCCTTGGTCGCCTCTCTCTCCCTGGAATATGATAAATACACTATTATGAACGTCATTGACGGGACACTAGATGGTATTCTGATGCTCACCCACTCCTGCTCTTCCCTCATAGTATAATACAAATTGGTTTCGCTAATATGGCGTGGATGAAGAGCTTTTCATCAGCTACTTTCCATCTCAAGAACCAAACCACCTTGCAACCAAGTTTTCCTTCCACATCCTAAACACAGCTCTTCTCCTGTAGATCTAGGACACTTTTGCCTATTTTTCATCATAGCATGTAAAAGTGATTCCCTCAGAGCTTGAAGCCTGAAAGTAGAGCTCGAAGCTCGGAGGAATCAGCAAATTCTGAAGGTGAGCAAAGCGCTAGCAAGGAGGAATGCACCATTGCGCTGTTCAAGAAAGTCACCATGTCACGGTTTGTTTCGCGTTTTACACAATCAGGCCTTCAGTAAGACGCAAACGCGTCAACTTGTAATATTTTCATGCAATAACTTTGCGTCTATTATGAGCAGCAGTTTATTTTTCTCATATTTACGGCCCTAATGTGAGAGTTAGTTGCCGCACTCGCAAACACAACACAATATTGACTGACTGGATTGATCGGAAATTAAACGCTCAAAGACTGGACAAAACATATGAGATGGTACCTTTTCACCGTTTTTTCCATCATCCCCTCTTCTACCCGGGTTTCCTTTACCTCCCTGAAAATAAAAAAAAAATGACTGTCTGTAAGTTAAGAAGGAATCTCTCATGCTTGGCATGCAAAGAACTTAACCAAAAGGAGACGAAAAGTGGGTAGTGGAAATGCTTACGGTTGGTCCTTTCATCCCTGGCTCTCCACTTTGTCCTTTCGATCCACGATGACCCTCAAATTGCAAATCAACAATCTTGTCAGTAAAGGCAAACTATATCACCCCAAAAAAGGATTAAATTCAAACTACCTTAAGTCCAGGTGAGCCATTCCTGCCTTCCTTTCCCTTTTTCCCCCGCTCACCCTGAAAATAAATCAAAATAAAATGGTGGAATGCATATGATAACTGCCATCATAAAACTTATAGAATGAGCCAATGATAAAACACACTTGGTGGGTTAGCGCAAAATACACAAAGAGTCGAAAACTGTTTTTATTGCTACAATGGAGTCTTCTAACTTTTGAATAAAATGGTAAACATGATGTAAGCAAAATACCGCTCCTCCAGGATCACCGATACGTCCACTTTCACCGAGAAGGCCCGTAAGTCCCTGCAAATACAAAAACGTTAAAAAAGATGTGATGTTTAGTATCGGATATTTCATAAACCGGCAATTGAAGTAGTTCTACCTACCCCAAGACCAATGACTCCAGTATCTCCAGGAGAGCCTGGGGCTCCAGATAAGCCCTGCAAATAAAAAATTAAAAAGGTAAAGGTAAACAAGTCTTTAAAACCTACGGAGTGAAAGAATTTCTCCTACACATAAAAAAAAAAACGGTTTCACAACTAGGCACTAGGAACTTTACCTGACCTCCTGTCGAGCCTCTAGGTCCTTTTTCCCCGCGTGGCCCTGCAAATCCCTGAAAGAAAAAGAAACAAAAACTCACTTTTGCATACCTTTACCTTCAACATAATTCTTTCATTGTCTTTCCTTGTACAGGACCGCCTAGTCCAATTACAAATAGACCCATGTTGACCTGATCAGTAATAGATTATAGATGAAATCAAAATGTGGAAAGAATGAAAAACAAAAAAAAACAAAAAAAAAGGGCACACGAGGCGCGAGACACGAAGAAGTTATTACTTCACTTTGACATCATCTATGATCTATTACTATATACAGACCCACGGCAACATGCAATTCATTCGCTTTATATTAAAAAAACAAAATTTTGTCTCATAGCGTCTCATCTACGAGTCTGTACTCCGATGGATCATAAGTAAGAACCTATTAAAATTCGCGTTTCATTCAGCTTACCGTATAAAAACATTTAGTGCATGTACTTAACATTAAATAGCAAGGATCAAATTGAAATCCGAGGGCATTTTGATGGGGTTGTTATAATCTGTTATATATCTACCGATACTCCAGGCACGCCAAGATCACCAGGCAGTCCTTTCTCACCAGAGGAACCCTAGAAGTATACGAAAAATTCAAAGAAATTAGAAGGGAAGGTTGCTCATACTCAATAAAGAAGAATATGTTCCGTAGCCAATATTCACCATTCAACTTACAAGTAGCTCTCCAACCTAACGCACACGAGGGTCGCCTCCAGCACCCCACCCAATTGTTTCAGTCTTCATTCCCTCACTCCACAATAAATACAAATTTTCGCTCAATTTTAAATGTTTGACAATTGTTCAGGTATGTTGCCTTATGGGGCTCAATTTTAAATGTTTGACAATTGTTCAGGTATGTTGCCTTATGGGGCTAATTCACTTTAAATTTCAACATGAACTATTTGGAACTTCTTCCGACAAATATTTCATCAGGTCAAATACCACTTTAGAAGCTGAAAATCTCTTGGATAAGCTCGAATTGAGAAAGGGTAAGTAGTATCGTTAAGACTGAGATAGTTTCTGTCTTTCCTGTCCAGCAAAACATTGTCACACCAGAGAAAACCTTAAAACTTAGCCAAAAGCGAAGACCAACCGCTCTTCCGTTTTTTCCAGAAAATCCTCTATCTCCCTTCTCTCCGTCTTCTCCCTAAGAATAAATGAAATAAGCTGAAAGTCAGTTTGAAATGCAGCCAAACATAATGCTACTATTACCATAACACTGTGCATTTCTCCAGATGATTACGTTACAACATCACAAGAATAATGTTTTTTACTTACCGTCTCCCCGATTTCGCCTTCCTCTCCCATTTCTCCACGAGCACCACTCTCACTATTCTAGAGGATAATGATATCAAAGTTATTGTTGCGGAAAACTCAACTAAAAGAATATAACGTTCAATTTTCTTCATGGTTGTAACAGTAGTAGGTTTTTGAAATTTCCTGATTTTTCCCAAATGTAAAATTTCCCTGACTAACTGAACTGACAATTTCAGAAATAAGTCCTGATAATGGTCCCCAATCACCCCTCACAGCCATCCTTTCCACCCATGAATTTATGCTTTTAGCAAGTCGCTGCTTACAGTGTACAGTGTCACTCGTTGTGTTACTCGGTGTTAAGTTACGAGAGGAACCGTTGAGAATTTGAACACGTTACAACGAATAGTATGGGGAACGAAATATGGTCGATTTACAACGATAAATATTTCGAAATATGAATAGTTTACTCGTAAAATCAAATTCATCATCGTAAATCGACCATTTTTCTTGACTTTAAAGAGATTTATTTTCCCCTGATTTTTTCCTGACCTGTGGAAAGAGTTAATAAGTATCCGTTTAGAGTTTTGTGTGGACTCCGAATCTAATTTTTTGCGATACACCTCATATATTATTGTCCGAGCTAACCTCGCCTTTAGCATTAGAAACTAGACATTTTTTCTTTGTACCAGGGATACAATTCTCTCAAAGAGTTTGTAACCATAACATGCCAGATACCTACCACAAGGCCCATGTCACCTGTGGCACCCGGATGTCCTCGTAAACCCGGTGTTCCCTATCAAACACAGAAATAGAAAGGTATTACGTAATTATGTGGGGAATATGTGCACTGCTAAGTGAACTGATCTTATGAAGTTAACAAATCTAAAGACTGCACCCGGCCGTTACGTATTATGATTACTCCTCCAAAACGTTTTTGAAAGCAACAATAAGTGCTGGTGCAGCCACTACTATCATTACAGTCTCTGTTCGCATCCCGCATTTTGGCCAGTTCAATCACTTCAATTTTGTTCTTGGACAATTTTCACTGATCTTAGAGAGATCTTCCTAACTGACATGATACAACACACTTATCTGCAGAAATCTTATGGTTTTATCAGTATTTATGTTTTAGTTATTTTCTTCTCGCTTCGACTAAAGCGTTACATTGGTCAGTTTTACCCAAATCACAAAATTGTATTCGCTTAAACATACCTCGTGACCCTTTATCCCAGGATCTCCCCATAAACCAGCAATGCCGTCTTCGCCCTTTGGAAGAAACATCAAGGGAATAAAGAAGTTTGTGTTAGTGTAGTTTTGTATCTATTTATTTTCATTTTTCTACGACAGAGAAGAAACAGCAACATTTAACTGACCTCTGATCCCTTCATTCCCTGAACACCACGTAAACCAACAAGTCCTGGTTGACCCTGAGGCGAAAGAACAATACCAAATCAAACGCTAAGTCCACGGTTAACTTGTAGAATAAAACAAACCAAACTTAATTCGTGAAAGAATGATGATATCATATTACCTCTTTACCCAGATTTCCTCGAATTCCAGGTACTCCATGTTCTCCACCAGTTCCCTTTTTATATTGAAATCCAAAGGTTTAAGAATGAACAACAACAAAAACAACAAATACAAAAAGAACAAACAAAACAAAACAAAGCAAAACAAAAGCCAACCAAAAGAAACAATGTTATTATAAAAAACTACTTACTTTTGGCCCTTGATCTCCTTGAGGCCCTTTTGGTCCTGGTGAACCTCTCTCACCCTGACAGAAAACCAAAACAAATACATCTAGTTTTCTGTCCTATAGGTATTGAAATTGTTATCTCTATTAAAAAGCATGAAGGCTCTGACTCTAATCATGATATTTTTCTATAAGCCGCATAATTCATAACGTTAATCTCTTGAAGAGGAACAGCGATACTAAAGTGACTAACAAAGGATTTTCAACAGGCTTGCAAACCAAAAGGAAGTAAACAATAAATGCAAACATGACATCAACGGAAACGACAAAGATTAGCTACTTTTACTCCCTTCAACAATGATTCTTAAATAAACCCTACAGGAAAATAGCCAAAAAATCTCTTATTAACAGCATATGGAAACGTTTTTGTTTGGAAGCATAAATGGCTGAGATGACGACAGTCAGAATTTGAATTTTGCCTTTAACAGTAGATGCTAGACTTCCACAATATCTAATTTCTGAACTGTACCTTAAAACCTTTTGTTCCCTTGGCTCCTTCCAAGCCAGGTGGTCCTGGTGCACCCTATCGGTGAGACCAAAACTATTATGATAACAAATGTCCATGACCAAGATATCCTCGGCTTTAACTCTTCTCTCTTATGTCGATTCGAGACTAAAAGTACTCAGGAAGAAGGCCATTAAACCATTGGATAAAAAGACCGCTATGAAGATAGACGCTCTATACGAAGACAATTTAACCTCGACCCAATCAAGCAAACATAAAATATCTAGTAAGATTCGCATAATTAAGTTCCAACAGCACATATCAACGACAGATACAATATTGCTTGAAACTAAGCTCACAAGATGTATCTTACTTAATAATTTGCGCTACTGTACTCAGTACAAATTAAACAACACTTTACTTACAAAAGGTCCCTGACTTCCTGGTGGACCTTTCTGTCCAGCCAAACCACTGTCTCCCTATTGAGATATAATAGCATTGAATCCACTAAGACAAGTCAACGAGGATTGTATGTTTTTAAAAACTAATTTCAACAACAAACCTTTCCACCGGCGGTTCCAGGCAGTCCTAGGAAGCCTTGTAGTCCATCATTTCCCTTAAAGAAGAGATATTTTTTGAGAGTTAAGGATTGATTGTTTTAACGCTACGCTAAACAACATATCTGTTAGTTCCAGTATAACTAACCTGTTCTCCTTCACTCCCTTCCAGGCCAGATTTTCCCAATGGACCAGGTGGACCCTACGATCATGGATCTATAGTCAATATCGATAGTTACAGTATTACAACAATTGTCTGATGACTCAACTACAAAATGTGCTTAAACTTCAAGAGTGGTTGTTTATCTTTAAAAGTTGACTTGGTAATGAAAACACCAACTGTTTACGGAAAAAAGCACGTAACAACAAGCACATGCAGTTTACCGCAAAGAGGAAATTGTTTACCTGAGGCCCAGCAATGCCCATAACCCCTTGAATCCCTCCTGAACCTTTGACGCCCTGCAAAATACCGTCGGAAAATCAAAATCGAAAGAAAATTATGATTCCTTCTCTCTCTTGAAAAACAATATATGACTTTTTCTAGAAAAAAATATACGAATACCAATACCTACAATCAGAGTTATGTATCTTGGTGTATGGTTATGAAAACATTTTAGAGTTTTCTTCATAAAAGTCACTTTCCATAATGGAAAACTCTACACTTGATAACAAAGTAGCGAGGTATATTGGTACTTTTACTCACTGGGTCACCGACGAGCCCTTCACCCCCTTCAACACCGTCTGGCCCCTGCAAAGAATATTTTCAAACATCAATTCAAAATTCTTGAAGAAAAAAGAAAGATCTACCAGTCCCAAACAGGCAGGCAATTTCACTTGAAGCTTCACTTCCCTAACGATTAGTTCATGCGCTAACGTGTGTTCATCGAGATTTGACAGCACGCTGGATGTTTGGAGTGTACGAAAGATGCCTAAGAGATGTTCGAGGCGTGGCCGAGAGCATCTCTTGCGAGAGATCTCCAAATTTCTCAAGAGATTCAAATCTCAACGACCATAGGGCGATGCATGAGCCACTCCTTACGTGAAATGTCGTCGGTATGATTTGCGATCTAGCACTGATTTGTCCAACTTCATTATGAACGAATCCACGTGTTGAATGTCTCCCAGATTTTAAAGCATTGTCCCTGTAGCTGTCACGCTTACTCTGACTACTTTCAAGGTGTAATATCCAGTCATGACACGCTTCATGCATATTTGGAAATGAAGTTGCTTTTCCCTATACAACCCAATAATTTCAGGGAATGCAACTCCTGTGATGTGGATTCAATTAAGTTCGATTCTTGGAAAGTATTTAGAGTCCGCATGTTTCTTTTATAACTCTTAATTCATTAATCAGTATTGTCAAATTACATGAGTAACATATTTTAATGAGCTTACAGAAACCTGGAAGGGAGTCCAAAAACTTTATGCATTTGCAAGTCGGACTCTTCTTTATCTTTTCTCCCTAGGAGAGACAAGTGAAGACAAGTTAAGCATTAAGAGAGACTGGTCCGAGAGGAGAAAAGAGGAGAAGAGTCCGATTGCCTCTTTACATGAGATGCCACAGGAAGATGTTGGCTTTGAATCATACAATCTGCTCCTTTTAAAGATCTACCAAGTTGCGAAAAAGAAGAACAAATTAAAAAGAAGACCAGATTTTATTAAACTTAGCATCTATCTAATTAATAGTAACGTCATTTCATAAGAGGAGTCCTGTGGCAGCTAACACGTAAAGAGATGTTACTTTTGCGACGACTTAGCCTATTGGACTTGACAAAAGTAACCGTCGGAACAGACTTCGTATAGGAGGAAGGGCAAGGCTGACATGCACCAACCAGGAACACACCATGATAGCGTTTTATTACTTTAGGCATCAGAGAGATACCCTACTTTAAAGCAAAAAGGATAGGCTTGATTAGTTCCAATGGTTTGCATCCATTCATCCAGGTGCTTAGCTAATCATTTCTAGTTATTTATTAATTAGTTCTTTTCTCACCGTAATTCCGTGCGTGCCTTTAGTTCCAGGATGACCAGCAGCGCCCTAAGAGTAGGCAATCACAAACAGATACAACCACAATGTAACATACTGTCTTAACAAATATCCCATGAATATCATTAAAAGGCAGTTGAGTCTAGAGTAACGTCTTACGACCTCTTTTGCTACCTATTTTCATATCGATAAACCTTTACCAATAAGCAGATTGACGAGCTGTTATAGCTATGTATGAACACTCCACATACAGCAATTCCCGATATCTTACCAGTTTTCCAGGCTCTCCGATTTCTCCACGACTTCCCTTTGGCCCTAATTCACCCTAAGATAAAAAATGAAAATAATTTTTTTTTTACCTCAACTGTGTTTTTAACTGTTTTCGTTTGAAAATAGAAAACAGCAGAGTTATAATAACTTAAGCACAAGCAAGAAGTTGAAGGGGGCACTAAATAGAGGAGTATACACGAAGACAGATCCAATGATATATATATATATATATATATATATATATATATATATATATATATATATATATATATATATATATATATGTTTCTATAGAAAGGTGGAATACTATAAAGTAATTTGCATAAAATCACCTGCAATCCTTGGGGCCCGGCTTCTCCTACTGATCCAGGTATTCCAGCTGGACCCTATTGATTCAGATTTCGCGGCCATTAGTTTTTAAGTCAGACTTAATAAATTGCTTCTAAAATACCTCCAAAGAAATATGCGGAACTGTGCAACTCTAACTCGGCGCGCTCTTGCCACAGTCCAATTCAAGCGCCAGCAAGTCACCATTTTTAAATTGATAAACGGCATACATGTTTAAAGACCGCAGTCCTAGAGGTATTCAGACGTTTGAGATCCAGCAACTGACATAGAAAATTTCTTACATCCTCTCCTTTTGGGCCCTGTGCTCCCTGATTGCCAGGCTTTCCTTCGATACCCTATGGACACCACATACAACAACAAAATAAAAGTGAAAAAAGTTGCAGAGCTCGCTAAAAATCGCTAAAATTCAAGCACAAATCCTAACTTCCTCTTCGTTGAACAAAACAAATAAATTCCATTTTTGCCATGAGTCAGTAGTCTACAACCAGTCCCACCTCATACACCGCGCGCTAACATAATTTTTTTTCTCTGTATATATATATTTTTTTGACGAACTTCGCCGAAAAAGAGGGACGGCTTGTAGTCTTAAGAGTCTGATAACGTCAGAATATGGTAGAAACATCTTTGACACACTCAGCAAAGGGGTTTAACGGTTCTTACCATATTTTCTATATCTTTTGCTGAAAAGAAGCACGGCGGAAAGTAACCTATTTGCGACTTTGAACAGGTTTGTTTTGGTTCCTAGGTATCATTAACTTACCAGAGGCCCTGGTTTTCCTATTACGCCAACTGTGCCATTAGGACCACGACGTCCCTGAAATCAAATGTGCAAAGTTTAGAGATACAAACTAATTACAATTCAGTGATAGTGAATTCGACTTGCTGATTTGAGTAAAATTGTTCTCCTTAAAAAAATTTTGTCACCGGATTCTTAAAACTAACAGAAAATTTAAACTTAATACCGGAGGTCCTCTTAATCCTGGACTACCAATAACTCCTTGGACACCTGGTGTTCCCTTGGAAAAATAAAACTTCGTGTCATACGAGAGTTCATAATAAGAAGTAATTACATGAAAACGAACTTTCTAATGATTATTGCAACAACTTACACCACTTTAAAATCTGAACTCTTATATGGATGTCAGGAATAAAAAAAAAAACGATAACAAAAATATTCTAAGTACTTTGCAACTGTATTTTCAGTAACAGGGGTAAAATAATAGAAATGAAATTTTACGTATTGTGTGGTATTTTAACACTTAAAGGAATTAACCACCGAGCTATGAAAGTATGATTACCGTACGTTTTGTCCGTAATATTTAGTGTAAATATATGCCCTGACTCCCAGCTGTTCTTTAATTTTAAGGGCAATAAAATGCAATTGACACTTATTTCTTCAACCTGAGGAACATATATCTTATTATCAGGTGTTAAAAATGCTAAAGATTTGTTTTTTAAGCATTTCACAAAATTATTATCATTTGGTCTCACACTAACAAGTTCCTTTTTTGCCAACATACCAGTGGACCCTGTGGTCCTGGTTCTCCAATCCTTCCAGATGATCCCTGAAAACGAATACGTTCATAATACAAAATGAACACATGTCTAAAGTAAGAACATGAAAGGGGAACTTTTAATTGTACAAAATTGGGCACAGACATGAATACTATTAAATTTCAAAATCACATTTTACCTTATCGCCATTTAAACCATTGTAGCCCCTTCTTCCTTTCTTCCCAGAGTCTCCCTGAGCAAACAGTGAAAAAAAAAACATTATATAGGCTTATAAGTAAATGCCTTGTTGATAGTTTGCTCTCCATTAAGTCCAAATGTGATGGCTTGCTCTGCAGTTAATACAGTTCTTTCGTATGAATTTAATTTTCTGAATTTGATAGAGTACAAACATGGCTTTTCATGCTCCATCCTTCAGTGTTAGCTAAACACCCCAGATTGGACATATGCTGCTGAGGACTAACATAGCTTTCAAATGCACTATAGTAGATTCCCATAAGTTTTTATTTTCAGATTACCACACATGCTAGCAAACTATTAAGCAGAGAAATTAATGTTTTGTCTCATGAAGAAACTTACTCTTACTCCACGTTTTCCATGGAAACCACGGCGACCCCTGTCCCCCTAGACATGGTAATTTATGTTATCAGTAGTAGTTTATGATCAAATAACAAGACAGATAGCAAATAAAAAAGTATAAGAAAGCTTAAATACTCCACCTTATCTCCCTTGTTTCCTTTGGGGCCATAAAATCCAAGTTCACCAGAAGAACCCTTCAAATAGAATTATCCTTTTTTACATTATAGATACATGTATAATTTGACAGAAAAACTAACATATGTTTGACCATGTAGCCATAAAATTCTGTAAAGGTATAACTGCTTTAACCTTAAAAATTACAATTTCCTCAATTGTGATTGGTTTAAAAATTCCAACTTTCCACTAACTCACTTGAAAAGTTGTTATTGGACAGTTCAATAAGCCAATCACATTCAAAGTTGTAGTTTAAATCAACCAATCACATTCAAAAATGTAGTTTAAATCAAAATTTTCCCTTTCTTTTATAACCTGGCTATTCTTTTTTTCCTTGGAAATCACAATTTTTATGATTAATTGGTAATAAGACTTCATGTTGTCCAATTTGGTCTGTAATCTTACTTGTGATAAACAAATCGCTCATATGATTACAGACCAAATTGGACTCCAATCAGTCCGAGCACTATTACAAACTAACAGAAAAATCAAGGTAGGAGTGAATGTCTCAGGCAAGATTAAACAAGGTGTTATAAGTTGAAGGGATTTCCTCTCATTACCACTCAGTTTCATTTGAGTGCCAGGAATAAGACAACAGTGAATGTTGATTTGCAATTCAAAATGTTAGGCTGAGCAAACTTACAATTCAAGATCAGAAGCTAATGTAAAGTAAAAATTACTAACCTCACTGCCTTTCTGTCCAGGGATTCCTGGTTTACCTAGCTTTCCAGGCATTCCCTGAAGGTATAACAAAAATCATGTCATTACATGGCAAGGTAAATCTGAGTGTTCTGATTGGTTCTTACTAAGTACATATTTTACCAAACAGACAGTTTCCACCCAAATTGTTATAAACCATGTAATTTGGTCAGGAAGGCCAGAGAATTCTAAGTAAAAATGTTTGGTGAGTGCCCTATAAACTTGCTTACTCGAGCCCTGCTGAGGAATAATGGCCCTCTGTTATTCTTGTGGGGACCTCTTAGTCTTTAATGCCATGACCAAGGGCCAATATTCCCCAGTACAGCCCTCATGCTTGATAAGTGAGAAGTTATTACTGCTTTGCTTCTTTTTTGTGTTCCATCAACACAAATAAAATGAACCAAAGTTTTCAACACAAAACAATGCTAATGTCAATTATGTGCAAACCAATACACTTTCCACATGCACTGAATTTTAATAGTATGTCCTCAGTGCGTTGATCCAAGTCCAATAAGGCACAACGTGCAGAGGTGTGCCTGAGGTCATGCACCCACACATTGAACTGAAAGTGAAAGAGTTCAGACTACCTACCTTGTGACCATGAAGTCCTGCTGATCCTTTATGCCCAGGATCTCCAGGAGGACCCTGTCAAAGGTTATAACATTCTTCAACATATGACATTTTGTTTTGCCAATGTTATAAAGTTTTCACATTCCTTCTGCCTCAGTTCTCCCCATGTATTTGTAACTAGCTAAGGATAGGTGATCTGCTTACTAACCTGTGCTCCTGGAGGACCATGTGCACCTCTGGATCCCACATGACCTGGAATGCCCTTTAAGTGATGATAACAAAAGAAATTGAAATAGTTAAAAATTATGTGAAGTGTATTACAGTCTCTGTCTGATGGTGAGATTTCCTTGGAATGACTGACACAAGTAATTATTTTAATGACCATAAACTGACTTGCGTACCAAAGATTGTTAGATTTGTCTCAAGACAAAGTCAGCCCTAGCCTCTCTCCAGTTCAACAGTTTATAGCCACTTGAGGTTAGGTAGACAACTGTCCTTACATTAGGGAGTGCTAAAAATTTATTGCTAATACATAATTAGGACTTACCTATGCATGAACAAACATTAAACAATTTGTAACAATTGAGAACTTTATAGAAACAAATAACTTGAGTCATTTTCATCATTGTTGGAATACTATAACAACAATTATGGTGATAATTGAGCACCTGTGACGTATGTGCAGCATATCAATAATGTTTGCACAAAATGTGTGGTGTGTATTATTCTTACAATAGTTGTGATCCTACAAATGATAAAACAAAGCAATAAATGAATTGCCTAAAAAAAAGTTAGAATTCTTACCTTATGGCCCTTTTCACCCTCCTCTCCTTTAGGGCCAAGTGGACCTGGATTTCCCTATGACATAATGGTTGGTCAAAATGAAGGTACCTCAAAAAGAGGAAAGGGTTAAAATACCCTGAAAATTTTAAAAATATATTTTTGCAAAGAAATGGTCTTTCCAAAACTTAAAAACAGTACTTAGTAGAACTTCATGAATGATGACTACACATTAAACACATCTCAAAAGTGCAGAAATCAATTACAGATATTTTGTTTCTCATCAAATCAAGCCAGAGAAGTCATGACCATGTAGTCCCAAGGTAAAGTGTTTCAGTTACCCTTTACCTTTTTGCCTTTCATGCCACTGCGCCCAGTACTTCCTCTGTTTCCCTATAAATTTAACAAACAAAAATGTTAAAAAACTATCTACAACAAAATAAACTCTATGTGAATGAAAGTGATCTTCGCAGTAATGAACACTACTTAGGCAGTAGTGAAAATAAGGCCTGAAAAAAATTCAGGCCTGTACGGGATTTGAACCCATGACCTCTGCGATACCGGTGCAGCGCTCTACCAACTGAGCTAACAAGCCAACTGGGAGCTGGTCATGATGGTGGTTCTAAATAAACCCGTGAAGTGATGAATAGACGGTTAAGAATATATGAAGGTCATATATTTGAACTGCGGATAAAGACATGAATGAAAGTGATCTTTGCAGTAATGAACACTACTTAGGCAGTAGTGAAAATAAGGCCTGAAAAAAATTCAGGCCTGTACTCTAACTCTAACTAGCAATCCTTATCAAAGTAGTACACTATTTAGTACCCATTTTGTAAGTAAAAAAACTAAAATGTTTCAACAATTAAACTCTGTAAATTATATGCTGTAGCTGTATATAGGAACAAAAGTATATTTCCTTCATGTCTGTTTTGTTTGGAGTGATATGGAGTGATTGTTCTATGTACTTCCTCTTAAAAAATGATAGCTACTAATTTACCAAGTGCATTTTACTTTCAATGAATTTTGTTTTACCTTAGCTCCTCTTTTTCCATGGTTTCCTCCTTCTCCTTGCTTTCCACGATCACCCTATAATAATGATGAAACAAATATAACTTACCTTTGCACTTGGGCCATAATTCCAAGTGAAAAAGGCTTGGTTTGTAAATTAAAGTACAGTCCTTAAACTCTTAGCAAGAGATATGTAGTTGTCGGAATATAGCTCTTTGTACCCTAGGTTTCTTTGCAAGCTGTGAATATTTTCCACACCTCTCCTTGCTAAGCTTGACTACAGGCTTAGGTATCCACCTGCCAATTGGCATCACATGCAGAGTAGGCTGAATGGAACTCTGTCCCAACCTCATTATTGATCTTACCCCACTGTAGCATGTGCTATACATGACATGTGATTTATTCCTTTGTTATGGTTGATGTGCTTTTGATCAGGTGTGGTTCACTGCATACATGTTACTGGATTATCCATCACTTGCTCAATGTGTTGCTACCACCCCTCCAACAATTACTTTGCTATGTGTTTTGCTGCCACTATTGTGCACTGTCAAACCTTGGTCCCAGTCACTGCCAAATTGTGTTTTTTTTTTTTTTTAGATGTGTGAGTTGTTTGCGTAATTATCAATTGTTAGTCTTTACAAGGTACCATGTCACAAAAATGCTCAGTATTTCCTGTCATAACTTACCAAAAGAAACAACAAAACTAAATGACGCATATTAATCAATGAATTAATCAATATTAATTAATTTTTCATTTTATTTAATTAATCATATTAATCAAAGACACTTTTCTCTCTGGTCAATTAATATCTCCAAGGAAGTGTATCACAAACGCTGAACAGGAAAGCTATTCATTTTTACTGCAAAATATGGGTCAAGTTGTTGTTATTCCTAAATACTTTGCTATGAATAAGAGAATAGAGAAGAGATGTTTAATGTCTTCAAACATCATACAATGTCAATTGCATTGGATGACCCTTATGAAATGTAGATAAGAAAAAATTGTGTAATTGTTTTGTGTTGTGAAATTCACTATGTTTTTCTAACAGCTTGCTGATAAAAGTTATAAACCCCCGTCCTTAAATGTGAGCCATTCCAGGCATAAGCCCTTTCAAAACTCCTTAAAAGTTACACCATAACACCCAAGCACTACATCTGAGATCTTTTGTTAAACACTTGCCTGATATCCTTGAACTCCCCTGGAACCTGAGGGTCCTTGAACTCCCTGTAGAGTTAATATGATTGAATATCAATTAACTATTATCATGCTCATCATCATGGTGACCATCAATGTTATGGTAATTTTTGTCACACCCATGAAATATTACTTATAATTAACCCCATTTTAGCAATCCATCTCTCCTTTTCAAGAGTGATTTTGGTGCTCAATTGACAAAATATAAACCATCTCAATCTTCTTCTTTTCATTTTGTTTAATATGTAAAATTTATTCAATTACTCTTCTTGTGCACTTCATTTCTCACCAACCCTACCATTATCTTTTCTTGGGGAAGGCAACAAGTTATGCTTCAATTTCTCCCTTCCATTACTCACTAACACAGTATGTATTTGCCATACAATTTCAATCCTTCCCAACTCCATCACCTTGCAGTGTTGTTGAGCAAGGCTGAACAACACCAACTCCCACTGTGAAAAGAATAAATCCTGCATGAATGCAGGATTTATTCCTTGCTGGACTGATCTAATATTAAGACTGACATGGAGTAAAATGATGAAATAAGAGGAAAACAAATTTCTAAATAATACTTACATTTATTTATTGATTTAGTAAACTTACACATTTCAGATCCCAGATGTATTATAATAATAACTTACAGGATTCCCAGATGCTCCAGTCAGACCCATTTGTCCACGGGAGCCTTGAAACCCCTATCAATTCATGATTTGAGATTAACAAAAAAACAGTGCAAGGCCAGTCCAGGAGTACATGATAATGTAATTATTTTAGTTTTCTTGAAATCATTAAAAAAAATTAAATAAATTAGTCAGCTGGAGATTTACCATATTGACCAAAAAAGTCTATCATGTATAATGACCCACAGCATTTTGTGGACACTGCACATGATTTTTAGAGAGCCATATGGAAATTAAAACATAGTGTTTTTCTGACTCTGTCAACTTATGGTGAACAGAAAATCACAAAACAGAAGTGCAAACAAAATTGGAAAGTTTGAAGACTAAAATTCAATATCTAGCTACCAGCAGAGCTGATACACCCTTAGGCACAACATACTAGAGACTTACTTGAGGTCCTGGATCTCCAGGTTCACCAACATCACCAGGGTCTCCCTAAAATAGAAATTGATAGACTAATATTTATAAATGTTTAAACAGATGTAATTTTGACTTTATATGTGGCTTATCAGCTGATTCCCTTTTGTTAAATGACATCTTAGAATAATAACTAAGTAGTTTCATGTATTATAGGCCAAAGGTCAGATTGAGAAAAATATATATATATCCACAAAGTCTACCTAAGTTAGTCAATCATAAGTGTCTTTGAAATCTAGGAAAACAGTGACAAGTAAAATATGGAAGTTGAAGTGTGGATGTCTTGTATTCTGCAGGATACACCTTTATTGATATCTGACGGGCTATACCCACAACTAAACTACTCGCTACATTTAGTTACAAGCTAGGCTTTTATAGGTACGGTTAAGGATCTAGAGTGTTCCGTAACATTACAGCAGATTCTATTTACATATTGATTCAGGGATGACTCAGTATGACACAGCTACTTCTAGAACGTTCTTGAAGGTCACACTACAGAAGTCAATAAATACTCCAGACACAAACACTAGGAAACACTGCATGATTCACTCTTTGAGTCAACAACATATGAAGATGTAAAATTTTCATAATATTCATTTTGATGGCCTGTTAACATTTTTGTTCATTAAATCAAAGTTACTATAATTGATCCAGAAGCATCATGGCAAATGAAGTTACTATTATGCAATCCATGCTGAGATAAAAAAGCTCCACGTGATTTACCTGATCACCCTCTACACCTGGTAGTCCTGCCATGCCTGGTTCACCTGCATCACCCTGATAGAATCAATGGTAGTTACTAAAACAAGGAATGACCAAAAATGACCTAAATGACCTTAAATGACCTAAAATGACCTAAAATGACCTAAAATGACCTAAAATGACCTAAAATGACCTAAAATGACCTAAAATGACCTAAAATGACCTAAAATGACCTAAAATGACCTAAATGACCTAAAATGACCTAAAATGATCTAAAATGATCTGAAATGACCTTGAGTGATTCCTAAAATGACCAAAAATGACCTTGTGTGATTTCTAAAATGACTAAAAATGACCTTGTGTGATTTCTAAAATGACCTAAAAAGACCCTGACTGATGTCTTGACTTAAAATGATTGAAAGTAACCTACGCTGACTAAAATGACATAAATTGACATTTAAACTTTACTGGAACAATTAAAAAAATAGTAATTGCCAGCAATATACAACAGAACCCCTTCTCAGTTTCACTTAACAGTATGCCACTTTAATCACTTAGAACACCTTAGATCCTTGTGGGTAAGTACTAAAACATGGAACGACCTAAAACCACCTAAAACATCCTACAACCACCTACAACCATTTACAACCACCTTAAAAATTTCAATAACGAACTACAACCACCTCAAAAACATCTACAGCCACTCACAAACTATCTAATACCATCTAAAAAAAGGCATAAATGTCTTAAATAAGGCAAAACGATAACACGTCATGTATATGAAATAAGAGAATCGAATGAAACCTCCACCTTCCCCTGAAATCTTACTCTCCCTGGTTCCATGTATAAGCAACCATCTCACGAAATGAAATGCAAGAGCATGCCAATTATATTTTTTATTACCTCAGTAGTAAAAGACCTATAGAACTTTACTAGCCGACATTTTGGCTCACACTTCATTTGATTATGTAATGGTCCAAGGTAGTGTTTTTCTCCATTTATAATCTCAGTAATTTAAATGTAATTGGAGCAAAATGTGAATCACTTTGTGTAAGTGGCACCACTCATACAACTGAATGCTGTATGAATACCAGCATGATGGCATTAGTGCCAAAAGAAGATTCCAAATGTACGTACAGTTTGCTTGAAATATTTCTAATAATCATTCTTACTCATACTTTTTCTAGACGTGAGCCAAAACATCTGCAAAAACTTGATAGTTGTAACTTGATAGTTCATTTTGTAAAGTTCTTTAGGTCTTTTACCACTGAGGTAATAAAAAATATAATTGGCATGCTCTTGCATTTTATTTCGTGAGATGGTTGATTATACATGGGGCCAGGGAGAGTAAGATTTCAGGGGGAGGTGGAGGTTTCGTTCGATTCTCATATTTCATGTACATGACGTGTTATCGTTTTGCCTTATTTAAGACATTTATGCCTTGTTTTAGATGGTATTAGATAGTTTGCGAGTGGCTTTTAAAATTTTTGAGGTGGTTGTAGATGGTTGTAGATGGTTGTAGGTGGTTTTAGGTGGTTTTAGGTCATTCCATGTTTTAGTACTTACGGATCATTGTGTGACTACCAGCTATTGTGGATCTTTTTAGCTAGACTTAAACCTTATTTTTGGTTATTTTACACATCAATCAAGGTTAGTTTTATTTCTGGTCATCTTAGACATCAGTCAAAGTTATTTTAGGCACAGACGTCCCCAGCTCATGTCTCTGGAAAAAGCAGATGATTAATTCAAGAAAGCTTCATGCATTGTGTGAGTTGGTGTTGGGGTTACAAGATGATCCTATGAAGAATTTGAAGCTGTTATAAGGAATAATATGGGGAATGAAATATGGTTGATTTATAACAATTAATATTTTGAGATATACACATTTTATATGTAAAATCAATAGAACTAACTCACATCTTGTGTGTCAGTTGTGGTTTTTTCCAGTGACCTTGGGACACCTGTGTTTAAGGTTTTTATTTCGTTTTAGGTCATTGTTCAAGTCACTCAAGCCATTTTAGGTCATTTTAGAAATCACTTTAGGTCATTTTAGGTCATTTTAGATCATTTTAGGTCATTTTAGGTCATTCCCTGTTTTAGTAACTGTGTAGAATCAATATAGAAAGATATAGTTTCTGGGTTGCATTTACATTAAAACCGAACAATTTGCCATGAATTTCAAAAGCATGTCATATAAACAGAGCGTAATGAGCCCATTTTGCAGAGGAAAAGAAAATTTGTGATAATTCTCTGTAAAATAATGAGTACTCAATTAGTCAAGAGGCAAGGGTATGGTTCTGAGTATGTCAAACACTGAAAAATCTTAAACCTCCTTTCCTTTCCTCCAACACTCACATTGTTAGCATAAGATAATTTAAACTGAATGTTCGGTTTAACCTTGAATTATCTACATTTAAATGAAATAAACTATATTCTTTTTGCATTGGCCAATGATGCTTGATTTCTGACTGAGCATGTTAAGTCAGTGACCATGAAACTTACCAGAGGTCCTGGATGTCCCTTAGGTCCATTTCTTCCAGCACGACCCTGCAAATTTAACCATATGTTGACTCTGAAACATACGACAACTGTTCAATTTTTTAAGCTAGTGACAGTATTAATCACATGTTCACCAATTGAAACATTGCATAGGATCAAAGATCGATAACTGAATATATTTAGAAAGAAACCCCTCCAGGTGGCTGGTATGTTGGCTGATAATGTCTGCACCTGAGATATTGTCAGAGAAATTAATAATTTGGCTGAGAAGTGAAGTTTCAAGGACAAATGTGAAATTTTTAGATATGATAACAGTCTGGTAATTTTCCACCATGTGACATCAAGTAGCCAATAGAATTGTGCTAAAATTAATAAAAAAAGGTTATAAAAAATGTATACTTACCTTAAGACTGAAATAATAATCAAACCCATTCAAATGTTGCACCCAACCATAATTAACCAACAATAATTTCACCAATTAAAGTAAACTGTTATCTGTTGAAATAATTTATTTCAATCTATTTAATATGTAACTCTCCTTTACCTGGTGTCCAATAATCCCAAGATCACCTTTCAGTCCTACATTACCCTAAAAAGAAAAATGATCAATTGAGTTATCCTAGCATGGTAAGTGATTTATTCTTCTTCTTTCTGGGTAATCTACTGAAAAAAAAGATGTACAGTCTAATATACATTTCATCCTGGTAGTTTGCATTACAAATTTACTAAATCATTTTCTTAAAATTGATTGATTAAATTTTCCTTTCCAATAAGCTTGTGTACATAATTCAGCCAGATGGTATTTCCCCCATTAAAAAAAATGTGTTCATTATCATGTCTGGCCTAAATTATAATTTTCAGCCAACATAAAAAAAAAAGCAACCTACCTGCTCACCTGGAGGGCCATGAGAACCAGGCTTTCCAGGGATGCCACCTGGACCCTGTTATAAAAAGTTGTATGACATAAGAGGGATGATCCAAGCAGAAACAAGGTGTATACATTTTTTAAATTCACAGAAAAGGAAACTCTTAAGAGATATTGTGTCTAAATGTGCCTGTCTTACCTGCATGCCTTTATCACCTTTATAACCCTTAGGTCCAATTTCACCGACCAATCCCTAGTATAAAAAGTATAAAAGTCTATTGCTATAGCTTGATAGTGGATACACAAATACATCCCATTAGACAAAAGAAGCAATGAAAGATGGTTAATTTTATCCTCGATATTGTATCAATATCCTGAGCCAAGTGATTCTCGGCAAATTAGCTTATTCAATGGGTTTGGACTACATCCTTGCAAAATAGCCTAATCAAGATATTAATATTTTGTGCAAAATGGGCCATAAACTATACTTTGCAGTTACTGTAGTGATTACTAAATCCGAAAAGGACAATGTCAAACCAATCAGAACCCCAAACACACACAAAAGATAATAATAAAAAAACGATAACAATTGCACTCCACTGCCCCACTTCCACATCTGTATCCATATTCAACATGTAGGTTGAATATAGATCACTTACAACATCCAAAAGTGGTGGAATGCAAATTTTTAGAGGAAGTAAATATGACATACAGGATGACCGCGGGACTCAATGACTGTTACCACTCTTGTTAATTCTGTCACTGTGTTACTGGGAGGACCCTAGAGAATTGTAAAACAAAGTACACATGATGGAATTTTACAAAGGTTTAGCAATATAGTAGTCCTACTACAATAATAATATTGATAATAAGTGATGAAATCAGATAGGAGAAGAAGTAATAATTAATGCATGTAGAGCTGAAGTAGTAAAGAGACTATTGGACACTATTGATAAGAACTAACAACTTGCCTTGACTCCAGCAGGTGCTGGCATGGCAACCTAAACAGGGAAGTCAGTCAAAGTGTAAACACAAGTGGTTATATACAACGATGACATTTATCAGAATAGATATTGACTTCCTTGATAGTTCTTTAAAACTAAACTACTGTGAAAAGTAAGGAAAATAAAATTTGTTTGAATGTTATACTATTTACTCTTTTTTAAGTGGAATGAGCCATGTTTAAAGTCCAAAAGTGTACAACAATGTAATCAAATTGTCAGTACCAACTCTGAACCAAATATCCATTTCACTTACCAAATGGCATAACGATTTAATGTAAGCATTTATCATTAAACCATGTTTGTAAAATTTTGAATAAGCAATATTAATTGTCGAGAATCATGCCCTTGGGCCAGAATCCTAAATCCTCTAATCTGATTGGGTAGTTACTCCATTCTTGTCAAAGCAGAAAAAACAAAACCACAGAAAAACATTAATAATTTTTTTACCAGTCTGAGTTGGTCCATATGGCAACAAACTGTGCCCTTGGTCTTGAGTGCAGTACTCAAATACCTTAGGCCCTTTTTTTTCCCATATGACCTAAAAGTTCATTCTGTTACAGATTGCTCAGCTAACGACAAAAAAGTATAGCATGGTAAAAACCATCTTTCAAACACTTACAATGCCTTGGCCTGATTGTGTTTCAGTGCTGTTCCAACTTTCCTGCAATAAATTTCGTAACCTCACCATTAGGTACACTATCCAAAATATTTAATTGAGTAATGGAATGAGTCGTTAAAGGAAAAATCTCTAACCTTAGTCTGATGTTTAGCGTGAAGATTTTTTCTATTAGAGCAATCACTTGTCAATGGTCTCTGGCAGAAAGCATTCACAGTTTCTTGCTGATCCACAAGTAACAGTTCACATATGTCATTCTAATTAAAAGAGGTGGAATCAATAAACTCGTGTAAGAGTTACATAATAGGTTAATAATAGGCAAGGGGGTTCCAGATGTAGACGACAAGTTAATTTCTTTTGAAGATGTTGCAAAGGCCTTCTCTAGATTCTCAAAGAAAAAATTTAAATCTTCTTCTTTCTCATCTAAATTTGTCTAAATCCATCAACATTTTGATAATCAAAGCAAGGTTCCTGTACCAATAAATAGAAACATTTATGTCATTTATTACTTAGTTTGTTAAATGTGCAGAATAGACAAATAACTACATAAACCCTTGAAATCAAAACAAAAAGACATATTAATACTACCAAGGTCAAACACCAGCTAAACCAGAATTTGAAAATAATTGCCAAAACATCTGGGTCCATCATTTCTTTCTTTACTATACCAATATGTGTGTAGTCTTTCAAGTTATAAATGAGGTTGAAAACCATCTTCTCCCTGTTCAGTATTCCTTTCTTTGGTTTCCACCATCCCAAGCAGTGAGCAACCTCATTACTAAGCAAAATGCATTTTCTTTTCTCTCTTTTTATATTTATCAATTTTGTTGGCTCATCAATAGGTGAACTTTCAAAAAACCATCTCTAGCACTCACAACAAACCATGCTACCTTTACACCACTATAACAGTTGAATGAATACTTTTTACAACAGGTAAGCATACATACCTTAATATCACTATCTTGGGCATCCTCAAGGAGTGCTGTTACAGCAATCTTTTCCCACTCTTCCAATTTACTAATGCTTGGCAGTGATAGGTAGTTGAATTCTTGGCAACTTTGGGTGACTGAGATTTCTTGGTGATTAAAGCTTACAAGCAGTTTTTGCCATGAGGAAACACTAGCTAATTTAACAATGCCAAATATGGAACTATTTCTTTGAAATGAGAGTGATCTATTCTGAACTGTAAGGATATAGACAGTTTCAGATGAACTTCCATCAACAGCATTTATATTTATCACAAATTTCCTACTGTCTAATTCCTGCCTAAAAACCAAAAGTAAAGTGTATCTCAAGGACTTTTTAGTTAATAAATAGTCATTTTCTGGTATTAATGGTGCAGTTGTGCTAGTTTCTTCTATGTATGGGGAGTTCTGGTTAATATTATTCTCTGATGCATTTATTCCTGAAGTATGCAATCCTTGAAGATCTACTGGAAGTAATAAAAGAGCATATTTACTTTGAATTGTGAGATCCATAAGAAATAATATCTAAGGTTGCATAGTGGCCTGATACATCAAACACTGACACCTTAACAACATTACAGTTACACTGTTAAAAAAGTTAACCTCTAGAGATCTTAAATCCCGATATAACTCTTATCTCCAGCCTCATCGCCAACTAACCCCTTAAAACCATAAACAATAAGAGAAAAATTTTTAAGAAAAAATATGTAAGGGACTTCAAATGCTTGAAAGGTCAAATAATGAGCAAAACATTGGAAAATAAAAGAAAAATGCAATTCTGGAGATTTGGTGACCCACATAGGCAATTAGAGAGATTTGCTCTGTATTTGTAAGACTCCAATTAAGTATCAGATAGTTAGTATACATGTTCCTTTTTTTTAATATGAATGTACAAAAGAGTTGTTCAGGATAAAGAAAGACAAAGAATGACAGTTGTATATATAGTTTCACTTTTCAGGACAATTTTTCAAAGTTAAATAGGTGGATGTACTTTGAGGTCACTCTCTAAGCACAACAAATAATATCATGTTAAAAACATGTGGAGTTAGTGCTTTTACAGATGTACACTCCTTTGCATGAGACTATTCACAAATAATCAACTGACTGAACAGTTTGTATTATGCAAAATACTGAATATCTGTTGCTTTTGCTGAGATCTGCCAGAAAATGAAGCTAAACCTGTCTATTTATGACAATATTAAGTTAGTTTTTGGAAATTCTATTAATGGTTCAGTTTCACATTTACATGAAACTAACAAAGTTTCATTTTAGAAAAAACAGGGTAAACAAAAAAGGAAATGATTGAGATGCTTAAGATTATTTACTTTGTTATTGTTAACATGAAGCATGTTAAAGGAGAATTTCAAATCTTCCCACCTGTTGTGTTTGAAGCAATCGATTCTGTGGTAACTCTTGTTTGATGTCCATTGGCAGTTGCAGTGACAAGGAGAAAGAATAAAACTAGTACAGATCTGAAATGAAGTGACAGCACATAAAGAATGAAACATCTTACCAAAAAATGAAAACTATAGACAATATATATAAATATGTATATATGCAGTTAAATATGTATATATATATATAGTTATAGTGTAATCTAACTAACAGAAAAACACTACAATTCTACAAGCTTAACTACTTTATCAAACAACATGCAATATTCTTTATAAGGAGCAACTCCTAAAGGCAGCCCAGTACTTATCCTTGATAAACTTACTCAAGCCCACCACAGTCTACATCTTAGCTCACCACTGAGCCAAACTCCCAGTTTCTTCCAATATTTATTGAAATTAGCAATCTTCCACCATAGCTCTCTCTTCCTTATATACATTCACAAAGTGTTCTGAAACATTCCACAAGCTTATAAAAGAAATATTTTAGTAGTATTATGTAATGACTGCGTGACTTGATGAAATGTTCCAGAAAGTTCTGTGGTATGCATATCAGCACAACTAAGCAGTCTGAAGATTTCCAGAAGCTAACATATACAACAACAATTACTTACATATATTTATATCTATGGCAGAGAGCAAATGGTGAACAAATTGCAGATGCTGCACACAAACTCTTTTCCAATTATCTCTACATTGACTACAATCAATTAGAAATTGGATTATTTCCAAGAAGCAAAGGCAGTTTAGAAATACATGGAACATATGTTATATTTTAAATATGTTATTCTCATTATGGTTAGTTAGGAATTTAAAACACTATATCTTAACAAGTAGCACCTGCTAGTAAAGTTAATATATTAACAATGAGAATTAAAACAACTCTGTGCTGTATTTAAGAAATATCTAACTTCAGAGTAAAAGAGATTTGCAGCAATAATGGCATGTTCTTAAGCTAAGTAGAAACAAATCTAAAATACATGCAAGTATGAGGCTGCCTTTGTTGAATGTTTCATAAATTCAGGTTGATTTGGTTCCTTCTTCAGTAAGGTATTTTTAAAATGCTCCTACCCAACTTCCAATACACAACAATATAATACATGTTATGGTCTGCTTATGTGCGAGCAAAGGGGGATTCCCTCTTAAAGATAGGTAAAAGCATATAATTATGTGGCCCCGTTAGAATGGCCGAAAGCAACACACATATTTCACATTCAAAAAAAAAAAATGAAATTGCTAATTCTGTGTCTCAGAGCGATTTCTGAAAATAAAATGAAAAGAGTTAAAGCACCCCTAAGATAAGATGAGTCTGGATAAATTTCTCGCATGTTTACTTTAGAATTAGTACTCTCAACTTCACTCGAGTAAAAGTGGAAAAGTGGCTTACGGGGCCATGATGACTCTGATATCTTTCTTAAGGTTATCTCTGTCACGTTCATCAAGATTTACTGAGAAACAGAAGTAATCCTTCGCTTTCTAAATAAGGCTTCCAGTTCTTTGCTCCAAACTATCAATTAGATTTGATTTCGTATTTATTGCGATTTAGCACATTGTAAGAGAATTTTAATGAGGATGTCATACATCTTTGCAACGTGTGACAACTATTTTATCAACGCTAGGTTGTATTTCACGTAACCTTCGAACAAATTGTGGTTTTCACACCTTTCCGGACAGAAAAGAGAGCATAATATGTGAAATCACAAACACCGTGATGTGAGGGACACTTACCTTCTAAATTTACCATTGAGAAGTCCACAGAAGGATTTCGGATTTTCCAAGTTCTTGCTGGCAATTGTTTCCTTCTTGTCTAAGAACGTGGTAATCATCGCATTCTCGAGGCAAGGCTTTCAACAGAATGAGACTGGATTAGGTTCCTACGTAAAGGGAACTCAAGAGCACACAAGAACTCACTGTGAATCTAGGCGACAAATGAATGTGATGCGTTGAATTGTCAGATGACGAAACCATTATAAATGTCACGCAGTATCCTCTCTCAGACAAAGGTGGCCTTTTTTGAGCCAAGTATGAAAAAAACCTACCGATGAAATAAGCCATGTATAATCAGAAGGAGAATCGCAGTGTTGATTGAGACAAAGTTTTCATTATTCTACGTATAAGTTTGCTCTGAGAGCCAATCTATCAACCTACCACGTCACATGATGGTTCTTCCCGAATCAAAGCGTTCGTCAATGAGTGTTTGTACAGCGTATTGAAAATACGCAAAAAATCTGAAAGCACTATTCGAGGACGATCCGTGTCCTACCTGCAGCCTTCAGAGTGGAGATTGCTGCCGGCCTCCTTGTTTTCAAAACACAGCGCGCGATCTCCAATGCAAGCCATGCGTCAGACTGGACCCAAGTGGCTTGCTTGTGTCAAGGACGACAACAACAGGACCTTTGTCCGTTGCGCGGTGGGTGTAAGACAACGATAGGAGACAAAATTTTTAAAAATATCCTTTTTTTCTTGGAACGAGACAGATATGAAGAACGATCGAAAAGTCACTTTAAACATCTCTAGAGTTCTTAATAAATACCGCCCAATGACAAGACAACCAAGTCAATGCACCTCGGAAAACAGACTTTGATGAGGATGCGTGACAAGACCTCACGCAGAAGCGGTTATCTGTATGGTTTTCAAAATTTGAGCCGAAAAAGTAAGACAGAAGAAATAATACTTATACCGGAAATGAGCACTCTGTCAGCATACAAATTATTTGACTGGTCCAGTTTTAATCTCAGGAATGGTTTGCGATTCGACGTAAGGTGATACACAATTTCATAATTATCATATACATTTCAGCTTCTTGACGGTCACTAAATGATTACAGACGTTTTCAAAAATGTTTTTTCTTTGAAAAAACCAACTTAAATGGTAAATTGGAGAAGGCAAAAAAAAAACGAACTAATTGAAATGTTAAGTTTTGTGTTACTAAAAAGTGTGCCGCGCTTCTCACACAGTGTGCTGATACATTTTCACTACTTTGTTGTAAAGTTTAATATCGTGCGCTCTGAATTGGCAACAATAAATTTATGTCCATGATTACAACTGATGACTCCTTCATCGGGTAAAATACTATTGGACTCCGTTTCACTAATTATTGCTGTCTTTTCCTCTCCTTAAACACGTTTTCGGTGAAAATCCAATTAACCTCTTGAAACTAAGGTGATGTATTATTATCCAGATAAAATTAAAAAAAAAGGAGATAGATTTCACAAAGGGCCTCAAAGAAAGAAACGAGATCCATATTTGTGAGCAAACTGAAGTTTAAGTCACGCGATGTGACGTGAAGGCAACCTTAATTTTTCTAACGAAAGAAAATAAATACAGTATATGGTACTAAGATTTACAGCGACTGAGACCAGCTGAGTTCAACCTGCAGTAATGACTGATGGACTGACAGAACTTGACTTGATAATGGAGGGTGCTGCAGAACATTTGAAAAGTACTGATTACTAATCAAAGATCAGGTGATCAAACTCTGTTTGAGTAAAGAGAATAAAAGAGTCCTTATAACACTTTTTAGTACGCTCCTGCAGAATTTTTATCGGAGGGAGTACGGTCTTCAAAAGAGATGCAAATCAGTGGAGGCTTATTGTAAAGATACCAGAAAATCTGTTACAGAAGCAACAACTAAAGCTTTTCTTTTGGTTAGGAGATACCCTTAGGGTTCTCCAGCCGAAAGTGTGATAAGACGGCCTTGTGGTACATGCACTGCGTACATCATGAGCACTGGAACGATAGGAATCGCAGGAATCACCACTCACGAAAACCTTTCATCCAAGCTAACACTTCTGTAGTGAGTATCACTAATTTGAAAAAAAAATTCTGCCAATTAAAAGATCAAGATGCGGTCAGCAAATTTGATTGATTCGTTTCGCATATATGTATGAAAGCTCATAATTGAACTTTCATCTAAAGGTAGGAACAGAACATCCTACCCCAAAGCGCTACAAAACTCCTTTAACATAGCTTGAATAGCAACTGAAACGACTAATTGGCTCTTCTGGGCTGTAGAACGAATCTCGGAGCTTAGGTTACAACAAAATACTGGTGATTGATGTAAGCGTGGTTAGGATTCACTGAAAAACTATAGCGTGATAAGTTTGCGTATCGACGATAAATATCTCAGCGAAAAGTAAGTCGATAAGAGTATTTGACACCCACTTGAAAAATTCTGTCACAGAGTAAAATGAAAAGGAAGTCATTTAAATACCCTAGCGCTGTTAAAGGACCGAGAAGTTCTTGGCCAAAGACTTCAGCAGTAGAAATGTCTAGTTTTGACAGCAATGAGTTCAGCCCTGGACAGGGAGTCAAAGAAATCATTGCACTGATTGTCTTCAAATTCAGGAAGATCGGAGTCAACTCCCACTGTGCTCTTAACATGTTGAGATGTAGTAAAGTTCAACAGCAATCACCTCAATCATTCAAACACCACTTCAGTTGAGATAGCTGTTTAAGGCTACCATTTTGAAAAACCCAGGGTCTCAAACTAAAATAAAATGAGACAAAGACAGTAACAAAAACTACATTTTCTCGCCGTACGATTAAAAAAAAACCTGACCTGTGACTGTATGTGCAACGCTGTTTCTGAGACATACACACAAATAGATCATGACAATCACCGTCAGTTGAATTAAATGAGAGCAAAATGAATGGAAAGTATGCAGAAAGAAAAGAGAACACGTATGTTTACGACTGTAAGCGATCATCGTCAGTTCCAACTAAAAAGGCCTATATAATTAAAGAGCACTGCGCTGGTGATCAGAATTGTGGGTTTTGTTGGTTTAGTGCCATTTTGGTCACAATGCAAAATTGAACCGTCAGTGGCCTAGCTTTAGCATCCCTCTACAGTCTATAGAGCTTCCAACCAGTGTGGGTAATGCTTGGAGTTCGATTACGCTGCGATGCGGTCTGAAGGCTGACCAGTGCTAATCAGTGAAATCAGTGAAAGAGATAAGGTACGATGGAGTCCAAACCGTCTTTGCCTCATAGGACGAAAGAATGAACAAAGCAAGATGTTCGGGTAATGCGCGACGCTCGGCTGTTAAAACAAGTACGCCTAGTCTGAAGGCTCGGGGAAGAACTAACCTGACATCGCGTAAGTGATTTATCAAAGCGACGAGATTATCCCTACGCGGCGAAACCCCACTATTCTGATACCCTGATGAATACTCCTTAAAGCTTAAGTTCGTCCAGAGAATTCAAAGATGGTTTACACTTTCAAACCCAACGTCCGGTTATAACATAGTCAGAAATTGTCCTTCTACATAACCTGTCCAACCAGGGGAGTCACAATTTAAACTGTGCAATAACGACCACCGGAACTCTTTTACAATTTCAAAATACTTCTTAACCCATAATCCAGCCGATAATCTTCTCTTTTGGTCTCAAACAAAAACATCTCTTTCTAGATTATAGGTACCCTTGGGAGTCATCAAATGCATTCAGCTGACCAACACAGCTGATTTACTGGGTTTTAAATCTGGTGGTGAGACAAAAAAAGTATTCATACCTTCCTATGATCAAGGACGACCTTGCTCACTATGAACTCCGAGGTTCATTCTGATGGTCCTTATCAATAATGATGACCTCGATTTATCAGAGTTATTAGATCGATGTAAAGGAAATGTTTGGTTACAACGAGCTGGAATTGTTGTTCATTTATTAACGACTCGTTCCGTCTTCTACCCTTCATAAAGATAACCGTCAAAATCGATTTTGACTAGCAATAGCCTCAGTTAGAAAAAGTAACCATGAAGAGGATGTCTTTCCGTATTTTCACCAATGGGCTCACATTCATATGTATTTTTTCAGCTTTTACAAAGCACAAGAAGCACACACACACACACACACAAAATGAGCTTCAGGTGAGTTTCAGGAGCATGACGTTTTATGTTGCAATGTCACATTTCTACGCTCGTTCTTTACTAGCTTCCCTATTTCCTGTTTTTATTGTCACGCAGATCAAGTTTAAGTCAAGCTTTCACAAATGGTCATGCTTGCTTGTCTGTCTCACCCCTACCCGGCTCTAGCCGCAAGGCCAACTGAACCATCTTTTTCTCAAGGGACATATAAAACTGTGTAGCAACCTCAGTCCTTAGAAACGGATAAAAAGACCGAGAAACACATGGCTGTTCAGTTCCGCCATCTTGACCTCAGACTACACGATTGGCGATTATAACTTGCGGTTATAGGTTCAGTTTCAAAGTTACATTGTCCACGATGGTTATGATGTCGTTGGTCTCCGGCTCTGGTGCCCAAACATTGCATCAACATGGCCACTGCAAATGATTACTGCTTTTGCTTGCCTCTAAAGTCCCCCCTTTTTAGCCATGAACAAATATCAATTATTTTCCTTCTTTGACAGCCAGATTTTCTACTGTTCGGACAACTTTGGATGTAATTAACTCCTCGGGAATATTTACTAAATTATGAGTATAGTAGATTAAAACCTACCCTCATCAGAGGCTTTGCTTCACCCATTGTAGTCACTGGAGTACTTGATGGTACTCAAGCTGTAAATTACATGCAGTATGATTGACGATACTGATAAATTTTTCATTATGACAGCTCTTAAAGTCAGCGAGGTAATCTGATTTCTTTTAACCCACTTAGGTGGTGTTTACAAAAACGCACGAAATGTGTAACTCAGTTTATTTACAATAAGTTATGAAAAGGAGATTTAATTTTATAACCACTGATAAAAGGATGGTTTTTTTAAATGTCCAAGCCAAAATGAAAAGTAAAATTGCAATGAAAGCGATATGTTATTCAAAATTTTGGTAACCTTACGGGTGCATTCTTTATCCTACCAAGGGGGTAGGTATTAGGAGGTAATGTGTAACGAGAATAGAAAGATCTTTTCTTAAATCATATCAATAAGATTATTCTAGGACAAAGCATGTTTGTAGGTTTCTTTAGATATCCACGCCTACACAACTTGCATGTCGTTATAGAGGAGACCAAGGGAATGTTTGAAGTCCATCAGTTCATTTTCAAGTTTACCTACGAAAAACAAAGGGGCTTAGAACATGTATATCTTACAGTATGATGTGAAGGGACGGATTCGAGAGGAAAGGAAAAAAAGCAACTTGTCTTGTCAACAGTTGTTGCGTTATACCGAGGGTGAATGATGGACAAGTACGACAAAATGGAAAAAAATCGAAAACATGTGTGTTAAGAGGTCAAAAACACGATAACTCGTGACAACAGACAACAATTTGGGATTGTCCGTAAAAGGAACCACAGATAATGTTGCCCATATTCTTACACCTGAGGGCAAATCAGGTCTGTATACAAGTATCCTCATCAAAGCTTTGTTAATCTTGCAATAAAGCAGCTTTACGGTGTTCAGTTACAACATACTCTTCACACACTCTCCCACATACGGCGGTAACCTCTGAGAAGCGGAGCGGTCCGGTTCGAAATAGCTGCTACGCAACATGATATCATATAAAGGCGCTCCAGATGAATTGAAAAGTGATTAATTTCCCATTAGCGCCCATCGTGTCTTCGTAGACAGCTCGCGGTTTTAATTATCCTTTTCTCCTCTTTAACTAAGGTCACGATATCTTAACATCATTATGTGGGTTGGTAACATGTTTTGAAAAAGTTCAGTTCCAAATTTTTATCACTCTTTCTTCACTAAGGATCATCTCGAATGGGAAGTTGATATTGCATTCATAATTCTCACGGCTGTCTCTGCAAGATACAATTGTTTCGAATATTTTGGCCCATTTTAAAGTGGAAGTCGCTAGAGTGGTAATTTTGAAGTCTTAATTAGTGATTAAAATGATGGTTGCAAACAATAAGTATCTTACTTATTCTTTCAAGAACCGCAAACAATTCCTGAAGTTTGTCCTGAATAGTTTTGCTGTGCCTTTCGTAAGTTTGAACGATATTTTCTTCCAGAACACCACAAGAAGCGTTGATTTGTTCCTCGAGAGCTTTCTTGAAATCTAAGAACATGAAATGTTTTTCAGTAAAGCGATCTACATTACTCAGGAAACTGTAACAGACGATGGGTATCTTCCAACGGACCTACACTTACGAAAGATGACGCGACGTTGGGCCCCCGAATCCGCTGAAGACTATGCGGTTCATCAGGGGAGTGACGTCCATATACTTCGATAGGGCGTATGTACGTATATGCCCTTCATAGAAGCACACGTGTTTACCTTTAGAATCTAACGATATACATCCCTATAACGATTAATAGAAATCGGCTTTTGTGAATGAATCGTTCTCATTTCTTTGTTGTGATACTATAATGTGTGGGACCTGATATCATTATACACGAAAACGGTAATCGAAACGTTACTTAGCTCAATGCGGAACTTTGACTTATCTACAAAAAATATGCATAGGCTAGAAGGGATAATTACAAATCAGATCTTGAGACCTAAAAGGTTAAGCTCATCAACCATCCCAAGTGTGGATGATAAACGAATAAAAAGCCTCGACTACGTTCTGCATTGTTGCAAAGCGAGAAGAAACGACTAGATAAGAAATTTAAGGCGCTGCTCTCGACATTTATAGCTTAATCAAAGAAATGAAGGTCATTGCTTCCATATCGGATTCAATTAAGTCAAGAGCTAGACAATTAAAAAGAAGGTTCAAGAAAAAGGGTCTGCTTTCTCTTTTTATTATGTCAAAAATAAATTAACCCTTGCCCCTCTGTTGGTGTAAAATGCGACTCTTAAACTATGCAAAAGAGAAGAATTACATGTGATAATCACATACATGCTTTTAAGGCAGTCGGCAAACATCGCATGACAACACTTAAACATTCATTCAATCCAAATTGGAGAGAAAATGTGTCGCTTCCCACATACAGGTAAAAGGAAATCTGACTAGATTCACAAGATCTTTTCAACCACATAGCACCGATAGGTCACGTTTCCTAGTGCATTCATAACTCAGTTCCTTCGATACCGAGAGAGTTCGTCTTGTTGTGGATGGTGCCCTATGAGAAATCATCTGGTGGGAAAAATTACCTTTTTACCAAAATTACCTTTACCATAATTACCCTACTGGCCCTCTCAAGAGTTTGGGCTACAATTCAGATACGTTTCCTAAAACGGGGTGAGATTAATCTAATGCGCAAAAGCTTCAGGTTAACAGCAGCCATAATACAAATACGTTGACGAACAAAACGTTGCACCCTTAAGGTGTCCCTTTGATTGCAAATTATTTCTATCTGAGGGTTAAATCAGAAAAATGGCGAAACAGCCATGACAGATTAAGACAGTATAGTCATTGATCAAGCAAAGAATCAGAATATTCAGGATTTTTACTCTACCGTTCAATAGATCGGTGTCTCGCTTTCTTTTGGCATTGATATCATCGATGAGCTGCTGGCAACTCCCCTGAATCTCATCGTGGGAGGCATTTTCACTTGTAACATTGCCATGTTTCGTTGCTGATAAACTACGGATTGCAAGTTGATCAGGTTCCTTTGCTCTCTCTAGAGGCTCACTAAAAATGAAAGAAACACTTATCGGATCAGTATCATGCCAAAATCTTAAACACTGCAAAAAGGATGAACAAGTAAAAGTAAATTTTGATGAGAGATAGTGCATGGAGATCTAGAAATCAATGCAGTCCAAAATCAGAATTGAAGAGCCCTAATGTTTTTGGGTTTGATAATACTGTTCTACAAAACATGGATGCATGTCCTTAGACAACTAGACTATTAGAATAATAGAAATAGATAGCAAAATAGAGACCATCGAGTTTATTATCCTTTAAATATTTTGCAACGCGCGTCAAACCATGTTTACGAATAGATGACCTTTTGTCGATGTTCACTATACAGTGTTCTCTGATACGACTTTGTGAGCAAACAAACATATCCCTTCTTCTGAAACAACCACAAAACGCTCTCCTATCTCGAATTAAGTTTTTAACGATAATTTATCGTTCTAAATGTAGGGTTTTTAATTGGGGAATATCCCTTGGGGTATATCCGTTTAGACCAATTGTGAACAAAATTATTTGATGGATTATATCCGGTGATATTGTTTACAACTGAATTCAATTTAAGAGAACTTTTTGCTGTTGTTGCAGAGGAAAACACTGACAAAAGGCCGTACCAATTGTTGTGGTAAACATATTTTGTTCTGCGCGTTTCAAAAATATTATTGAAGGGCAATAGGCGCAGAATCTTCCATTTGGCTAAAATACATGTTCGTATATTTGTCCTTGGACATTGTGTGTTCCTGAAAGCTCTCGGAACAGATAATCTTTTTCGCGGACAAATATGCAAGCATCTTTTCCTGACAGATGAAGGCTATTCTTTGAATATATTGATAAACATGTGCATTTAAATTTTACTCCAAATTTCAAAAATAAACTCATTAATAAATTATAGTCAGCAGAGTTTTGGGACTTTTCCGCCACGTTTAGAAAGCATTTTGATCTTTACCATATGTAGTCGAAATCCTAAATTCCGTGGGGGTAGTATGGGAGGATATGAATAACAATTCGGCTTATCCCGATGTGTAAATGTATATTAAATCCACCTTGTCGTCTTTGTATTAATCAGGTGAAAAGCGACTACGTCAGTGTACCGGCTAATGTTCTTCTTTTCTTTTCACCTTTTAGATCATTAAAATATGGATGTAGAGAAAGCTATGCAGTCTTGAAAAGAAAGCTGAAAATAACCTCAACCTACAGTCTTCTTGACACAACACATGGTCTCAAGCAAAAAGCCCTATAGACACGTAGTCCCATGTTAAAGCGTTTAAGTAAGGCTCACCACGGCTTCAAAGTATCTCCTCTTGAAGTTACGTCTTCCTTGGTATTAAGTTCTTTGTTTTCTTCGGGAGTTTTGCTTATCGCATCTTGTTTCTCCATTTCCATTCGAAGTCCGGATGCCTACAATGAATAAAATGTGAATCCAGCCTTCTCCCGATGTTCATTGACAATAATACATTTTCACTTACCCTATTCCTGGTCAACAGTGACCAGTCATCCTTGCTCACCCTTTTTTTCGAATCTTTCGAATCGTGAGACTTTTCAAGACACTTTTCTTCAGCGAAGAGCAAAAACTTTTGAACATGAATAAAAGTTTTGCCGACCACTGATGGGACGCGCGCGGGGCACCACATTTTCGCGCCAAAAGTAAACTACGTGATAGAAAGATCGTCCATCAAACGACCAATCAGACCCATTCTATGAGTTTTTGGTCCCTTTGGTCTAAAATAGGACTAAGGTATTGTATTTTCTTGAAATTAGATAAATTCATATCGAGAAAATAGTAATGTAAATAGGGTTCAATCTCCTATTAGGGAAGGTACGTTTTTTCTTGGGGGGGGGGGAGGGCTGGGGAATTTTGGTATTTTTTAAGAAAGTGTTGGCCCTCCCTCATGTTTTGATTAAAAAACTCCTGACCCCCCCACTTTTAGGTGACTGACAAAAGTGTGGCCCTCCCCTCACTACTACATGGTATGCTCCATGCCATAGAAACCTCAGAACATTTTTCGACATTTTGCTTGTAAACGCAAAATGTTTTAATATGAATAAATCTCGATATTGAATATGTGCGCGCTGAAACAAAAAAATGCGAACGATCAGTGTGGGATCCGGGCTTTACTTTTTTTTATATAGATGAAGTTTGAATATGGAAGTATAAATTCGAGGAATTAAAAAGCTTTGAACGTAGAAGGGAAAATACACGCGTTTCTTTCAGAAAGGGGAACTGTACATGGAGTACAGAAAAATGTCTTGTCAAGAGAAAAACGGCGAGCTATGCGAATACTGTCGAGCAACTGATTTTCTAAGTCCTACTTCCGCTACACCTACTCCACGACTCTATCCCGATTACAGCAAACTTCCTGGCTTTCACTACCTACCAGGTACGAAAACACCAACGACTGGCCGCAAACCTGATGATTATCAGCCTAGAGCTCAAATAAAACAGATGTTTCAAGAGGGTAGGCTCAAAGCCGGGGATAAAAATGCGATCAAAGATTTTTCTGAAAAATATATTGTTTCAGAAAAGCTAGTTGCAGACTATATTGATCATCTGACTGACATTGAACTAAGAAAAGATAAGCGGAGAACAGAGAATGACAGAAAGCGTACAGCAAGAAAGCAACAGGAATACAATGACATTGACTGGCAAGATCTTTATCACAAAACCAATTGTCAACCCTAAGAGTAGGTGGACTTGAACTGTATATTAATCATCACAATATTCTATTTAAAGTGAAGAAAGATGAGAAAGTGAGGGTTGTGAAGGCTCATATTGGCAGTAAGATTTTGACTTCAATTGTGCAGGAAAAACAGACAAACATTCCGCTAGCCTCTGACTCAAATCCAGAGTCTGACAGTGACAGTGACAGCGACAGGGTAGAGGGCATTGTTGGATCTTCTAGTAACTCTTCAGAGCTTAATGACTCAGGAGATCAGGCAGCGGATAGACAACAGATGGAACAAGAAACCATACCCGAGTCAAGTACGTCACGATACGGACGGAAAAGGACACGAGTACTCCGAGAAAATAATGTGCCACGGAATAATATACATGTAGACACCCAGTAACCTTGTAAAACTAGTACCTGCACCGAATTAAAAGAAACAAGTTGAAAAGAAAAAACTTAGTCTGTTAAAGAAAAATGGAAAATAACATCACAAAAATCCCCATTAAAAATTCTGGAAAAGGTGTGACCCTCCTGAATAGCTGAAAAACAGGGTATGGCCCTCCCCCTTTGGTGCTCACTTTCACTGATGACCCTCCCCTCTGAGGACCCAGCCCTCCCCCGCCAAGAAAAAACGTACCTTCCCTTAGCCTTGGATATTTTTAACCTACTACCCACCCCTACCCGGTAAGTCCATATTTCTAAGAAAGACAGTGACATCATACGTGGCCTAATCACGTGCTTACAACTGTAGTTACATCGAAGATGGCGTACGGAGGAGTATACCTAGCTTTTCTTGCAATCATTTTGGCTGGTCTTTTTGATCAGGTTGCAGCTTTCGATGGCGGAGATGCTGCTGCTCTTATCATCGGTCTAATTCTCGGCATCATGGGGATATGTGCTTGCCTAGGAGCGTATGCAAGAAGACAACAAGGATTATGAAAGAGCTATGCATTGAACTAACTTTACTTGAATCAATAATGTGTGAATAGAGGAAGTAGTTGATCAAGGCTTTTGAGATCTTCTTAACAGAAATTTCTTCTTTATATATATGGAACTTTCATCCAAATGTAACTCATTTGATAGTGCGGGCCCCTTCTCGAGGAACTTTTATATTCCATGTGACAATTTTTCAAGTTTGGTTGCATCTGAAAAGTGGTTCGTGATTTCAAGTGATTTCAGATATAAGGATGCACAATTTTACTGTGCTGAGTGCAGTGGATGAAACGATACTTCAAGCTGGTGGTTTATGATAATTTATGCATAAGTGATTTTCAGAACCCTCCGTTACCCTTCGCTGTTCGACCGATGGTGGCTCATTTGCCTGTCTTCGAAAACGAAACTGGTAAAAACGTGTTCTACCTAGATCACATTCAACGAAAGCGTTCCAGAATTGGATCTACCGTACTCGTGACTTCAAGACTGACAGGTGTAAAGCGGTGAAAAACTAGGGAGGATTATCTTTCATTTAGAAACGTAGAAACTCACACGAAACATTATAATCAACCAGTAATTAATATCAGCAGAACATTATTTGGATTGTTAGATATCCTTTTGTAAATTAAGCTTCCGTTTGAAAGTGAAAACTCCATTGCTGTGCACAAGCACATCCTAGGTGCCACGAGGGAATAACTTTTGTCATTGTATGATTGGGTATTTCAGATTTCTTCTTTAATTTTTATTTTTAAAACCCTTTACACCCTAAAATCAGTATTTCCTGTGTTCTCATAATCTTACGGAATGATTCAGCAATGTAACTTTATGTAGGTGCTGGCCACTCTCAGGGCTTCAAGGGTAAAACATGCAAGTTACAAACAGTTGTAAGATTCTTTGTAATTCCTACTCTTTACATTACCTAGCATTTCCAATTGGTTACAAAAATTAATGACCAAACAATTTCCTTGAGTTTGAATTGTAGAATTAATAGGCATTTTTTAGAATTCTTTTTGGTAATGTTGTTGATACCAAAACTGCCAAACCTTTTGTAGTCAAATGTTTTGCTACGGTCCAGGTCAATGATGATTTGGTTTGATGTAAGGTTCAGGTGCTTGCAAATTTCTAGCAGGTGTGATTGGGTGTAATAACTGCTTTTAATGAACAAGCTTTCTGTTAAAGATTTATTGTCACTTAGAGTGAATATATGCCCAAAACTGTTCCACATTTGCTTGTAGGGTAGGGTTCCATTGAGTTCTAAAAGTAATGTCTATGATAATGAGATTTAGCTAAAGTTGATTAAGGAAAATTTACCCCTTGACGAGTGTATCTTGTTGGACTTTACAGCTTTTTCCATTACTGTCTGACAAATTTTGCATTTCTCATTATTTGACAATTATTTTCTGAAATACCTTTACAGCCACCACAATGTGTAATTTCAAATGTAAGTCTATATATATAAAGTTAGACAACAACTTAATTCAAACTTTTTCAAAGCCTGGGTATAATTAAATTATTTAGTTACCATATACTTTAGACATGCCTTTCGTGTATCATGAAAGTTGTTAATGCATAAATTTTTATAGTTAGTCCTGATTGTCCTTGATCTGTAAAAATAAGCTTTCATAGAAAGAAGTATTGCAAACTAAAACACCCCAAAAATTTACCTAAATTTTACCTAAATTACGGAAATGCCAGGGACAATGTGGGTGGGATTGGGTTAATTTTTGTTCAATCTTGTCAATACACTGATGCTTACCCTCTGTTTCTTTCAAATATTGAGTGAATTGATTCTAATAAATAGATTTGTTTCTAACCTGATGAGCAATGAAAGATGTAACTGCTATGGTCACTACTTCATCAAAAATCTGCTGCTTGAATAAGAAAGATAAAAACTAGTTTCCATAGAGAAATTTTGGTCTTTGTGAACTAATAAAGATTTTTTTTCTCAAAAACCAATTATATCACCAATTTGCTAAATATCATAGATATAATAATATAATATACTAAAAACCCCTGCAAGTTTCTTGTGCTGCATAGTCTTAAGTTTTTTAGATATTTGTGTAGTTAAAATTAGATAGAGACAATTTTCAGAGAAACGTTAAAATCAGTGGTTTTTCAAAGGGCTTGGGACTCAATACAGAAATATCATGTTCATGAGCTTGAAAATGATTTGTAAGATGTTGCAAGGATTTGAGAAAAAATGTATATCACACTTTTTATATTGCTGGAACATTACATGTGGTACTAAAACTGGTGTTCCCTTTACACTCTTTTGTTATCCTTTGAATTCATGTTCTCAACAAGGAACTACTCCTTAAAGCAGCTTAATACTAACCGTTAATAACTTAACTAAGCCCACCACAGTCTATATCTCAGCTCACCACTAACACAATCTCACTGCTGTCTCCATAATTCCTTGAAACAAGCAATCTTCCTCAGTAACTCTCTCTCAGTAAAGCTTTCAAAACAGTTGTTGCTCTGACAACAACAACTACAACTACATTAGTGATTCTTTTTACATTTTCACAAAATGTTCTAGAACATTCCAGAAGCTTACATAAGAACTATTTTAGTAGTATCATATAATAAGTGCGTGACTTGCAGAAATGTTCTAGAAAGTTCTATGGTGGGCAAGTCAGCATGACTGAGCAGTCTGGAGATTTCTAGAAGCTTATATATACAACAACTACTCAACACCACACTGCAGAATTCTAAGTGTTTTTGGTAGCTGGTTATATGTTTGTACCCAACATGGAAAGTGATATCTTGAGAGTTAAGTGTCCTTGACAGTTGAATGAATTTGTAAATATTTACAAATATTCAGCCAGCATACCCAATCTGACCCTATTAATTACTAGTTGACAGAATTTCCTTTCAGCTGGACTTGGGAGTCTTTAAGTAGACTCTTGATCCTATCTTCTCTTCTTTATGTAAATTAGGTGGTATTTCTTGTCTAGCATATGAATGGTTATCCAGCTGATGAATTAGCTGATAATTACTTAACAGCAGACAAGTGTCTAGCAGTAAAACCACTATCCAGTAGATCCAATTAAAATTCCAAGAATAGTGTATGATCCAAAAGAAATAGTGTGACACTTGGAATTAATAGCTCCTGCCAACAACAGAGAGGAAAGGAAAATTACACGATAGGAGTGTGCAATCACAGGTGATCTGTGTTAAGGCTACGACGCACAAAGCAACATCCTTTGAGGCGTGGCAACAATTTTATTCTTTGTGACATGATTTTTAGGTTCCTCAAATTCATGTTAGTTTGAATTTGTAAAATAATGAATCAAATTTTTTACGATTTATCCACCACTTGATATGCCATTTTTACTTTTTTCTGTGCAAGTTTTCCAATTTCCCTATGTTACCTTAGAATTTGTCAATTCAGAACAGTTTGACGACACTGAAGGCTATTAGAGCTACTCGCCAAGAGACCTGAGTACTAGTAATGCCAACGAAAACAACATGGCGGCTGGCGGGAATGTTGAAGTTGTTTGGAAAACTCTAATGAACTACTTGATTCCCGAGTCTACTCAAGCACCAGGTATCAATGAAATAATGGTGGAATCTGTGTATTTTCATTTAACCAACTAATCGGTATTGTTTCTATGACAAACTCTAGATTCTTTGGAGCAGTTTACTCAAAACCCTGACGTGTTTGTTCGAATGCGAGACTGGTTTTTGGGTAGGTGACAAAATATATAATTCAGTAGTTCTGCGAGGTTGACAGATGAAACCTTCTATGTGACGTTTATTTGGCCTTCTGTTAACTTGAATGAATCCGCATTTCGCCTTTTCAGAAAAGTTCAAGAAAGATTTGAAAGATAAATTTCGACCACAATTTTGGTCCTATGTCCAAGAAGACAAAGAGGTAATCACGTTGAAGAATTTATCATCCCCTCCTTGAATGAAGTTGAAGCTTAAAAGTCCAGGAGTAAGGAAAATCTAACTGTACTTTCGCCAAATTCAACTTCTTATCCCGATAACAGCATAGGATTTGGTAAAATTCCCGCACAGCCCCATACTACATTATGCATTCAGTTCTTGGATAGAGAAAACAATAACAAAAACAATACATTGCCATTGGGAAAACAGATTTGTTTTACAATAGTATGGGGCTGTGTGGAAATTTTTACCAAGGATTTTTAAAGATATAGGCATTTTGTATGCAATCATGCACACCCATCAAAACCTATTAAAAAAAATTCTAGAGCGTGATTGGTCATCATCTTCCTGGTTTGAGGACTAATAGGATGGTGTGCATGAAGGTCCAACTTTGTTAATTACCAGTCCAATTACAAACCAAACTGAATTTCTCTCAGTCCTTTACTTATCAGCCAGATATTGGCATATTGATACAACACCAGATTCTCCTAGCCAATTTACAACAAAATGCACAGCAGTTATATTGTTGGAGTAGGGAATTGACCTTTTTGCACAATTTTGGTGATTTTGTTCTTAAGGAATGAGACACGGGTGTAATAAGTGCAAATGTTAGTTTTAAGTAGGAGAGATTAAACCAAGGGTAAATATGCAGCCAAGAAGTATAGCCCTGGTATTGAGACCTACAGTTATGGATGCCATAAGGATAAGAGAAAGGGTCATCTTGTGGGAAGTGATTAAAAAAATTATGTTGTGGTTATCTTGCTACTCACAGGTTGAAGCAAAAGGATTTAACACCCTTCTATGTGCAGTGGGAGATCTCTATAGAGGGTTATCAGCATACAGGCCATTTGTAGATCTTCTTCAATCTTTGACAGGATCACTCCCATTAGGGTATGTTATCAGGATACCTATCCAACTGAAGGGTAACATAGAGTTCAGGAGGTTTTTCAGCTTAGTGGTCAATGATTAACCCTTTATACCCAAAAACAGTGTGCATATTCTCTATACTGTCATTCATATGTTTCCTAAGTTGCTGTTAATGAGAATATATTTAATAGTCAAGAACTTCTTCACATCCCTGTGATGTGAATGACTTTTTTTAAAGGCTAGTCACTCTTATGGGTGACACATAGTAAATAAACATTTATTAATAGTGAACTGGCATTAATATGTTGGACTTTGCATGGAATTATTACTCTGTACTGTTAAACACATTCATCCAATGTTTGTTATAACTGAAACAGTTTAAAACAAGAGTACAAGATTATTCAGTAGAAATCACAACTGCAGTAAGTTCAATTGTTTTACTATTTTTCAGTGATCTTAATCTGCAGTTTGAAAGACTTGTGAGGGCTGTTATCTTTTGTGATATACCTGAGCATTTCAGAGGTATCGTACATGCATCCTACACTCAAGCATTTCAAGCATACCAAATCAAAAGCAGAAAGGAAAACAAAATGGACACATCAGGTATTGCCTAAACTACACATCAAGCCTTCAATTGTTGTCTTGCAATTGAAGATTAAGACAGAAACTTTTTAAATGTCCAAACCATCAAGGGTAATTAAGTCTGTATATGGTTTTTACTGAGTAGACCAATTTCATCCATAGTGTTGTATTATTTTCAAAAATGAAAATCCATTTCACTATGGATTTATTCATCAGAAATTTAAGTTCCAAGCATGAGTTAACCCTTGAACTCCCAGAAGACAGCAAACAGGTGATGAGAATATCCAAATTTATTAGGTAGAGGTTGTTATCTTGATCCAACACTAATTTCTTGTAACTAGTTTACAAGGAAATGTGTACCAGCTAGAGGGGAGAATTAACAATTCAATCTTGGGTGTTAAAGGGTTAGGATTATGCTTTACTCAAATGGTTTTGTTGATGATACAACAGCAATATTTGCACACATTAGACAGTCTGACATGAATATCTACCTTTAAGTAATTGAAAAGTGGATGGTTTATTGATGAATATATAGTAAACCCAAGGGCTGAATTGCATATTTACAGTTATTTAATACTACTAAATAAATTAAGTTATAATTCTAAAAATACAGTTCAAAATGACTAAAATGAAACACGCATGATTCCCTATAACTCTGAGTTTCGTGCTTATGCACTCTGTCTGACAAGTGCGTAAGCACGAAACTCAGAGTTACAGGGAATCATGTGTGTTTCATTTTAATAGTCATTTTGAACTGTATTTCGCTCTACACTCATGTGTATTGAGCACACTCCAACAGCATTTGCTACAATTTCCAATAATTAATTCTAAAAATATAGATATATGGATTGGATGCTCTTGTTCAGTTCAAAGGGAATCTCCAGACTCTTAAAGCAAATATTTCTCAAAAGGCTCTAAATTTAAACGAACCACATTATGTCTTCTGTAAATTATGGTGATTATAGAATGATGTGGTTCATTTAAAGTCTTAAATGTTATTAAGGACCGTGCAGCTAAATTTTAGGGGTAACTTGTAACTGACAGGTGCTTCATCACCAGGTGCTTCATCACCAGGTGCTGAAGGTGATGATGAAGATGATGATGTGGAATCACTGACTTGCTCTGGTTGTTTTGAAGAGAAGGACTGTTGTCATTGTGAAGACATAATTGAAGGATTTTCACAGCTTAACAGCCAGTTCAGTTCACTTGGACTAATAAATAAAGTTGCTGAACCAGCTTTCCTGTCAGTCATTCATAAGGAGGTATAATTGTTGTTTAGAAGAAGTGTACAATTTTGTTTGGACACACTTGCCATATTTTGAAATTCATGAAAATAAATACAAAAATAATGGTTTTTGAGAAAATTCAGTACATTGTTTATGAGGATGGTGACAAATCTGATCCAACCAATATGCATGTCAACACATTACCAACACACAACTGGTTCTTGGTCAAAGCATCAGCTGACAAACTGACAACTTGCAACCAGACATGTTGGTTACCTCCAACCCTTACATCCATCTTCTCAACAATAGTCTTGTAAAAACCAAGTAAGTGAACTCAGCCTAAGAATACTCAAGTCTGACAAGCAATGTACTAGCAACATGCCATTGAGGCATCGGCCAACAGTCAGCTGATGTGTTGCAAGACATGTAAGAATTTTTTAATATACCTATAGTATTTTTAAAAGTCAGTTGTGAAGGGAAATATGAAAATATATTTTTTGGTAGAGGTACCATTTATTGTATACATAACATGTTGGGTTCTTTTAGTAAGCTACTGCTACCTAGATATAATCACTGAGTATAATTCTTTGAAAAACCAGTACAACAGGTTGTAGATAAATTGCTCAGTACATGTTTTCCTTTTAACTTTTAATCCCAGGTGAATAATTTTTTTACCTGTTTGGTTGACTCTCAGGGTTGGGAGACAAGGGTCATTGAGTAACAATCCAAAGTATTAGAATGTTAGTTCTGAGAACTTTGTGTTAAATCAGATGTCATTATTTCTTGTTTGCTTGCCTGTGTATTGATATTGTAAGATGAAATTACTTAATTGTCACTCCTAGAAGTGAAAGGGTTGATCAAAATAATCTAACTAATTTTGTCATTAACCAGTAAAATTCATGTTTACTTGCCTTTTTATTAAATTCCAGAGATGTTCTTTTCTTTCTCTCAGATTCAAAGAAAAATTGATGAAAAGTGTAAAGGCGAATTTGAGACATCCTTTTTGTCTTCCTTGTTAAACTGGGTTGATACTGAACTGTGTGGCTGGCTCTTGATAATTTTTCAATCTCAAGGTAAGTGTGTCTAGGAACCTTTAATCACCAACTCACATTTGATCAGCACTCCAAGCTGCAACCAATTTTCAATTTTATTTTTCCTGTGGTGGTGGGTAGTGGGTGTGTGTAGAAATAACATGTGAGGACAATCAAGAAAAGTCCAAAATTATTCTTTATAAATTAGAAATGCCTAATGTTACCAGTTAGTACATAAATCAGTGGTGTCCTTTCCAACAGATCAAGATAATCAAAGGCAAACCAGATATGAAACAGTGTTGGACAATCTATTATTTATAAACAGAAAAACTACTGCTACATTGCTTCTTTCTTACAATGTCACTTTGGTGTGCCATTTGTTGAATGTCATGTTATGTTGTTCTAGAGTTTATTCAACACAACACTGCTTTCACTGTACCTATGTTTGGGAAAAGTTATTATTAGCTCTTCTTAACCAGCTTTATTAACAACTAAAAAAAATGGCTTCTTCCATTTAACCAAATGTTGAAAGCCATAGTTGATGTGAGTGTTTTGAAGGTTATCTTAGGAATGAATCAATGACAGGTACTCTGTAGACTATTTAAAGCTGAAATGGATCTGAAAAATCTCCAGCAAATGCTGACCCTAAGAAAAATACTGAAGAGTTGTACAACGATGTAATAAAAGGTGTGGACACATCACTGGATGCATGGAAACCCAAACTGAAGTACTTCATGTACAAGTCATTTGCTGACCTCAGGTAAATACAACTTGCCCTTCAAGGCACAATTCTTACAAATATTTCTGAATTATAAAATCATGGAGCACTTTACACCCTGTGGTTATAAGAAAAAATACTGATATACAGTCATTGAGCAGCGTTATCTTAGTTTATTATATGGTCAAATAGAAACTTTAAAACAATTTGTAAGCCTTTCTTGAAACAATTTTAATTACTGGTTTTAAAAAGGAAGTGCACAAAGTAAAAGAAATGTGTTGTTTTTTCTTGCTTTCTTCTCAGAATCAGTGAATTGTTCACCATAATAGTGGAATATCCAGACTCTCTCCCTGCAATTAAAGACCTTAAGGTAAATTTAGTCAAGAATGTCAAAAAGGGAAAGGCACAATGAGCCTGTCTGAGAGAAAGGATTGTGTCAAAAGGATATTATGTTGCCTGTGAGTGACCAGCCATCAAGGAAAATTATGCATTGAAGTGCATCATAGGATGAATGGATGGGTGAAAAAGTTTTCCTGTTTCATCAACTCACCAATCAATATTTTAAGTTATTAGATATTTAGTATATTGCACTATCTATTATGGGTTATCTTTAGAGATACCTCAATCAGTCACACTTCTTTCCATTCTATTCCAGTCATGTTTAGAAGTTACTGACCAAAGAAAAGAGCTCATATCATCTCTGAGATCTGCGTAAGTAACCCATTTCTGGTCAGCAGGACTGGAATAACTTAGGTTCATATTATACTACACTTTTTACCATACATGACTGTAAATTTTATTGTTTGTGAGCCTCAAAGTATGATTAAGTAATCAGCAAACCTTCATAATCCAATCATTTTGGGAAGGCAGATTAAGCCTCAATTAATTGATAGTCTGAAGGGTAATATCATTTCTTAAAAAAAGTGACCTAAATTTCTCATTAAGCTGCTCATCCAATGCTGATTTTAAATTACAAATTAAAAGTGCTTATTTTGGGTTCTGTATATATAGACTGAGGTATCCTGTAAAAGCAAGTTGATTTTATGGCATATGGTATATGGGTTTTGAGTCATCACAATTTGAGGTTCTCTCAATCTAGTTCTAACAATACTGCAGGTTTGAGAGACGTTTGCTTCATCCTGGTGCCAACACATCAGACATTCTAACTCAGTGTGTGTCAGCCATCAGAGCTCTCCATGTGCTTGATCCATCTGGAGTGATTCTAGAACATGTCTGTTTACCTGTCAGGCAATATCTCAGGTACAAAGCTACAAAAACATGTTACAAAAGAAAGTAGCAAAGTTGTTTCCATTGGACATGTTTGCAATGGACAGAGTGTGTGAATCCTGTTGAAGAAAGTACTGTCACTGTGAAATCAGTTTTTTAATCTCTGATCATGTCTGCACCAGTCCTCTCTGTCTTCTCTTGCACATCAGTTATAATTTTCTGTTTTCAAATTTATTTAGCATATAATTAAAAAGGCAACAAGAAACATTCTGCAATCTTATACTTCCTGTTACTGAGATCTCAGTAGAACAATCAAAAATTTTCCTTCATGACTAGATGAAAATATTTACAAATGAAGTTGCTATTGTAAAGATGAAATTCAGAAACAAGCTCATCATTTTTTAATGTTACCAAATAATTTCCAATATGGTGAGAAGCACACATAAACAACATAAAATTATAAACTTAATGACTCATAATAAAAGCTGTTAAAATCAACAGCCTCATCAGCTGTATTTATAATTGTCAGAACTCGTGAGGATACTGTACGCTGTATTGTGACAAGTTTGACAGACGACAGTAGCACAGAACTTGCAGAGGTGAGTCAGATACAATTTTATTTAATTTAAACAAGATATCCAGTAGAAGTCATCATAAAACCTTTGCTTTTGTGGTACAAGTTTGCTCTTGTTATCTCATAACAGACAAGAGAGTTCTTATTATATAACAGTTAAATGGTGCCCTCAGCAGGTAACTTGTTTCTTTTGTTAACTCAGGAATTAATGCGAGGAGATCCACGCACCATTGATGATTTAGGTGCTTCTGATAGTGAGGATGATGATGACAAGTGGATGCCAGCTCCAAGTGATGCTGATCCAGGTAGTTTACAATTTATCAATGAGTTTTTAATTTTGAAATAAGCTATACTTTCTGTTAACAATTACACAAAACCATTTTGTAAATCAGGCATGTATAATTAGCTAAAATATTACCAATGAAAATCCTCAAAAACTGCAAATCTGAAAAACTTCCATTAGCACATGTTATAGAGATGTATCTCACTTTGTCCATCAATGAATTTAAAATGTTCCTGATTCAGGGCTAGTACAACACAATCTTTAGATTTACATGATAAATTTTCCCTCCATTTTCCTTTTCTCAGATAAAATATTAAGTAGCAGAAAAGCACCAGACATCATCAGGTGAGTTGAATTCAAGGTCTCTTTTTTTATGGATGTTACACTCAAACCAGGTCCATTATTTTTCTTAACACATTGATTTATAATTATTGAACAGATGTATCTTTTAATTTCATTTAATCTAGTTATTTTGATTTCCATAGTTTTCTTTGATATAAACCAAATGCAGTTCTTATTATCTCATACATACAGCTATCACATTAGCTGCTTTAATCCATTTGCAGGTAATAAAGATCTTTAGAAATAAGATTTGAAATTCTCTTACAAAATGTTTCTTGAGGATTGCTGAAAATAATTAATATAATAACATAATAATTTAAATAATAGTTATCTTAGAGGTGAAATATCTAAAGAGTAAAAATGGACTCTTCTTTTACCTTCAGTTGTTCTAATGTCTACCTTTACAGCATGCTTGTCAACATTTATGGAAGTAAAGACCTGTTTGTGTCTGAGTATCGCACACTCTTGGCTGATCGCATTCTATCAACCTTTAACTATGATACTGAAAAAGAGGTTAGTATAAGTTTGCTTATTATATACTCAACAAAATATCGCGTTTCTGATTGGTCAATGATGAATGCATAAATAGGTTATAGAGTGCAATAGAGGTTATAGAGTGCAATACGGAGAAGTTGCCATGGAAACACCGGGAAACCCCAAATTTGAACACCAAATTATAAAAAAATCGAGAATATAATAAATAAAAAATCGTATGAACCTGCTCATGCATTTTGTGATTTATGGTCACTCGTGATGTTTTGAAAGTTCTCAAATTGCACGAGCCTACGGCTCATGTAATTTTGAGAACTTTCAAAACATCACTTGTGCCCATAAATCACAAAATGCACTCGCATTCATACGATTTCCTATACTTAGTGTGTTTGACCCATAAAGGGTCTCTAGGGCATTTTTGGAGACCAGTAATCCACAATTTTGCCAAAATTGATATATTAAGTTCCTAATCAAAATAAATTGATTTTCAAACAAGCAAAAATATCCATAATCATCATAGAATATGCAGTATTTATCAAAAAGTTCTTTGTATTTTTTCTCTTTTATTGGGTCTAATTTATATAAGATTTGTTTGATTCTTAGCACACAATATATGTTTTTTTTTTTTTTTACAGCTTCGTTATCTGGAGCTATTGAAGCTCCGCTTCGGTGAATCACACTTACACTTCTGTGAGATTATGTTGAAAGATGTGGCAGACTCAAGAAGAATTAATTCTCATATTCAGGCATCAGCCAAAAATGCTGATAATAAAAAGGTATTTGGGGCTGACCTGCTTGATTTCTTTAACTCTCAAGATCTGACTGTTAATTCTCCCTTCCCCCCCCCCCCCATAGCTGATAAGATTTCCTTATAAATTAGTTAGGAGAATTTGGTGTTAGATTGAGATACCAACTTCTCCCTGGTAAGTTTTAGTAGTCCCATTACCTGTTTGCACATAATGTTATGGATAATAATTATTGATAATCACTTCTGGTGGTTAAGGGTTACAAAAAATAAATCCATGTTGCTGGGTGTTTGTTCAGTAATAGATCACAGATGATGTCAAAATGTGACAAGGGCAAAATAGTGGCATCAGAAGTTAAGCTGAGTGTGTCACTGATGCTCATACCTCATTGTCTAGGTGATAACTTAGAACTGTGGTGAATTAAAGCACAGATCTACAGGCACTATAAGTAAGAACCAATCAACATAGATAGATAATTCAGGTTGTTAAACAAAAAGATCTGTATCCTTTGCTGGGATCTCCCTTTTTGGGCAGTTTGGCCCTAGTTTGGTGGTGACACACAGGAGTGGGTATCATGTCATTTCATCTTACAATTTTAATAGACTCTCAACTACTTGGGAATTAAAATTGAAAATCTCTCAGTTATCAAATCAGGATTATTTCCTTGATATAACACCAGATTATTAGCGCTAGGTATCAGACAAAGAGACTTACTCATAAGTTGGGAGAATTTGCACTCAGGATTAGAGAGTGAGAGGGTATATTGCTGTTTGGTTAATGTTTCAGGCAAATGCTATTCCCTTAACATCCATGGTTTTATCTGCGGTATTTTGGCCTGCATTTCGGGAAGAGAAACTCAAAGTTCCTGAGGAAGTGCAAAGGTATTCTTAAAAAAAAATTCTCTTTTCAATTTGTATTAGCTCTGATAGTAATATGTTATTTTGTTCCTTAATCATGTAAGTACACAACTTGGGCACTTTATATTATTGAAACTGTCTTAAAACTGTTAGTGAAGGCAATGTTTTTAATATTTGTTGGTGTTTGAGTTGACACTGGACAAAGGATCATCTGGGTTACATTCGTCATTCCAAGATCTGCAATATGTCCAGTAGTGCATTAGGAAGATGGTCAATAGATTCAAAGAGGCTTCAAGTTCACTTGTTGCAAATGTGACACAAGAGTTATTATAGAAAACAGAAATGACCAAAAGTTTCCTTTAGCTCAGTGGCAGAACATCCTTCTTGTAAATGTGAAATGGACAGTGAAACCTTAGGTAATGTGGGTAATCTTTCATATCAGGGCCATGGATGAGTATACTCATGGATTTGAGGCCCTTAAAGGCATGCGAACATTAAGGTGGAAACCTCATTTGGGTCTGGTTGAGGTTGAAGTTGAACTGGCTGATCGCACTCTGTCTTTATCTGTCACACCAACTCAGGCCACTGCCATTATGCATTTTCAAGAGAAAGGTATGTCTAAGGGACTTTACACAGCTAAGCAAGGCTTAGCTAAGCTATTAACAGAAAATTGTAGACCTTGACCAAGTAACTAAAGCTATCCAAGTAACAATTGTCATCCTTACCATGTTGCACTTAAAAATGTTCTTTGGTAAAAAATCAACACAAGTGAAGAACTGATGGACAGGACTCTATTAATAAAAGTACTTGTCTTAGAGGCAGATGTAAATTGTCATCTCACCTCAAATTTTTTACAAAGTTATTTCAGCAAGCACCACTTTCCTTTGTTAAGTTACCCATATGTTTGACATGTGTAAAGAATACTTTACCCCTCAGGTTATTATTTCACCTAACTTTAGAGATGCAGAACTAATGAACCTAGGCTTTCAACAGGGGCTTTTTCAAAGCATCTAACAAAAGGGTGCTAAAAAGTTGTGGTGAGATCACATTATTGCTCCAACAAGGAAAATAAATAGATGAATGAAAAGTCCCCTCCCCCAGTCATCCAACCTTGAGAAATATTAACTTATTATGCTCAAACTGGAATGCTGTTTTGATATGTTGACGCTTGCAGAACGCTGGACTGTGGAAGAGCTTAGTGGCGTAATGCATGTTCCTCCTGGTCTCCTGAGGAGGCGTTTAGGATTCTGGGTCAGTCAGGGTGTTCTCAAAGAGGAGTCTACAGACACGTTTATTGTTATGGAAAAACAAAAAGGACAACAACGAGCTACAGGTTAAGTTGATCACTTGCACTAACAATGATACAAATTAGCAAAAGTACTAGCCAATCCTACAGTAACATTCCAATGAAAAGGTTACACCTCGATGTGCATTTTTCCAACAAAGAAAGGAAACAGGTTAATGGACGACTATGGCAGTGGTCAGATGTTAACAGCTCATTCTTGAAGCTTTTGTATTTGCCTGATAAGGCATACTTGTTACATGTACAGTTTAACATTGCTTGTAACAAACAACATCATTTCTGACATTATGACTTTAGGTGCTTTATTCACTGGTCTTTTGAAAACTGTGGTTCACCTTTGAAAATGGCCAGAAGACTGATGTTATTTAGAGATGTGAGAACTTCAAACTGTGTAGTATGTGATGTGTTTTTTGGACAAAATTTTAATTAAGATGTTGTGTTAGCTTGAGGTTTTCAACATGATTCACAGTGTTCTCAAGTTTCCTGTGGTTCACTTTTGTGTTCTGTCAGGTTAAAATTTTGTGCCACCTTCTGGATATGGCACAGTTAAATTTTACTTTATTCATTTATCATAATTATCTGAAAGAAATTGTGGAATGGAAAAATACAAGTTCTTAATTGCAAAAACTTTTAATTGTGTCTGCAGAAGTTGTCATGGATGCAGAGATAGAATCTGTTATGGCTTCTTCACATGATCAAAGGGAGGAGGAATTACAGGTATTGAATCAGTGCAAACATTTGTCAGTTGTTGAAAAGAAAATGAGATGTAAATGCTTCTTTATGGTTAAAGTTTACCTATATAGAGGCACTGTCCTTTGGAATATGCTATCTTCCAGATACACTGACCTTGCTGACACAAGCCTTTGTAACCTTGTAAAAAAGCTCAAAACTTCTAATCTTTTTAAGGCCCCTAAATTTAACGTATTATCAGCTTTGACTGCTAGTTTTGAACATGACAATTTTGTATATAATTGAAATTAAGTTAGTTTTTCTGTCTTATTGATATATATTGTAAAAGTTCATTTTATTTACATTTTAACTAATGATCGAAGTAATATATTGTAATTTTTGTAAAAAACATTTTATCTATTTTTTAATATCAAAGTAATTTATTGTACACGACCCCACAAGCTTTCAGCTTTTATACATATCGTGTATAAATAAAGTTACCCTACCCTACCCTACCCTACCCTACCCTACCTGCTTGTCAATTGCCAAAAATTACATGATTAAAACCAAGATTGATCGGAACTAAACCTGCTCCCTATTTTTTAAGCATGGTTTATGAGTTGAACTTTGGTCACCATGGGAAAAAACCCAGCCCTGCTTCCATATAAGTTGTTCATTTAATGATAAAATTTGTGGAGCTTTTTAAATTTTTTTCTACAAGGTATTTTGGTCTTACATTGTTGGTATGCTGACCAATCTGGAAAGTCTGCCATTGGACAGAATACATTCCATGTTGCGGATGTTTGCTATGCAAGGACCCTCATCAAGCCAGTGCAGTGTGGATGACCTGAGGAGGTTCCTAGATCGCAAAGTTAAAGACCAAGAGTTGCAGTTTGTGAATGGATTTTACAGGTTACCCAAGTCAGGCAGATAACAGCAAAAGTCATCACAAACTAGCCATATGGGAATTTCTAACCTTTGTTGTTCCAGTAATCACAATATATGAAGCTGGGGCAAATAAATGGAAGCACAGATCAGATACTGTTACGTATCTTTCCACTGAAGTACTAAGGTTCCAATATTTACCTGGAAAAGCCTCTGCACATTTCCCACTCTTTGGCTCAGGTTTAAAAAATGTATTGCTGCTGATGATAACTTCTTAACTAAAAGTTAAGAATTGTGAAAGGGCAATCAAAAACAAGAAGTAAACAGAGACCTGAAAAATTTTTGAAATATCATCATCAACAAAAAAAAAAAAATACTATTTCAAGTTAAAACAGTTAACCGTTATTTTATTAGCCATTGTATAGTTCTTTACATCACTCAAAAATTACATTTAATAGAAATTAAAAGGATTGAACTCATGTGGCAACAGTTCCAGGAGTGAAATATTCATCCCATTCTATTTACACCACTCTTCTATTGCACAATACTTACATTTACTTTGTACATCACACACATTATTCCAAAAAATTGTTTAAAACTTACCATTAACAATCTCTCTACTTCATTTCTTTACATTCTGCAACCCTTAAAATTCTAATTAAAGAAAGGTACCCTTTGCCTTTATTTCAAACATCTGTCAATAAAATATACACTCTGAGAAACACAGTAAGGTCTGTTAGGCATCACTGTAATTGTGTTCCTCTTGGATCATGAAGCTCAACCTGGTATCAAGAAACATTTGGCAGGCTGTATTTTTCAAAAGCCAAGCAACTTCATGCTAAAAAAACTGATATCAAGGAAAGTGATAAAAATGACTCATTTCAGTCTTATACTTGAAGAGAACCTTACTCAAGTTGAGCATTTACCAATGAATTGATGAATATGAATAATCTTCAAATTTCTAAGATTTTCATCTGTTTTTAGAAACTCATGCCTCATAATACAATTGCAGAATGTAAAGATCAGAAGTACTCAATAAGAAAAAAGACACTGGTTTAAAAAAGGTTTCTGTCAAAAATTTTCCTTTTCTCATAGGGCTTTTTTGAATGGCTAAATAATTCCACTGGCTGAATTTTGTGATATTTTCAACCAAAAATTCCACGTATAAAAATGCATGATTGTTGCTATGTCTTGCTATGCACAAATTAAAAATAAAATTCTTTAATTATTGACCAGCCCAGAGTGAATTGCTGGGCTTAATTCAAAGAAAGCTATACTCTGGTACAGTTCTTTCAGGGACTGGCAGTAATTGATTAGTCCTTTCCAATAAATTACTATGTCACTCTTTGCAAAACTATACATTTAATGAAAACTTGTTTCAATCTGCTTTACTGTGTGTAAAGCCTGAATCAAATATTTTTTTTCTGCTTTTCAGGGTTTGTCCCTAACCCCCAGAAATATGTTCCTGTGGAAACAAATTCTACAAAATAAGAATCTGCAAAATTTTGCTACGATCAGAAAAAACTCTTCAGTAAATCAAGTTAAATTTTTTGCGACCTTGCCATCAGTATAACTAAACAAGTTTCACATAAGTTGAAAATAGTCAATTTCTTTCCATGTCATTGTTCAGAATCACAAAATAATATAGCCCCTAATAGAAATTTCAATCATAATTTTCATGCTGGAAAGTACAAGCTCGTTGTGGGATTCACTCATTGAAAGTACATACAACTATTGGTATTACACATAACCACTTGTAATACTATTTAATTTTTTTGCAATTTGTCGTGCAATAATTGATATGCCTGGTCATTACAATGGTTTGTCTAATAAGTTGAAAATAGTCAATTTCTTTCCATGTCAATGTTCATAATCACAAAATAATATAGCCCTTAAAAAAATTTCAATCATAATTTTCATGCTGGAAAGTACTAGCTTATTGTGGGATTCACTCATTGAAAGTACATACAACTATTGGTATTACACATAACCACTTGTAATGCTGTTGAATTTTTTTGCAACTTGTCTCGCAATAATTGATTTGTCTGATCATTGCAATAGTTTGTCTAATAATCACCCCATGAAATTCTTCCAACTTGTCTATGAAATTGCAGTCTTGACAGCACTGCTAAACTGATCTAATTTTCCTGTGCATAGTGTACAAAAAAAAAAAACCCCTAAAAAGATCTAACCTTAACTGTATTGACTTGATGCTTGTAACAAACATAATATCTACAACCCCTTATTTTTGAAAAGATGCTCATTAGTTAAATTATCAACATTAGCTCCTGAAGTCCAATTTTTAAAGCTTGAAAAATAATGTTAATGTGAAGAATAATGTTAATGTGGATGGGATTTCATGGGTGAGCACAATTTACCAACATCCTGAAAATTTTCTCACTGTGTATGAGTTAAAACAACAGAGCACTTGCATAATCAGTAGAATCTGTGAAGCCTTGTCCTTCATCAGCATACTTTATCTCTGAATGACTCTCATTAACAGTGACAACGCTTTTACCAGCCTGTTGTGGAGTTGTCACAGGGTCTTGAAAATGGCCTCCCATCTGCCCAATTTGCTTTTCCATATTGACCAGGCCAGGAGGTTGATAATTTTGCAAGGTTTTTATTTCCCTAGAGCCATTTCTTTCATAGTCATCATAGACTGATGCAACAGTTTCTTCAGAAGGATAGTCATGTACTGTATGAGTGCTCTTGAAAGAAACTCTTACTTTGTTCACCTGAAAATCAAAGTGATATTGTTTTTATTAAGATCTCTGCTGATGTGTGACTTTTCATTGTCCACAAAACAATTTTGTGGCTTAATTACTTGAGGCAAATAATTAAGAAACCCCAAAGGAATATTTTGTAAAAAAGGTTTAGTAGTCACATATGATGTAGATCGCAACGTTTTGTGTCTTATAAGACTTCACCCTAACAACATCAACAGGGATAGTGGAATAGAAATTCCAGAAGCGCAGATGCCCATGATAAAAAAACACAACAACAGGAGAGCTATGCAACAGCGGACTGCAGAGGGAGCAAATTACTGAGCGAAACAGCAAGGATCGAAATGCACGAAGCAGAGCTGCTGAAAAACGACTAATCACAGCAGAGCATCATGCTTTATAAGATCATGCATGACCAGTCAAGTACCTCATCGCCTGAAGAAGACTAGCAGTATGCAGTTGAAACATCGCAATCTATATTATATGTGACTACATTGTGAGACAAAAAACTTAACTTTTATTCCCAAAGGAATAACAGCAAACAAAGTGTGGAAAAACAATTTGTTGCAATTTGCTCTAGGGCATTTTCCTATGCTTGAGTTTGACTGTAAAGTTTTTGCTGGATTCAAAGGGCTCCTTACAATGAAGTTAAGAGCTGTTCAGAGGACACAAAGAAATCCAATCAGCATGCTTCTTCAGTTTCCTTCATCTATTTCCAAACAATAATGATTTAAATCTAATGTTGATACATCAAAGGAAGTTTGTTGAGAAGCCTTCACCTATTCAGCAGGTGCACATTACAAATACTCATTTCTTTTTCAAATTTCATGAAAAATAAAAAACAAAAAAAAACAGTTGCTGATTCATAATGGATGGTCAATGAAAGTGACTATTGATTCCACATTGTATGAAAAAAAAAATCCATATATTCATAGTCTACAGACAATGTCAACTTTGTGCAAGGTTTGGATTAATTGCTATATTCTCAACTGTAGAGTTGGCTGAAATTTTCACATGTATATTTACATTTGACAATTGAACAATCTAGTCAGAGAACTTCACATGTTATTTTTTTTAAGTGTATATTTCAAAACTACACCTGTGTTAACATAAAAACTGAAAAATCATACTAAGTGATACTTCAGACACTAACAATCTAGTCTTTTGCCTCTGCTTAAATATTCTTGAAGGATTTTTAGGGTTTTTTTTATATTGGTGCTTAAAAGGAAAAATTATTGACAAATACACAGTTGCCTTGACAGTTACCATGACTTATCAATTCATGTTCTTAGGACAGAGAAATAAGACATATTTTAATGACATGGTAGTTAATAAAGACACATTCAAATAATTTTCATTAGCAAAATGAAAAACATTTTTCATCTACTGAGAGTCACAGGTAATCCTCAAATCAAAATTGATTTCTGTGTAAAAGCTATTTTAAGGTCATCTGATGTATTGAATTTAAGTGATAAGCTGCTTTAAAAGTAATTATCTGTATGTGTTACTGTGAACAAAAGAAATACTACATTAATATTTAATATTTAAATATCACATACATTTTTTTTATCTTGGTAAAGAAATGCAGGTGGGCCAGGTTTAATATTTGCTGAATATTTAATACAAAATGCAGCTCTCAAAGATTTTATCAAATTACAAATGTTGAGCAATAAAGGAAAGATTCTTTTTAAAAAGCCATTTGGTTCAAGTTTTCATGGTCTGAAATCATAAGTGAGTATCTCTTTAAGATCTACAAAAAAACAAAACAAAACAAAACAAAAACCCCAAATAATAAAATTTAACACGCAATTTCATTGAGTCATCAATATTATGGAAATAGTAAAATTTGGCACTATAGTGAGAAAAGCCTTGCATAAGTTTTGACAGTTAATGCTTTTTTGTTAAAATGTCTGTTTTCCATAATTAGTTTTCATCAGGTACAAAAACAATATTGAATATTTTCAAAAGTGAAAAAATTTTCCTGGCTCAAAAGTTAAAAGAAGATCCAGCCAAGGACAAGTAAAAATTATGAATTATTTACGCTAATTTAAATATTAAATACTAATAAAACAAAACAGCTATTTAAGTAAAGATTACTCCTTGCATGATTTCTTTTTTTTCCCCAATGTCAAATACATTTCATTACTAATTAAAACTGTTTATTGCCACTTGAAATTTAATATAAATTGGAATGACCTAATGAAATGGATATTAAACCATCTGCTGTCAACAATTCTTAGTCTGGGAATAATGGTCTCCATATTTTCTCACATTTTCATGGAAAATAAATATATCTTGGACTAGTTTGTATTGAGGTTTTTTCCCTAATTTAATTAGTATAACCATGAAGAGGCAAATAGGCAAATTTTAATCTGAGTGGTGAAGGTCAAATGATGCAAATTTACAAAACTAAATGTTTACTTTTCAATATAAAATTATAGTTTGACTGAAAATGAAAGGTTTAGGAATGTTTACTATTTCAGTTCACAGCTCTAGTTTTCTTTTTTGGTGGTTTGAGTGGTTTTTCCATCACCAACAACAAAAGGCTTGTTAGAATTTTCTCCATTCACATGAAAATATCTCACTATCACAGCTACACAGTAGCAAATGCATCTACTTGAAGAATCTGTCATAGTATTTTGAGTCCTTTTGCAATTTATCGAGAGTCAAGGAAGATTGCCTTGAACCAGAACAAAACTATGAAATCATCATTGATTTTGCTAACTTAAGGTAGCCAGACACAAAAGAAGAAAGAAAACCCAAAGGAGGATTAGAATGGTTAACAATAATAAAGACAAACACAGTAATACAAATGATGAATTTTGTACATTGAAAATGAATTTTTTTTAGGTGAAAAACCATGATGTAACTCAAACAACCCTTTAACTCCCATGATTGACCAAGACAGAATATCTCCTTACAATATCAATACAATATAAACAAAGAGGTGATGAGAAGAGAGAAAAATATCAATTTGGGGATTATGAGTCCATCCAAAGCCAAATTCTCTAAACTAATATAGGTATTGTTTGGAATTCAAAAAGGATAATTATATAAAAAATTGGGATGAGACTTACCCTCCTTCTCTCTGTCTTTGGACTTAAACATGACTTTAACTTGACTGGCTCTGAGTCAAAGACCACTTGAGGTACTGGATACTGAGGGGCAGCTCCTATGTAAGATATAGGTACATCCTCTTCATTGTCATTGTCCTCCTCCTGTTCTTCTTCACCATCCTCCTCATCCTCATCCTCAGAAATGTCACCATTAACTAGGTGTGTCACTTCACCAGTGGCAAAATCATAGCTTCCTTCCACATCATCCACGTCACTGCCATCAGAAAATTCATCTGTTTCCAAGTACCCATCCTGGAAGATATTTGCCTGTTCGTTGATAACAGGTGATGGCACATCAATCACTGAAACATGAACATCATCATCAGTGTGTTCCACTTTCTCTTGGAAACCATTCACAAAGGAAACATTTTGGAAACTACGGACATCTGGAGAAGGTGGGACATCAATCACGGATACAGTGACATCACTATCATGAGGCAACTCTGGGATGTCAATGGCAGATACTGGCACCTCATCAATTGATGTTATTGGAACTGACTCACTCATGCTCTTTTCCACTTCTGAGCTCTGCAAATTTCCATTCCATTCCTGGGTCACAACACCTGAAGTACAAATTTCAGCTCTTTTCTCCTCTGGTTTTGGATGGTTCACTTTCCCCATATAACTCTCCTCTTTCTGTGGCTCAGAAATCTGAACACTTGATTTTGGTTTGTGGTAAACACCCTTTGGAGGTGTGTTGTCATGGCTTGCATCGCTTATTATAACAACATTACCCACCAACCGCTGCTCCACCTTTCCAGTCTTGCCCACTGGTCGTAAACCATGAGAAGAGAGTGATACTGTTTCAGAATTATCCTTTGGGTGACTACTATTGTTCTTTTGATTTTTGTCCATAACCTCTTTTGTTTTATGGCTTGGTGTACTCTCTTTATCCTTGCTATTCTTTTTCATCCAAGGAAAAATTGACTGCTGTTTCTCCTTCTGCACTGACTTTGCCTCTGTCTTGTTAGACCTGTTAAAGAGACTGGATTTCTTGCTATCAACCTTTTCCTCTGATGAGCTTTTTTTGCCTGTTTTCACTGGAGCATGTGACATGTCCAGATAGTTAACTTTTTTCTTGGATTTTTCTTCATGTGCACTCTTGTCTTTCTTGTTTGGTTTCCAAATACTGGAACCAAACAATGCTGACAGCTTATGAACAGACCCCTTAGCTGGCTTGATCTGCTCTGAAGCCTCAGCAGGCTCAGGGTCTGCAGGAGCAACTGGCTTGGTCTCAACTAAATGCACAGTCTCAGTTTTCAGTGATTCTGGAGTCAGTTCTTTGACACTGTCCTCCACCTTGACAACAGTCACTTTTGAATCACTTTCTAAGATCTTGTCCTCTTCTGAATCATCATTGTCTGATTGCTGTGATAACTGCCTATGAAGAAGTTCTGTAACCCTGTGCTCAATGTCACTTGAAACACTACGCTTTCGTGCAAATACTGGTTTGATATCTTGGTCGGGTGAATGAACAGTGGTTGGCAAAAACTCATCATTTTCTTTTGGTGTAAATACATGATCGGTGGAGGTGATTTCATTCTCAAATGTGCCATGTAAGTATGCCTCACTTATAGGGTCATCTTCAGTTGTTGAGTCTGATTCTTCATCATCAACAAGCAACAGGTCTGACACTGATGCTCTTCTTATCAGCTTGTTTACACGGTGTTCAATCCCATGAGCAACATTCGATTTATGCTGGAAGCACTCATGACTTGCATCTTCTCTAACATCAATCAGTGATGATGATTTGCCTCTTTCAAGACTGCTGCTTGGTGAAGACTTCTTGCTAGAGTCGCTTATAGATGAAGAATTTATGGCTCGGTCATCAGTCCGTGGTGACACTACACTCATGACATCTGCTGTCCATCTCTTTGTAGGAGCAGGTGGTCTCTTGGGTTGACTGTTAGCTGATGAAAGGGCAGATTTAGTGTCACTGCGAGGAGACAGATTTGACACATCTCCATCATCATCATCATCATCATCAATTGGTTTTGACATCAAACTTAAAACATCTGCTGACCATCTCTTCATGGGAGGAGCAGGTCTCTTTAACTCTGCAGACCTACGTATAACACATCCCTGTTCACTCAATGGTTCAGACTGACTACCTCTCAGAGAGAGATTTTCTTCAGATGGGGTCCGTTTTCGAAAACCACCCACTGCACCAAACTTACTCCGCAATGAATCAATAGAGCTTGTATTTAAAATATCATCTGCTTTGGGAGTTGAAGATTCATGGGGAACGTTGGAAACATTGTTTATAGTGGCACTAGCTATTTTTTTGTCTACATTATTGGAAGAAATTAATTCTTGTTGACTTTTCCCTTCCATCAGAATGTACTTTTGTTTGTCAACATTTTCATCGCACTTAAAGGATCTCACTTCCTCTTTTGAGTCTGTATTCTTGACAAGTAAATATTTCTGTAGACTTTGTTCCTGTGGTACAATTGTCTTCTGAGCACATGTTTGTAAAGCTTCTTCTCTTTGTGAATCTATGAGAGGTATGACCAGATCACTGTGATCGTTAAACTTGGCTCGCAGTGGCTGTCCATCAAAATTTTCAAAATCATCCTCCCCTTTAGAATCAAGAACCACATCTTTCTTGTGATCTAAAGTTTCCAAATCCTTTGTGGCATTAGGTACTTCACCATTAACATTAGCTACCAGTAACTCTTCCTTGCCAGCCAGGAACGCAGAATTTTTCGATGCATCGTGTTTAAGCCACGGAGGAGTAGCGACATAATTTTTGTATGGTTTAGGGGCGACAAAAGGTCTTAGAATAGATGATTTTCGTTCGATCGAATCTACGTGCAAACTTAATGAATTGTCAGTTTCAGGGATTGATTGTACACTGTCCACGGCACTTGTGGTCAAAATTTGCAATTGTGAGGAAGATTGATGTGATTCGCCATTAGCAGCGCCTAAGGCACTTTCTACAGTCCTCTTATCGCTTCGAACACGGGCTTTATTTTCGGTGCCTTTAAGGAGTCGCGGCACGTTCGTTTCGCCGTTTATTTCTGGTTTCGAATGTTCGAACATTCGTCGATAGCTAAGAACAGATGGTGTCTTGACGTGTCTAATGTCGTTGTTAGGGTTTAAAACGGAAGGGTTATCATCATTCAAAGTTGCCTTTAAGTCCACTCCGTTTGCAATAAAATTCGCTCGTTGTGAACTTTCCTGGTTGCTTTCGATCTCTATTCGAGTGCCCGGTTTGTTTGGTTTGTGTTCCAGTTCTGTCGGAATCTCGACACCTTTGGTAACACAACTATTTGTGTCGGCGGGGCTTGAATACAATGCAGGACCACCCTGGCTCGCGTTTATATCATTTACAATCTTTCTCGTCTTGTCTACTTCTCCATTCTTGACAACTTGCTTACAGCTTGAATTTACGACCAATGAATTGGTCTGCGATGCCTTACGTACAATCCGTGGGCCAAACAAAGTATTGACATGTGAGGCTTGTTCCTTAACTTCCTGAGAATCGATGGTACTCTCCTTTTTCTTTTCTATCAGCGATCGCTTCCATTCTGGGATAGATGTTTTGCGGAATTTCTCTTGTTCGAGCTTCTGTCGCTGGTCTTGTTCCTTTCTCTTCTTCTTTTCTATCAGTTCCACTTTCCATGCCGGTAAAACGGTAGTCATATCGAAAGATTTTTCCTTGGTAATGGACAACCTGTTTGTATGAATATTCAGCGACCGGCGCTTAACGATCCACGATATGACAAAGCTGCTCCTTACTTGACAGGGATTTTTCCATCATTGTGAATCCTTTAGAAAATTGTAAAACTTCCTAAATGCTTGAAATCTCTTGGCAGTTCGAGTCTAAAAGGATTATGAAATGACGCGACAATTCCCAGAACCGCGACTTAAATTCGCTCATGCTCGGTGATGCGTGGAAGTGTATTGATGATGTCACACGGTTAAATAAATATTTGAAGCAGGCACTTGAACAGGCCACAACACTCGCTGATTGGTGATATCAATCGCTTGGCCGGCGTCCGATTGTTTACCACAAATTATATGAAAATTTAAAGTTCTTTATGTACAAAAGCCTATTGGATTAAAATTTCCACAATCGCTGCAGGAGATTTAATTGTTTACAGTTGCTAGCACTGAATTCCTTTGGCCAAAGCATGCAAATTTTCTAACTGGATGAGGGTTAGATCGACAGTCGGTCGTGTTTAATTATTATGTATATAGTTCTCAAAAGGTTTACACAAAAGGAAGACTCAGGAAAACATGATAAATGGGCGTTACTAGTCCATCAAGGAAGAAGAAAAAGAAGGAAAACTTTCCAGTCTAATTCTATTTTCAGAGTTTGTCAAAAATTGACCATTCTCGTTCATCTAGTAAATGACCTCTGCACAAAGTTTAACATTTGTGAGCAAGCATAGACGGATATTACTTTGCATAATAGCCAAGTGTCAAAACAAACCTTATTAATGCAGAAAATCACTTAAAAGCTGACTTAATCTTCTTTAGAAATAGTTAAGTTCTGTACAAACTCGCCGGAAAACGATGCTACTATTTTCATGCAAATTACTGTCAAATAAAAAGCCTCTTGCTTAGAATGAGGACGTCATTATTTCGAAACGAGTAATATTGGGCGAAAATTCTAATTCTGTGAATCAGCAGTATAAATATGGCATCTGACCCCAACACAAATCGATAATAGCTGCCTACTTGCCGTAAGGACTAATACTGTTTATGGCTCATTATGCTGTATCGGACGTTTCAACCTTCGTAGCCTATAAAATCCATTGTTTCATAGACCTACCGGCTGGAAACTCGTGCCTTGCCTTATATGGCAGATTAAACACCCAAGAGACCAATAAACAACTCACTAAAAATATTGTGTATAGTCAACAACTCACATGGAATTAAGAGTCACTTTATTAGAAGTACATTACCACACTATCATTGTAAAATTTGCATGCACGTCAACGTCTGATATTTGGGTTCATTTTTTTTGAAACCTCATGATTTTTACTACACGTACTTTACCCAGCCCGATATTCGTGCAAGGATTTTGATTGACCTCAAAACAGAACACAAAGGAAATTCGTCACGGTTCCCACAAGTGCTTAATTTTACGCAGCTGTGCACAGAAATAATAATTTTAATGAACGATGTGCGTCACGAACATTTTAAAACGACCAAGCCAACGTCTGGCTACGTTAGATGACTGGCCGTTCTTTGATTATGCAAATTACAATGACTCTCCTCTCTCGTTGTTTTGTTCCCCACTATTTCTTCATTTGAGGAGACTTGATCTATAGTGTAACGGCATGGCAATTTATTTTGATTGTTATTGAGTGGGAAAATAATACTGCGATTTTGTCACCTAGTTTTCCTTTTTTCAGACAAGTAAATAAATAAATAAATATAAACGTGCATTATTTCAATAGTCGTGCATACCAGTTTAAACATTTTTCATCAAGAGACGGTAAACACAAGGTCCCTTGCTCTGACCAAAAATTATTGGTCACTAACGAATTTTTTTTTTCCTTAAAATGCTTCGCGCGGGTTTGCTAAGTAATTTTCATTTCGATGAAAGGATATAAATGCTACTGCATAGAGGTCATATTGACCATAATTCAGGAACGAACTTTTTCATCTCCAAAGAATGCTCCATAAGCTTTACTCAAACGTTTTTTCGATGATAAATAGTCGTCGCAAGCAATATCCGCCAGTTAGCAAAATTCGCGGAACTGGAAAAGATCTTCATCTAATTATACTGCGACCGGGCACTCTTTTTCCGGGGGGAAACATGATAGTGCTGCTGCGCCAGAGTAGGAAGGCGGAGTAACACCCAGGTGCCTCCTTCTGCGCTGTTACAGTATCGCGCTCCCCCCGGAAAAAGAACGCCTGATCGCAGGTTTGATTCTCGTCAGCAGATGAGACCATTCGTATAAACAAGGAAGTTGAATATCATACAACCCCGAGATAAACAAAATAGGCTTCGGTGAACTGATCACAAATAAATTAGTTCCCTTTTAACTGTTAATTTATTTAAGACTAAGAGATTATAATCTCTTGTTCACACTCAATTAATTTACCTCGGGGTATCACCCTTAGGCTACTCTAAGAGTCCGAACAAAGTAAGTCGAGTATTCCAAAAGCAGCAACTTTTTTTCTTGTATAACTTTTCAACATTCTACCATAAACTCGGTGTTGTCAATCCACAAGATGATCATGAACAACTCTGCGAGACTAAAGCATTCCTCACTCTGTCTCCTTTACAAACGCAACGAACTAATTAAAGTGGAAGAATAACTTCGAGTATTATTGACGTTGTGTGGCTCTTCCGCCTCATCGAGAAGCGAATCTCCTTTCTTGCATTACTTGAAAGGTCAATACCGGTTTGTTGCCATCCTTAGAATTGCAAGGCTTACCTTTCGGTGACAACAAATAGTTCACTCGACAGCTGCATTAAGCTTCTTTGAACTACACACTACCGCATCTCCCCGTCTTCTTCTTCGTATCTCCTTTTATCACCAGTCTCGTAACTTTCCCTTCGTTTTTCGCGGTGGCTATGTCTTTCTTTAACGCGAGACCTTTCACTTTCTTCATAACGTTCACGGTCTTTGTAACGATCACGCGATCTATTACTGTCACGCTCACGGTATTGCTTTCCTTCAGTATCGCCCTCGCGATCACGAAAGTAAGAACTGCTTCGTGAGCTTTCTTTGTCACGTTCCCGTTTGTCACGAGATCCATCTCGATCACGATCACGCTCACGTTGGGAATAATTCTCACGAACGTTGTCGTTGTTTCTTTCACGATAAGTGTCACGGGGATTTTCACGTGGTCCACGATTTCCCTCGTGATCTCGCGAACCCCGTAAAAACTTGTGTTGGTTTCCAATTTGTTGTGTTGGACTGTAAAGAAAAAGTAAATTAATCTGTCATTATGTTTTACAACGACTTGAAGTTCAAATACAAGCCGCCCTGGCTAACAGATCTCTTACAAAGACAAATGATACAGGGACTGTGGAGGCCGGGAGAACAACCACTGAAAAATTCTTTTACAGCTCATGCACAATCATGGCAGCTTTCAAACTTTCTTTCCCATCCCTTTAAACAAAAAAAAATGTGCAGGGAAGTACTGTGAAAATTAATAGTTTTTTACTAACTGAGTAATATTGGCCCAAGGTTGTGACAGTACAGACAATGCAGAGGAAGGTCTTTACAAAAATGACTGGGGGTCAATATTCCCCAGCGTTTTCCTTTTAAATTTGCCAGCTTTTGGAAACGGTCAATATGCCAAAATATGGACCAAGTAAGAACCAATTAGAACTCTCGGTTTCACCTCAGGACTATTTTGCCATGTAATAATCAAGTATTTTGCACAAGACCAAAATGAACCAACCAAGGCTCAGGCATGACCCATGATAACTGGATTCCAGCAGGTCCCTAATTTGGAAATATATAATTCATTTATAACTGTTGGGGTGGAGTGGGGATTTTGAACAAATAAAACAAACTGTATTTAAACAACTCACATTGGTCTTCTAAAGAGACGATCCCTTCCTCCAAACCTCAGTTGTCCAGATTCTTTCTTTCCTCCAAAGCCACCTCCTAAAATAATAAAAACTTGTGAATTTTTTGTTCAACATTATCCACTGGTGTGAAAAGTAATCTTAGCTAAAACATTTATTACCTATGTGTTGTTAACTTTTGCACCAGTTTTTTACTCAAAAAATGAATACAACTTCTTGAAACCCATGAGAGGTAAAGCCATACCCCAAAATAATACTTTGAGTTGGTCATACATATTTTGCCTCTATTACTTTGGTCACCACAGCATGTATTTCCTTCAACTGAGTTTTTACTTCTTTGACTAATGATTTTAATTGTTTGCTTCCATTTTAGCTCTCAAACACTCCATTAACTGGCAAAAAAAACTCACTATCTAATGCTTCCAACAGGATATCTGGATATCTTTTTAAATGCCTTCTAACAACAAAAGGTTTCCATGATATTCAAACAAATAAAGACATAGCCTTTACCCAGACGTCTTGGGATCCAGCCTTTAAGAGATCTTGCAGCTTCATATTCTACTAATATGGTACAGCCATCTACTTCTTTACCATGTAGTTCCTAGAGTAATTGAATGAAACAACTGATCATTACCTTCCTTGAGCTATCAAGTTCAGGTTCATACTTAAAGTCCACTCACCCTCCAGGCCAAATTAGCATCTCTCTCACTTCTGTACTCCACAAATGCATAGCCTTTGGAAAATCCAGTCACTGCAAGAAAAGGAAAAGTTCAAATTACAAACCTCAATTGAAGAATCTTTCCCATAATGTATAATTCTGTATCAAAATACTTTGAGTCATAAAAATAATAATATGAAAACTGTGGCTAGATTTCAATGAATTGAACTGTTTTTAACCCTTTAACTCCCATGAGTGACCAAGACAGAATTTCTCTTTACAATATCAATACAATATCGAGTAGACAAGGGATGAGAATAAAGAAAAATAGAAATTAAGGGAATATAAGTTGATCCAATACCAAATTCTCCAAACCAACATCACCAAAACTGTATGGCAGATAGTAAGGAGAATTGCTAATTAATGAGATCTTGGGGTGAAAGGGTTAAGTCAGATATGGAGAAGAAAGTCCTCTTACTTTACAACATTTTCCTGCTACTATACACAAAATGCTCTCAATTGCCAAGGAAATTATGATATGATATATAATATATTGTTCAACTTTCTGAGAAATTCTACTTACCAACATCTCTAACTAGCCTACATCTTGTCACCTCTCCACATTTTGCAAATATCTTGTACACAGTTGCTAAAAGAAAATATTAAAGAGAGCTGGATTATGAGTATAAACAATACAACTGCAGTCTTGTGACTATGTTTACAAGTGCTGCATGTATTGCACTGTTTTTGTATTTATTGTCTTTTGCTACAGTCTGATTCTTTAAGCATATAAGGTTCATTAAATACTATTGGTGAATATCACAATAACCATCAGTTTCTCTCTTTTTGTTGGAAAAAATATTATAAATTTGGATATTTCTAACCTTGACTAGTGTCCTTGCTTAGTTTTCCAACAAATAAAGTGCTGTCTGGATCACCAGTTACTCTTTTGTTTGGCTTATCTAGAGAGAAGAAGATAAAATTATCATCTATGCTGATGTCATCTGTGCGTATATCCTCAAATAAGTCATGATTAAGAACCAACCACAATGAGTTTATAATCTATCTTATTATGTAGCGAGCGAAAATGAAATGACTGCAATTAATAATAACTAAAACACAGCTGGGAAAACAAACTTACAAGCAAACCTATATGCATAAGTTGCATTTCACCAAATGGCGATGAATAGCTAATTTAACTTACACTTTGCAAGCATCGCACGCATTACTGCCTTATCATGTGGCACTGTGTCAGTTCCATCAATGCTGCCAGCTTGTAAAGGGTGATAAAATTTTGCGAGGGGAGACCAGTTGTCCCAAGTAGGTATTTCGTAACCTAAATCTGTCTTGGTCATTTGTTCCGTGACTGACTCCATTTTGCAAAGAAATCAGCTAGAGTATCATTCCTATTGTTCTATTTTACAACTACGCTTCGTGTTTAAAATTGAAAAATAGCTTTCGTCTTGAAAGGCTTTCATGGTCCGCCATCTTGGAAAAGTGCTGTTCGATCAATGCTTTCCAGTTTTCCTCGGTCTTCATGGAGGCGAGGCTACTCAACTAGTGTGTGTTTTCATTCCCGCCGAAGCTGTACTGCTGATACTCAAACATCCTCCAGTCCTAACATGTGGAAGTCCAAGGGAAGCAGCAAGCCTTGTCTCTCGTCCTTGAATACAGAGAGGCTATTAGTAGTGTTTTACACGTGAAACTAATGAAGTAACATGTTAGGAGCTCAGACGATGGCAGCCAAGGACGAAAAGTCGACACGTGGAAACGATGAAGAAGCTCTTCGCAAAGAGGTCACCAAAAATGTTCGCGGGCTTCTTCTATCCGTGCAAAATGGACTCACAGTGGCAGAGATTCAGAGAGATTATAAATGTATGATCGGAAAGCCGTTTCCATTTCGTGAATTGGGTCACAATACTCCGTTAGACTTATTGAAAGACTTGTCAGATGTTGCTCGACCAAGTTGGGAAAATGGCGTGTTGGTTCTTCGAGGTGAGTGTTGCTGAACTATCTTAGCCTTTTGTTTTAGTACCCCGAGTAGTAAAGTAACATTTATGTGCTGCAACATTCCAAGTTAAGTCTTGAATGAAAGGTTTTTTATCCTCTGTACAATTTGAAGAATCGCCGAGTGCGTGAATGCTCTGGTCGTGGAAACATGGGTTGCCCAGCTCTCTAAAACCGTAATTTACAGTGAAGTCTTCTTTATCAGTGGCTATGAGCAGCAGGTTACGTTGTTTTGCTTACCATCTGATGTGAATTTGTTCAGGTCATTGAACTGGTTTCAAAATAGCGGCAGCAATAATCAATAATATTAGCATATTATAGACAATTTTGTAACAGCTGGGTTACTGTTTGCAATCTTTAAATGTGTTAAGTAGTAAATTTTTAGAAGAACTGTGCTTTCTAATTGTACAAATAAACATTGTATGACATATTTCTTTAGTAATATATTTCTCTATTTATCTGTTTTCAATCAGGTATTCCTGATGCTACCACAAGACACATAGCTCGTTTAGTTGCCAGGCAAAAGAAAAGTTCTCCCAGGAGAAAGAAACGTCTCACCTCATATCAACCTGAGCAAGCACCAGTTCTACCTCACTTCATAAGAACACAAATAAAAGAACTTCTGACTGGTTATCCATCAGGGTTACTGGGCTCCATGTTTGCTGCAGCTTTTAAGCGAAGGTTTGGTGAGGAAATTAACTATAAAAGATTGGAATTTAAATCACTTAATCAGCTTCTGGAGGCAATCCCTGATATAGTGGAGATTGAACATATGCGAGGAGGAGGGTTCAGAGTGTATGGCAAACGCTTTGAAACAGATAATTCAGGTAAAATATAAGCTAGAAAATGGTGAAATATTTTTATTGAAGTAGTACATGGGGTATTATTTATAAACCCTTTAGGACCTAAGATTAATATTGAAAGAGAAATGGAATCATTTGTCTCAAGATTTGGTCATTTTGTTTGGATGTGGATCGCAATCCACATCCAAAGTGACCATTATGAGACAAATGATTACATTCCTCCTGTGGAAGTGTTATTTACCACAATGACTGAGCAAAACCTATTTTACTATAATATTAATTTTCTCCATACTGTTCTCTTTACATTTCTGAAGGAACTGATAAAGATAATTTGTTTGGCAATCAGGAGGTGCTTAAATTGGTGATCAGTTCATTTTTTCCTTACAATGTTTACATTAGATTCCAGAGTAATACTGTAAGAAGAAATTAAAAGCCAGTCTCTTTGGGTTTTAAAGTTAGGCTTTTTGTTATGAAATCATTAATTACCTATGATAAGAAGTTAACAGCTGTAAATTAAGGTATTTTTAGCCATTGCATCCTAAATTTGAGCAAAGCCAAGAACTACTTTCAATAAGTGAACAAATTTGAAAATGAGGTGATTAAAGGGAATTTGCACATGCACATTCAGGTATCTGTTGAAACAGAATTTGTGGAATTACAAGAGTTGTATTTTATTTTTGTAGTGTCTTAAGTGTCTTTACTGTCAATTACAGACTCAAATTTTATACGTAATGCAAATAAAATGAAATGAATGACCAGTTCCCCTAGGAGTGAAAAAAGAAAAAGAACAAACATACTCACCCCATCAGGGAGATAAATTTGGGTTAGGGAGGAAAGCACATTTGAAACCTGTGTTGCAATAAATTATGCTTTACTAGAAGTGTTCTTTATGTAGATAAAGCACCTGATCCTGGGGTTAGCTTTCCTGTCAGAACCAACAGTGCTTCAACTGGTAAGCATCATCCCACACCAAATGGCAATACAGGAGGCAAGCCTTCCAAAACAATTCAGCAATCTGCTTCAATTAAAGCCCAGTTTGACAGCAACAGTACAATTAATATAAAATTACAGCAGGAGTGTATACAGGTATGTGTAGTTATCATATCTCCCAGGCATGTTCCTTGCAATAATGGTTATTTATTGAGGCAACCTGTCTATTTGTTGAGTTTAAAGCTAATATTACAGAAATAACTTGTTCACCTTTTTCCTTTGAAGGTATTAGCTAGACGACCAAATGGTATATGGGCTGCCCGATTTCCAATAGAATACAAGGTGAAAACCATTCCTGGAAATTTCATTATTTCAGTGTTTGATTTTTTTGAAAATCTGGTGAATTTGTGCTATATAACAGTTATAAAAAAGGCTAGAGTGTATTATTTCATCACAGCATGTAGAAATGTGCTTTAATCCGCTCATTAATTATTAAATGGTTTGGATCTAAATTCACTTTTCAGAATCTCCATGGCAAGGAGCTGAATATCAAACAGTATGGATTTATGAGTGTTGTGGAATTTGTGGCTGCAATGCCAGATGTTGTAAGAATAGAGAGACCCACAAAGGTGGACTGGCTTCTTCTCCTTGCTAAAGAAGGTAAATGCAACTCTACGAAATGAACCACTTTAAAGGTAAAATTATCTGGTATACAGCTACACACATTATACTTGTTGATGAAAATTGAGCAACATGGGTTCGATTTAAGAATGGACATCTGGCAACTTGTCAATATTATGCGGTATTAGAATGGCGTCAGTCATGTGAAGTTGGTAACCTAACAGCAGTTGAGACAAACCAGCCAAGTGGTTAGAGTACTGGACTCCAGTGCCATAAAGTGCACTCCATTTGAATGAATTATTTGCTCTAGTTGATTGATTTGCTCAGCCCCTCTAAGTTTTGCACTGTAAACACTGCTGAGAGTAAACAAATAGGATTAGCAATCAACTCACTAGTATTAGTATTAGTGTTATAATTATTCATAAACTCCCTGGTTTATGAATAATTATAACATGCAGTTTTCAAATCCAACCCTCCCTTTCTGTTTCTGGTAGTAGATTATTACTGATTGCTTACAGTATACTTTAACTGATAGGATAGTCATTGTAAGTAGCCATATACAGAATTGATAGGACATTTGGTTAGCAGCTATTTGCAAGGACTTGAGATGCTAACATGTTCTTATCTTATATGCTTCACAGTGAAAGAAGATCATACACAAGCAAATGGTGTAGTTCCTGCAAGTCCTGCTCCAGTTGAAATGCACAAAGAGCCTGTCTCACCTTGTATCCCTGGTAATCCACTGAACCTACCTGATGGAGTAGGCAGGGGAGTCTACTTTTCAAAAATAACAGTCCCAGAGTGTGGATTTCTTGAAGTCTCTGTCACACACATCATTGATCCACACCATTTTTGGGTTATGCTGATTGAGAACTGGCCAGCACTGAGAGCTTTGACTGAAGAAATGAAGTAAGTTTTTTTTTAATGCTAGATTAGCTATCCTCCACTCACTGCCTAGTTTGGTAACACAGATTTCTTGGGACCAAAAGAAGACAAACAGTATTTTATTTAATTTTAAGTTGGGAAAATTGAGGATTATAGAAATTTCATGTTTCATGTTCTTATTTGCAGACAATTCTATTCAAGTCGAGAAAGTGCACATTACAAGATGCCTGGTTGGTTTGTCTCAGTTGGCCAGGTAGGTGTAGCCTAAATCAAAAATGTTTTTATAATAGAATGATTAATGATAATCTTACCTTACTACAGAGTTGAAAACCACAGTAGTGCTGTACACTGAATTTTGATAGTGTTTTTTCTTTTGAATCAGAATGTTTCCAAAAGTTCATGACTCAAAGCAACATTATTTATTAAGACAATTTGTGATAAAGAGTACCCATCTCATAAGTGCAGTTTTCAAGGTTATTGCTTGTTTTAAATTTACTACCAGGCCTGCTGTGCTCTGTATGAAGATGGATCTTGGTACCGCGGTCTGGTTGTTGGTATACAGTCTGTGGACAGCATAGAGGTATATACCAATTCAATTTTGAAACTTGGATCCTGTAGTGTGACTGTTAGAGTAGTCTTGACACCCTTTGTGAAAGTCATCGTAAAGTAAAAGTTGTTTGTGAGGGCAGCAATTATTCCATTACTACGTCATTTTACCTAATAAGGTCATGAGAACACACAAAGTATACCACGGTATTAAACTGTACACTGTAACAAAATGGTCATACTAAAAAGTGAAATGATTGTAAAGTATTTCATATAAATCCCTTATTCGATGTTTAACATATCATATGAGCACACATTTTGCTCATTGCTGGTAATTTTCCTGACCCATTCTGGGTTCAGAAAAATACCATGCAACTTGCAAAATATCAGGACTTATTACATGTTAAACCATCAATTAAGGTGTATGAAATTCATTTATGAATTAATGTGAAATCAGCAGTTCTAAGGTACCTATTTAGAAGTGTCCTTTTCTTCTTTCTGTTAGCTTTACCTTTCTATTGTGATACTGTCAACAGGTTTTCTATGTGGATTATGGAAATAAAGCAAGGTTGCCATTGTCAAGTCTGAGAGTGCTAAGGTGAGCCAAACAGTAGACAGACTCGTGTTTCAGTTTTCAAATTTCATTTGATGACTTCTATGTATGCATGCGACTGCAGTAATTATTTTACTTCTCACTTGGTACACTAGATAATTGTAACCAAGAAGGTAATTTATAAAATGTGTTAACAGGATATTGATTTATGTTGTCAGGTCACAATTTATCAAACTTCCAGCGCAAGGACTTCCTTGTAAATTAGCTCATATTCAACCTTTTGGAAGGGTAAGTTAATGTGTACTGTAAGTTTTGGTGGAAACTCGTGGTTAGAAACAGTGAAAAACATCTTTTTGTAGAAACTTTGAACACAGAATTTTAGTATTATATTGGAATTTTGTGAGCATTGGAGAATTGTTCGTCATTGTATGGGTTTACCTTGTCAGAAGAGCTGTTACATGCTGTATGCTCATTATGAAGCAGTTTTTATTTTTTATATTTACATTTCATTTGTGGGAATAAAAAAAGTGATTGTCATTGTACAATTTTGAAGCTCCAGTTTCAATTCTGTTGATGGAAATAAGATTTCTTGATATCAAGTAGTTTGAGTTTTTATCATGAATACATTTTTTTCTGATTCTGGTTTAGGCTAAAGAATGGTCACCTGGTTCTACCCATAAGTTTTATCATTTGACAAAGAACTATAAACAGCTGGTAGCACTTGTTTGCGGTATTAAGGTAAAAATACTAGTATAACAAAATATGAATATTTTTACTACAGACTTCTTAAAGTAATGGTAATCATGAGATGTGATATTTATTAAATGTTCAGAAGAAATCTTCCTAAGGCCTGGGTGCTGGAACTTAAGGCCATCAGTAAGATTTAGTTGCACCTGTATCAGTTGTTCTTTTAACAATAGAAAGAGATTTTAATTTCAGGGAATCTATTGTAAGGGTTTCTTCTTGATAGTAGTTTCTGAAAATGGTATGTCAGTTTTTGTTACTTCAGGGAAGGAGCTATGTTTGGAAATTATTACTTCACAAACTTGTAACATCCCTGCATTATTTGAAATGTTATTAGTTTTTGATAGTTAAAATATTTTTTTATCCTATAGGAAGGTACAATGTGCCTTTGCTTGTGTGACACTAATGCTCCAGAAGACCTTCATATCAATGATGAACTTGTAAAAGCAGATTATGCTGATTTTGTTCCTGATAAATCTCCCCAATCTTCATCTCCTGATGGACAGGTATTTATTAAAATTAAATATATATTCTGGTATGCTTTTATAGTTTATACTTTTGAAAACATCTCAAATGACATTGTGTAACAGCCAGGGTGTTCTTCTAAATGAAAAACCACAACATGAGAACAACTTTTTTGGGCAGAATGGTAAGATGTGTCATAGGTTATGGTTACTGAAGTAAATGATATGTGGCTGACCTAGTCTTTGTTGTAGTGTGTTCACAGTTTGTTTAACTTTTCATTCAGAATCATGACAGAGAAGCCAAGATACAGGTACAACAGCAGCAGCAGCCGCAGCAGCAGCCGCAGCAGCAGCCGCAGCAGCAGCCAGCTCCAGGTCTCTCCATTCTCAGCCCAGAACAGTTATACTTACAACAGCAAGCTGTGTCTTCTCTGTGTGCATCATCCAGTAACCACTCTTTAATACCAGGTTAGAATTACATGTAATATGGGTTACAGGGAATCATCAGCACTCATGCAAACTAGGAATTTTCCACAAATAGTGAAGTGGCATGGACAAGTACCGCAAATAGTTTCCTTGCTCACTGAGTAGCCCCAAAATATCCCCAACTAATTCTGTTTTTTCTGAATGACATATCCCAATTTTCAATATGTTTAGGCACAGAACCTAGTTTTTGACACCAAAGCATGGCTTAAGGGAATGGAAGGAAACTTGAATGAAGATTGGAAAGATCAAATTTCAGTAAAAATGCAATTTTGATTTACAAATCTGTGATTGAAAATTGAACATTCAAGTTTAGGGCTAAAACACAGGAAAGTGGAACAGATAAGCACAATATCAGTTATTTAAATATTTTGTCTCTTTTCCTTTTATTTAGACTTCCCACTTTCAATTGAAACTTCTTTCCAGCACAATGTTGCAAGGCAAGTTTTTTCTTGAATTTACTTTAACCTGTTGTGTATCCTGATGATTATGTCTTAGTCAATAACTATAAAGAAACCTTCTTGCTCATAGTGGAAAGATAAGAAAAATTTGATTTAATCAGGTAAAAACAATGGCGCTTTTAAGAGATTTCCAAAATTTGATTGAGTGCAAGAAATCCCCAACAGTCCTTTTCAGGACTGTTTTAAATTGACCAGAACTTTTAAGGATGAAATCTGCTCTATGTAAATCATGTAGCTGGCTAATCAGTGTTTTGAACAAGATTGGTCAATCCAATTGTTTGTTTTGAGTCTAGACTAAACGTTTTGTTGCAGTGATTCACTGTATCTGATTGGATGAGAAAAAAAAATAGGTCTTGAGTATTGTCAAGGTATGTCCCCCTTACTGCTCCTTTTCGTTGTACAGATTTGTTTGTACCAACTATGTTTAAACCCTTTTTTTTTTTCCTCAGCTGGTTAAATCAGTCAGCTCTATACACAGCTCAGCTAGTACAAACAAATGCATGGCCTCATCAAAGTAAGTTGCTCAGATACATACATTGCAAATTTTACTCTACAGAATTCATTCAACATTAAGAGTATTTAATATGAAATTGTATCATAAATGGAGTTTTGAGATGGCAGAGAGTTACCAAACTTTTGAAAACTGTCTTAAAGTGCTTAATGTTACTTATGAGGTATAGTGTAAACACTCTTTTAGACAATTATAGATATCTTTAACGGACTCATTGATACACTTTTCCCTATCCCTTGATTATTACCATAACAGTAACCACTGTTTAAAAATGATAGTGATGCTTTTCTCCATTGACTAGACAATTCAGATTTACATGCAAATCCACCTTTGGATGCTGATGAACTGGATTTAATAGAAGAAATAAATCAAGAGTTGGACCTAGATGTGCCCAACAGTCAATTTGATTTTCATATCAAGAGGTAATCTATTTTGTTGGTCTTTTATAGTTGATTCATAGAAAGTAATAAGTAAATGGGTATTGTACATGTCATGCACAAGGACCATCAAATATCTAGGTTTCTACTGAAGGAAACCCAGCCTCTGTTTTTCAACATTCTAACATGCATGAAGAGTCCTTATGGCCTTTGCCAATGTGAGCAAAATAGCTTTAAACTTTTGGGTTCTCCACATCATTATCTAAATATTTATCCGTAATTTAAGAACTACTAAATTCATATGAGAGGTGCAACACAACACCATGTTGTAGACCTTGTCATCTGTAACAAGTCTATGATATCACTTAGCTAAAAAGTACACCTTGTTGTTAAAGCAATACAAGTCAGTGTTGTGGAGGAACTATATCTTTGTTGTGTAATTAACATTGCACTCCATAAAATTATTTTAAATATTTGGACAACCCTTCATTTAGAACCCTCACTTGGTATGGTAATTTTCAGCTAAGTTCAAAGTGTCAGCAGTTTGTTTACTGTTTTTGTTTCAGGGTGCAGATAACTCATGAACATTCACTTCACATCATCAATTTTGAAAATAAACCATACCTCATCAGTGCAGAAATCTCAGCTCTGTTTTGGGATAGTGATTTGCTGAGATCCATGGTAAGTAAATTTACCAGCCCATTGAATGCATGACCATTGTTTTAACCTTTTAACCTGCCATAACTACAAACACATCCAAGAGCTATTGTTGTTGTGGGAGTAGTATAACTCAGTGATTCTCAAATGCATTGTTAGTACAGCAGCTCTTTAAATGCAACTTGCTGCAGTGAGCATAACTGTAGGACTTGTACTGCCATTACTTTGTGTTACATCCATGTTAGATAAGTATGTTAATTCTTTATTAACTAATTTCATTATATTTTAGCTTCGCCAGAAAAAGAAAATTGTTGCTAAGGTGGTTGTGTCTAGTTCTGAAAATGAGGAATTATTTGAAGCTCTTATCAGGTTAGAAAAGAATGAGAAGAATGTTTTGCTTTTCCTTCACCTTCTCAGTATTGTGGTTCTGGTAAGCTTGATACCAGATTAACTGGTGGCATATGTATGAGGGTGATGGCTTTAAGGGCTACAGTTAAAAATTTGGCCATTTTATGGCTAACAGTTTATTTCTTTTGATTATGGTTAAACACAGAATTTAGAAATCAACATCTTTTTTTTTCAGTAATGGTTAAAATTGTCCATTTTTATGCCTAACTGCTAATTTATTTTTTCTGTTTTTCAACGAATGGCTAAGCCTGCTGAGACCCTCATGAATAGCCACTTGATATTCAAATATGTCACTCACTATGCTGAAGACAGATGTTACTTTTAAAACATTATGTTGGAGTTTGAATTTGTTTTATCATCTCAATTTTGAATTCATTTCTTTTACTCAATGATGTAATGTTGCATTTTAGATGGAAAGTTCCAGGTGTTATGGATGGAGATGAACCAAGAAGTTTTGTCACTCTTTATGAATTTGAGGGGTACATTTATATGCCTTTTTTTTGTATGGCATTTCTTTTTCTTTCAATTACTGTTTTTTGTCAACTGTCTTGATTGATGGGCTGTTTATTACAGTACATGGTATGTTTTTCTAATTAATACTTTCTTCTGGCACAACTTTATTAGGCTTGAAGCAAAAATAATTAAGCAAATGAAGCATAATGAGTTTTCTGATTGTTTTTTAGGCTTCCAGAGATTTTCAAAATCTTTGACCATCATTCAGAGGATCTATTGTCAAGTTTGTTAGAGGAAATAGAATGTTTCAAGAAGGAAGGCAAAAACTACTGGACTTCAAAGGTCTTGTTTCAAGTGATATTGTTAACTTATTTAATATTTTATTGGTTGATGTAAGCACGACTACTGCATTTCACTTGCTTGTTCCAAACCCTCCGCCCTTTCAGAGCTTACTCTCTGTATCCAACCATATCCACTTTATAAATAATTAAAGTATATTGATCAGGATCCTACAAAATGAATGCTGAAAGAAGGAGCTGATCTTTAGTACACTTCATCCTAACAACTTCAATAAGGACATTGTAATAGAAATTTCAGTTCAGTGGATGCCCACATTTCAAAACAGAAGGGCAGGAGAACCAGAAGGTAGTATTTTATCAATGGAACAAATTTCTTAAAGAGCTAGGATTGAACTGTACTGTTAGTGCTGTTAGACCATCAACTAAAGTGCAACTGCCTTTTTTTTCCACACAGAAGGAGGAACAGCTTTGCTCTGAAGGAGGAAGCAGTTCTGAGGATCAATTTTCTGAAAGTGAACTGGGCATTGATGAAATTCAGCTTCTTTTGCAAGCTATGCAGTTTAGGAGGTTTGTAAAAAACAGATTTCTTAATAGTTTTTTAGATGGGGTGAACAATAGCACTTGATATGAAATTCAGACAGACAGTGTTAGGGCAGAACAAGTATAATGGTTGATTTTGAAATTTAATAACAAAGTATGTGGTTTACTTACTTCCTAGGAAGCGCATTCTTCAGGGGCTGATGTATGGTTGTTCCACTGGTGGCAGTGTTGATGAACTGCAGGAGGTGGAATTAAAGATTGAGTTACTGCAACAGGAAGTACAGCATAAACTAAAGAACTCAATATAGAACTAAGGGGGTAAGTTTCTAAAGAAACTGATACTATGTCTGTGGGAGAGTATAACAGGGTAATTAGGTATTGTCAACTGAGTTGATAACATAAATTGGCCACCATAGAGTTTAAAAGCTTAAACTCTTTATGGTGGTCAATTTACATTAACAACTCGGTTGATAATACTAAATTACCCTCAATATAGAACTAGTAAGTATGCAACAGATATAGTTAACAACTTCAGAAGCTTCCCACTTCCTCACCTCAAAGTCAAGGTAAAAAAGTCCATTCCATAATTATGCTATGCAAATGGCTCTACCATGGTGGTGTTATTCCAGAGAGCCTGAGTTTTAGTAAATATTAGTAAGTATTAGATTTGTATTTGTGCTAAGCATTTAAGAAAAGTTTCTCTTCTATAAGTTGTAGGCTTCTCTATTGAAGGAATTTGTACTGTTAACAGTGTTCATCAAAATTAGGAGACAATATAAAGAGAAAATGGTGACTTGCTCTTTGGCTTTCATCAGTCTGGAATAAGTCCCCTTTTGGAAAGCCTTAGGTCAACCATGGTATAATTACTCAATAGAAATCGTCTTTTAAGGCAATACAACTGGGAAATATTGTGTTTGTCAAGTGCCAGCTTTTGTGAAAGCTTAAGGATCACTTTATTTGTAAAGACTCACAACAGGCTAACTGACCCAGAGTGCTTCTTTGGCCAACCTGAGAGTTGGTGTGATTTGGGCCTTTAAGGAGCAGGTACTCAAGGCAAATTTTAGCAATTTCTTACCCCTCTCTCAAAAACAACAAAAATCAGAATCTCTGCACTGGGCACACTGAGCCATTTTCTCCAATTATTGCAATGGGTGTTTAGAATAACCTAGTTTGTTATCAGCTTAAGGCTCAGGCTCTTTCAAACTTTGCATTAATTTATCCATATCAATTACCAGTATGTCGGTATTAAGAACAGAAGAAAATTAAGGTGGCAGTATAGCCAAGTGGTTAGGTGCTGGACTTGTAACCTGGTGGTCCCAGGTTTAAGTCCTCCACCCTTTCACTCACAGGATTTATTCTTGGCTGCTCCTGTGTGAATAGCCAACTGGTCTGCCTCCTTCCAGTTGGGATTGCTGAGCACTTTGTGTTGCTTTAAAATATTTGTTTCTCTCTCTTTCAGATTGTAAAGTGCTTAGAAGCTTGCAGCCAGGGCTATATAAATTGTAATCTCAATGCTTACAGATGACTGCAAGACTGAAGACTGGTGGACATGCAAATTAAACCGGTGAACAGTGTGCACTGCAAGATGATTGAATTCTGATAAAGATAACTTCTAAGAAAGAGCACTCTGTTGCGTTATATGTTTCTACAAATCTAAAAGGCAGCGGACAAAGGCTTATAGGGAACTTTGAGTTCTGTTTAAACCAGTACCTGTGTTTTACAAGAAAACCAAGATGACCCATTACTGAAGAATACTCACAATCGTATTACTGATTTTTATTCAATCTGAAATTAGATGTACAATACAGTCTACTTAACTAAATCAACTAGTAATAAACAAAACAATCAAAGAGCAAAGCGAGAATAATTGGTAACAGGTAAGCACCAAATCACAGGAACATGTCTGAAAATACAGTTCTCTGGCAAAAACTAAGCTACTTCAAATTGGACTAAACATATCATATCACGTTTGCAGTTGGGCGCATACAAGGTTATCACAAGATCCTTAATTGTTCATTTTCTACATAGTTCAATTATTACATTCATATTAACAACTTGTTTTTAAGAACTTTCAATAGCTTTTAATGCAAACATGTTTTTTGGCAAAATGAAGGATCATAGATGTATGTATTTGCTATAGACACACAATATATTAAGTTTGAGAGTTTAAAATAACAGAGGTTTTTTTTTCAAAATTATTATTAGTGGCAGTTTTTGGAGCCACATAATGTCCTTTATTTGGGCAGAGAAAAGCATCAGTGGCCTCTTCACAACTTGAGAACTTATTTAAAAAATGATTAATTACAAATTCCCATTTGTTTTAATATGAAATCGGCTGGAATTGACAGATAGTTTAAGATTTTCAAAAAGCTTTAAAGATTGTTATTTTTTTCCCTATAAAGAATTTTTGGGAGCTTAACACGCTGATGCATGGCTCCTTAGTAATGATAATTCATACTTACAGAGACATTGTTTACGTTTTGGAATACATATTTCAAAATTTTGATTATTTATGGGCTCAGTTTTATGCCTGTAAACAAATTTGGCTTTCCTCATGTTTTGTAACTATTGTAACAGGTGGAGGTGGAGGGGATTTGAGGCTTAAGACCAAGTTTCATTCTGTATGTTTCCTAAGTTGAAGCACATTCAATTAATTGTTTATATTGAGTTGATATGAGGTTTATTAAAGCACCCTTATGTTAAGTTGTGAATGTTTTTGCAGAAAGTGGGGTTAAAAAGAGAAATTTTTGGATGAGTTGTAATTTAACAAGTTGGATCATGCTAACTGTAGTGGCAATACACAATTTTTCAGCCAATAGTTGATTGACACATGGGTTGATGGTTGGGTTATTGTTATGCATCATCTCAACCAAGGCTGTGGTCAACCACTGTTTGAATGTCAATTTACTAGTCAGCTGGTGACCCACTATCAGCCAAGAAACCTTCTGAGTCCCTTAAGACTGACCTATGTAGCTAGCAGTGTAGCACCTGAAGAGTAGTAAGAAGCTCTGCTCCTCATTTTTTTTGGCAACATCACTTTTTTTTAATTGAGCTCCCAATAACACTAGCCACCCTAGTAAAGACCTGTTCGAAGAGTTTTTAAGTACCTGTCAACTCTAATTATTTTTATTTAATAAAAAAAATTAAGTTGAATGGTTGTTTAATCTCCCTAAATAGTCTGGAAGGTGATAAACTCAGCTTTGTTTTGGCAATATGATATAACATTCTCTTTACTTTAGCACTTTGGATTTCCACCCCAGTTGTTATGTTGTATTAATGGTGATGAAGCTATTGTGCAATTGTTATTTAATTTTCTAAGCCCCAAATTGTGTCATGCTAACATTAAAGGTAGTCTCACCATGCTTACCTAAGCCTCGTCTTATCAGTTGGTATAATTGCAAAGTGAGTGCTGACCATTTACTCCCTCGCTTGGGGCATACAGTGCTTAGACAGGTAGGGCATGGAATTCCACAGCTTGGAGAGTCCTGTCTATGAGAACCCCTCTGAGGTTTGTATTAGTCATGGAAAAGCTACATTTTTTGAGGCTACGAAAGTCATGGAATCTGAGTGTCAATAAGAGAAAGTCGTGTAAAATGACTAAAAACTAGTCTCTTGAAGAGAACAAGAGGAGCAATACCTTAACTTAATTACCATTTTCTAATTATTTTGAAACTACCTTCACAATGGTAAGCAAGGAAAGCTCGTTAAGAGGTTTTGGAAGTCATAAAACTTTATTAGCTGGAAAGAAGACAAACTCTATTTGGATAGAGGGTTGCTTGTCCTAAGAATACAACTCCTAGAACCCAGGAATAGACCATAAAGCTTCTTAAAGAGTTTACAGAATATCTTTTCTAACTACTCTTAAAACAACTAATACGAGCGAGGGGCAAGCAAATCCAATTCGCTCGTGGTGCAGATCGAATAAAGGAATTTAGAGAAGACAAAACTTGAGCCGTAAACCGTCTTCCTTCAACGCAGCTGCGTCGAAATTAATAATTTTCAAATGTGCAATGTTTTTATACTTTAAGACAAATACATTGAGATAGACAGCAACTTACAAAGGTGAATTGTGTCCGAATAATTTTTGTTAGTTTGTAAGGAACATAAGGCTGAGTTTCTATCGTTGAAAATGTTTCCAACATAAACAAGCCACCTGCTTCCTACAAGTTCCTGTCCTGGTTTGAATCGAAGAAATGTTAACTGACCCTAGATAATAACACAGACTTGCGATTGAACGTTCGTTCCAGAAGCAAGATGAGTCTCGGCAGATCCAACTTCCAGATGATTGCGTTCAACTTCAGCAATGTTCTCGAACGCTTGCTGGACTTTAAAAGGACTTCTTTTATTCCCAGTTAAGTTCCTTCTCTTCTCTACTTCTCGTGTGCGGTGAATAGCAAAGGCCGTGTCTTCATACCGCTGTTGAATGTATGCTTGAAGCTCTGAAGAAGTCCTCTTCTTGCTCATACGACCGACCGCCAAAGACTGTGAAAGATCTCATTTATTTATCCACCACAGACAAGCATGATATGCTTAGATGCGTCAAAATTTGAAATTAAAGCGATATTTTTGAAAAATCCTTTATAACCGTAAAAGCTTTCGAGAATATTTTAAAATGAAAATGTTTACATCCTATATCGCTTCACTACACAGTCGCCATAACAGTTGTTCCTCAGTGCTCATTTCCAGACCCTTGGCAGTGTTGAGGGTAAACCCTGAGGTCACGTCCACAACAAACTTCGCAAGGAGAAAAATTTAATGAGGTATGTAGACCTTTCTGGTCTTTTTTGTTTCTTCAGATTATTACTACCAGAAAAATCAGGTGAAAACAAAGGTAGTCTCATGGGATCCTCCGGAGGTAAGCGTTGGATGCCTTTGCTTGTATGTCAATATAAGATCGAGTTGAGGGGAACTGTGTCTTTATCATCATTCACCAGAGAATAGATTTGAGAGCCACCAAAGAACAGGTAAATTGCTTTTCAGTGAAGCCTGAATCACTACTAAAGTTTTTTTTAATTGATATCGGTGAATTTTAGTGGGTTGCTGGATTGTTTTTTCCTTCGATGGAGGTCTAACAATGAGTGTTGTTCTCGCTACATAACAAACACTTGGTTGTGGACCTCAAAGATATCGTACGTGCCTTTTATTAACGCTTGAGGTAAAGCGGGAATGAATTATTTTGGTATAAAATGTGTTTAATTCCGAGAATTGATTCGAATTTAACGTTGAAATTGTAAAATTCAACTACACTCTTGACAAGTTCTAATGTTGCAGGTTTAAATTTGAACATAAACAGATTTAATATTAAATTCTTTCTTATCACCTCTCTTGCCGTCAAAAGGCCTCACGGATTGTATTTGATACAGTTTGGTGCAGCAATCTATAAAAATTTTTTAAAAAAAAGGGTCTTTTCACTCGACGCTTGTAATGTTTATCTACGAGCTGAATGCTCGTCAGATCGTGATGATAATTCAGTGTTCAATGATCTCGCTTTAACACGCATCGGGGGGTGAGTCAGTTTATCAGATGCCTTTCTACAAATCGTTACTTTTTCAAAGTTAAGCTTGCTTTTAATCTAAATTGATGAACGACTCGAAACTAAAACTAGATTTACATCAGATTTTTTAACCTACCATTGCGGAATGATCTTTTCATTAGTTTACATTTGTAATCGAATTAAGTTTTGATTGACTTCGGTCGAAAACTTTGCCCACATAATCCAGGGTTCTCGCGTCGTGGTGTCGTATTTTGACAGTGGAGTCTTGAATTTGCCTACAATGCTGATAAGATTCAAAATTTGGAGGAAGTACTCTTGAGCGAACCCTGTCATTTAATATTGTTCTTTGGTAAGCTGAGTAAATTAACCGAAATTTGCATGATTGTAATCAAACAGAGTCTAAATATTTTGGAAGTTCCTGATGCTTCGCTCTGCAATTAGGTTGAAACAAAAATTACGGATTCAATTTCCTTTCCTCGTGTTTAACCTAGGTGTCGACGTGAGGAAGGAACTAATGGTGAAGGACAATTCATTTTCATGCTCTTCAGTACCGGAATTATTCACATTGTTTTTTCGACGAATGGAGACGAACTCTTTCCATTCAGCTCGGAACTTATGGCAGAGCTCTCGAACAAAGCTTGTAAATTTTTTAAGACAACTGACCAATTTGTTTATTTGCAATTTTTCAATTTTTAAGTTTGTTGGTTCTTTTGAATTTTCAATGGCATCAATGTGTATTTTACTGGTGAAGAATTGTATCGGATATTCATACAGATTTATTACCTTTTCTAAGATCATTCAATTTTTCACTTGTTCGTCGTTCACTTTTAGTTGTGAAAATGTACATGCGCAACCGTGACAATGGAAGTTCCATTTCATTTAGCTGCTTCATTAAGACAGGGGCAAAACGGTTCTTTATAGAATACGCAAGCTAGGGAAAATTTGTCCACTAAAAAAAAAGAAACAGAAAACCGATAGAAACGTGTAGTATTTCTAAAGAGATACTCTTAAGAGGTTTGAAAGAACCTTCCGGTGGAAATTCTGAGAACATTTCTGACTGCCTGGAATTTAGTCCATTTAAGATCGCGCCTGACTGCCGGTCTTTCATCCACTGCCTTCTATTTGAACCACGGAAAAATGAAACCTACTTCTCTCTGATGAGAGACTTTCGGGATCCTTTCTGCAGAATAGGCATATTATCTTCTGGGACAGATATCTAAAAACTCTTGATTACAAGACCTTACAACCTCCACTGCTCATCCCTTCACCATCTTCAAGATAAAAAAATTACTCTGTTTTAATTTCCGTTTCCATAAGCCCTCCTTCACTAAATTCGATTAATTAATTAGTATAACCTCTTACAAACCACCTTGACAGAGTTTGGCTTTTTTTTCTTCGAATACAGTTTTTAGAGCTTTTGTGAAGCTTTTGAATCATAACTTAAAACGAAAATGAAATCAAAAGTAAGAATTTGCCTTTATGGCGGTGCTTGTTGCTAAACAATATATTATGAGCGGCCGGATTTCGCAGTCTCCCGTGATTTTATCGTGGTTAATAACCTTTTCATCGTAAAAAGCAATATTCTTGAATAAACATCAAGTGAACGTAGCTTTTGGAGACCTTAGCGGAGAAGCTGAAATTAATAGTTGTCCAGTTGTACCGAGTGGTTTCTTTGATAGTTTAGCCATAAGCAGAATTGATCAAGATATGTAAGTTTATACTCCGGAGAGGTTTTAAATAGTTCAGTTGTCATGCGTTTACTTAAATGTGTCGATTGATGTTGTTTGGTTTTTGTTTGAAATTAAAAGTTGTTCACGAGCTATTTATTGCTTTTCGGTGATTGGTTCAAAGAGGCTTGGGTATAAATGCAATGTAAACGGACATAGACTGATATACCCAGAGGATTACCGAAGTTCACAGAACTTGACTTTGCTCTCGTCTTCAATGATAAACCGGCAGACAAATTGACAAGGTCGCCGCGATTGAATTTGAAATTTCCCGGGATCTTTGGTAGCCACATGCCTTAGAAAGTTATGTAATGTTGAATTTTGGATCCAATCATTCAAAACAAGATCTTCCTTGTTTGAGCTTTTTAGACTGGTTTTCACTTTCCGTACACTGACATTTTTCAGCCGACATGGCGGACATAAACATCGCTGGTGTGGTATCCATTGTAGTGTTTTATCTGTTAATCCTTCTTGTTGGCTTGTGGGCGGCTCGCCGGCGGAAGGAAGGCGAAGAAGAAGCCATGCTAGCCGGCAGAAGTATTGGAATATTCGTGGGCACATTCACTATGACAGGTAAAAGAGATGTTCTGACATGCGAGAGAATCGTAACTATTTTTTTGCATTTTCAGATTCCATAGCGAATGCAGTTGTAGTCAGTAGGATATTTAAACGATAAAGCTGAACAAATGCTGTTCACACCCGGAAGTATCTGATTGCTCATAATTAATCTCGTCGTCATTGATTTGTCTTTCTGTTCTTTTGTTAAGTTTTTTGTTAATTTTGTAGTTTTGTTTTTCATTTACATTCTTATTCACTCTTTCTAACGATGTTTCAACTTAGGAAAGTTAACCAATTAATTTCTTTTTTTTCTAAGATAACCATTAAAATTATAGCAATTTTATTTGCTCAGTACGAAATAAAGCTTGATTCTTGATCCCGCAAATAGTTATGACGCTCACCAAGGCGGTCACAACAACAATTAACGATGTAAGACTTATTTTAACTACCAGCAACCAGAAATTGAAAGATTTCATATAATCAACCTTATATTGACACATTTGTTCTGCAAACTAGATACACCCTACAAACATCGATAAATTACGAAACGAGATGCAATTTTCAGTCGAGGTTTATTCAATCAAAGACCGTAAGCAAACAGCGACCGCGACGGCATCGAGGATGAGACAAAACAAAAGATCTAATGAGCTGAACAATAGCTCAGCACGTGCGTTCTAAAACTTTGCACGTTTCTAAGCCGTCCTCTGTAAAACAACAGCGTGAAATCACCAAGATTTTCACAGGAAATTCTTAAATTTTCCATTTGGAACTCAACACTGCTCACGCATAGTATGCTGAAGTTGAGGTGTGGCGCCGTTAGAGATGGTAAACACACCCAACCCTTAGCGAAATTTGTACTAAAAATATAAATTCATTTTCCAATCGACATCTTCCTCGGCGTTTTCGTTTTGATTGTTTAAGGTCCCTAACAAAATTTAAGATGTTAATTATACGTGCTTGTTAATTCAATAGCGACGTGGGTGGGTGGAGGATACATCAATGGTACTGCAGAAGTGGTGTTTGACTCTACACAAGGTCTTGTCTGGACGCAGGCTCCTTGGGGGTACGCTTTAAGTTTGGTTATAGGTAAGTAGCAAAAGAAAGACAACACTCTATCACTGTGATTGAAGGGAACTGGAATGGAAATAATTCTTAGCACACGAACACTAAAGCTTCCCTAAATAAGCTTGCAGTTGAGCAAGTTCGCTCGGGAAGGAAATGGCCGGCTGGCGAGTTACGTTCCTGGTGTTAAACCATTTGAACTCAGAGGCAGAGAATGATATAACGTGGTATCCTTCTTTTTTTAAGGTGGCTTGGCCTTTGCCAAAATCATGCGCAAAAAAGAGTACTTCACAATGCTAGATCCATTCCAAGAAAAGTACGGTCCGCGCATGGGCGGACTGTTGTACATTCCTGCTCTGTTGGGTGAAATATTTTGGTCTGCAGCTATACTGGCTGCTCTTGGAGCAACCATCAGTGTAGTGATCAGCCTGAATGAAACTACTTCCGTCATTGTGTCCGCGTGTATCGCTATTTTCTACACTCTGATTGGTGGACTGTACTCTGTAGCTTACACAGATGTCATCCAGCTCATCTGCATCTTCGTGGGATTGGTGAGTATGGTCAGCGGCTTCAAGGAGCTACGTTATATATATTATTATGGCGTGACAAGTTTATTTAAAATGAGGAAAACCCTGATCTAATCAGTTGCAAGGGTACGCAAACACCAATAAATAATGCAGACGCGGAAAAGGAAAAGGGATGGGTATGGATGTCGAAGATGTTCATTGGTTGCATGACCAAATTGAAGACGGTAAACTCAATTTTTAAGATGGAAAGACCGTCTGTAGCTTCTGAAAATGTTTGTTTCTAAATAGGTAATTTTATTATAACTTCTGTTTTGTCTGTGGGGAAGGAAACATCGTTGTATTAAGTAACAGTCTTTCCAATTTCGCCGTCATTGTGCAGTTCATTTTGTTTCATAAGTCTGGATGTTTGTGATATTTTGTGCACTGACCCCCTGGATCTGTTCCTTACAGTGGCTTAGTATTCCCTTCGCCATGACACATTCAGCAGTGAGCAGTATTTCAGACACATCCACTCAGTGGGTGGGTGAATGGTCCAACACGTATGTTGGAGTATGGCTCGACTATGCCCTATTACTGGTAAATATCTTTCTTTTTCTATTATATTATGCATTTTTACTTTGTAAAGCCAAAGAATAATTTGGTTATTAAGTGAGTCTGATAAGGAGATACAATCAGGTAATATTAACGACTCTCCTACGTTCTCTAATCGTGTGCGGAGTATTGATAATGGTCTGGTAATCATGTCAAGATACTTGTTACTACCATACACCGCATCCATGGGAATTAAATGTGGTTAGACACTTCACACTGTTTGTATATTATTATTAACTCTTTGCACCTAACATCTTCTAACATTTTCCATAAAGTTGTCTTTGCATTTTCCAAGGTACTGACAAGGAGAATTTGCTAAACAATCAAGAACCTTTTAATGATCATTTGTTCTCGTGACCCTTTGATTCAGGGGTGGTATTGAAAGGAGAAATTAGACGCTGGTCACACTTGGGTGCCAGATGGTTAAGTCAGTCCGAGGTATTATATCAAGTTACTGGAAAAATCGACCAGTTCTCGCTACAAGTTTTGAAGAACATTCTGTCGGTAAGGTTTTGGAATATTGCCGAGAGTGATATGTGTTTTATCTCCTGTGCAGACATTTGGTGGTATTCCATGGCAAGTTTACTTTCAGCGAGTGCTGTCATGTAAAACAGCGGCCAAGGCCCAGGGTCTTTCCTTCGCAGCTTCGTTTGGATGTCTCTTAATGGCTATCCCAGCAGTTCTCATTGGAGCGATTGGTCGCTCTGCAGGTAAACACTAGATTCCGTACTCAAGAAATAAAAATTCCATCATCTTCCAGGACTTTTTAGCCTTAATGTGCATGTGGTTCTTTCTGCAAAAGTCTATGCTCTTGGATTTTTTTGTATTGTCTTCAAGTACAAGAAAAAAAACAATGTTGGCAACGTTTTGAATGAGTTTGTCTTTCATGCAAATTTGAAATATTTCATCAACGAAATCAAGCAAGTGTAACGAAATCAAGCATAACTACTAGCTATGATGAGAGTTGTTGGTCTTTTAAAGGCAACTAAATTCATCACTGAAAGAAATTCCTGAATCTTATGTAATGTCACTCTAGACTGGACCAGAACAGATTTCTTCGAGCCGTCTGGTAATGCCACCAATCAGACGGCGGAGTTTAAAAAGTCACTAGTCCTTCCCATGGTGCTTCAGTACCTCACACCAACAGCTGTTTCCTTTATTGGTCTGGGTGCTGTGTCTGCCGCTGTCATGTCTTCGGCAGACTCCAGTATCCTGTCCGCCAGCTCCATGTTTTCTCGAAACGTCTATAAACTTATCTTTAGACAAAAGGTAAGTGATAAAAGTTAGTGATCACAACGTCTTCACTGACGTATCTTCGTTTTTTGGATTTGATGTGGCTTCTATGAATATTCTTTTGGGATCTCTAGTTTTGTAAGGTGGTTTTTTAAACACTTCCTTAGAACACTGCCCCATTATTTACTGACGATTTAAAATTCGTCAAACCCTCCTTGAGTCGATTGCGTTGACACCAATTAAATTATTGGGGAGAGTTTGCCTGGCAGTAATCTTCGAAGCACATGAACATGTTTACGGCACAAAATGCCTTCTCTCTTCATAAAAGTTAACGATTTTACCAAAGTCTTTAAAAATTCTAGTTTCCTTGGCAGCTGTTGCTTGGTCGACATGCGCTCTGACGATGAGCTAACGCTCGAAACGTCAGCTCAAGAAATTTTTACGTTGGTCAATTTTCTTTACTCTCTTAGTTGATAAAACCACATCATTTTGTAATACCTCTCACCGACGCAGCACCGCAGTTTCTTTAGAGACTTGCCACTTCGATGCTTGGTGTCGCTTGACGGAGCTAAACGAAAGCCTCTAGACAGACGTAATAAATTGTGTACTGTACATAGTTCTTAGTTCCTCCCTACCCGAGATCTAGAACATGTGAAACGTTGAGTAACAACGCTGAACTAAAGTACAAACCTTATTTGTTAGGCCTCCGAGAAGGAAGTTGTGTGGGTGATGCGTATAGCCATATTTGGAGTTGGCGCGGCCGCTACAGCCATGGCTCTAGCAGTGGGCTCTATCTACTCCTTATGGGCCTTGTGCAGTGACTTGGTGTATGTGATCCTATTTCCGCAGCTATGCTGTGTCATCTATTTTGATGGCACCAACACCTACGGCTCCTTCATGGGTTACGTACTGGGCATGGTGCTGCGCATTGGGGGAGGGGAAGATAAAATTGGTATTCCACCGTTCATAAAGTACCCGTATTATAATGACTTGGATGGCCAGTTGTTTCCTTTCCGTACCTTAGCTATGGTCGTTTCATTTGTTACAATTGTTGTGGTGTCGTATTTGCTGAAGTTTTTGTTTGAGAGAGAAATTGTACCACTGAAGTTTGATTTTCTTCGTTGCTTTAGGCGATACGATTTAGAAAAACAAACAGGTGCCGAGAAATACGCCATGGAGGAAAGCAGGGCGTATTGACCTTTGATCATCTACGACATTTTGAAAATATGAGTCTGTTGCAAGACTTCCAGACATTTTATTTTTGACCACTCGATTCAACGGCCTGAAGCTAATAAGTGATCAAGTTTTCACAGATCAAAACCCGTCAGTTACACCAAACCTACAGTGACAACGAATCATTGTTAAGAGCAGAACGAAAATAAGTAACAATTTTCGAGTGCCAGGAAATAAGGATATTTAAATCGTGGTAGGTTTTGCGTACTATCTTATAGAGTGATCAGTAACGTGAGATTTTTCTTCGGCTAATCACAAACTTTTGTATGAATGTAACGAAAGCTTTACTGCCGAATGTAAAATGAAATGAAAATCTTCAGAAGTGTAACAACGTAAATGTCAGTTTTTGGCTTCGATACAAAAAGTCTTGCTATGAACCGAGACGACTTAGTGGTCGATAAGATTGGAAATCAAACCTATCTCTGAGGTATGCGTGACATATGCTTCCTGCCCTCGGCGTGTTGACGTAATCGTCACGTTGTGTTCTTTGACTGTGACCCTCCGTTGGTTCGGGTGTTTGGCAACACTGAAATTGAAACTAGACACTTTTAACACATTATCTACAAATAAAACGACTTTATCATTTGAATAGTCACTCAGTAATCCGCTTTTTTGGGGATTATTTTATAAAACCTTAATTGTACAGATCGCAGACTTGTTCATTCAAGTTTCAACTGTTTGTAACTTTATTTGCCTTTGATCGTGTATTTACTTATCGGTGTATTAAAATCATTGTCAGTGACTCTTTGCATTAATGCAGGCTTGCTCTTTGTTTTGCTAGACCTTCAGAGATTAGTGATAGAGAAGTCTTTCGTGATAGTCGGCTGTGGCGAAGGCCAGATAAATTATGCCGGTATAATTTTGGGCATAATGTTGTAGTCAAAGCTTGAAGCATAATCTCGGCTTAATGACAAAACTTCTAAACAATTCTGTTGATCTTACTGTTCAACAAGACATCACTTCTGTAGTTTGAGTACTGTGAACGGTGAGCCTGCTTTTCTTGCTTGAAGTTTAGGAGTTTGATCCAGTAAATTGTTTTGTTCTGAACTTTGGCGAACCTTTTATACTTAGCAAGTTTACCTGTTGTTGGTAGGAATGGGGAGGTGCGGGGGGGGGGGGGGGGGGGGGTGGGGTGGTGAGCTATTATTTTGAATCAATAGACTGAGCAGAATGAAACATCTTGAACATAATATTTGGCCTAATACCATATTTTCAGCATTGACGCCCACAAGCTTAACGCTCAAATTTTCGTGCTTAATCCACCTAATCCAAGCTATAACTGTTTGGCATGCACGATAACAACACGCATTGTCTGACACGCTCTTTTCACGTGCTTTTGCTCACTGTAATCACATGATGTTTTATTCCTCGCGTACTACTGAAGTTCACTTGCTACATCGACAGCCAAGTGTATACTTTTCAGACGGGGGGCACGAACTTTACTGATGCCTTAGCTGATAACGTAGCAGTTAACACTTAATGGCTTTCCTTTAGCTTTTCATTTCTAGATGCTTCCTTATTAGGACCAAGAAGTATGAGTATGAATCACGTGTTTTCATCTAGGATAGAAATTTGCTGCCCGTCGAAGTCAGCGTCTTCCTTCTCGCAGTTTGAGTTGACTAATAGGAAGAGAAGAACCTTAATGGGAATGTTCACCGACTGATGTCGTTGACAACGACACCGCGTTAGCGCGTATGTAAAAACAGTGAAATGACCTCGCTGAATGAGGTTTGTTTTCGCCCAAAATTGATTGCTGTCATCTTTGGCATCAATAACCGTCCCAATAATCTTGCAATTCCAGTCCCTCCGTGGTTGAAAGTCGACTGAAGCCATAATCATTTTTGTTACCTAAATAGGGGTCACTTGGAAAATATGACTTTGGGAAATTTTATTATCGATGAGGGGGGATATGCTTATTTAAATTATATAACTGGATAGTTCCCCCATCGTACCTTAGAGGTACAATTTCGCCCTATACCTCGCTCCCTCAGGGAGTGTACTCAAATTCGTCTAAGAAACTTTGAAAACAATCACGTCCCCATTGTGCAACATAATCAAAACATAATCCATTGACCCACATCCGCAGCTTTAAGTTTGTCTAAGGAAAACAAAGCCAAGTTATAAATAGAAGTTATTTGAGAAGAAGATTTGACTCTGTCTTTGAAATGTCTTATTCCAGCAAAATGATATTTTTGCTTACGAACAAAACTAACCTTGAAACTCTTGTAAGCCACAGTTTAAGCTCCACCGGCAGACGGCAGAGTGTAGTGCACAATAAACTTGCATCTTATCTCACCTTTAGGCTGATGTAGTTTGAAAAGGAGCCAAAGATTGAATTGTTCCAAGCACAACTACCCCGGGGGGCGCTTTTACTCGGAATCAGTTTTCTTGTTTCGTGTTAAGCTTAGCTACCAACGTCCACTTGTTGCCTTTTTTTGATAGTCAATTTTGTTTCTAAGGGAATACTTGAAAACATGCCAAAGCACCGATTAAATTAGTTCACATTTTTCGTTTATCACATTAAGTTTGGACATATATGTTTCTACTCTCTCTGTTGCATTAAGTGTACCCTCCCCCCCACCTCCTCTGAGGTGGAGGGGGGGGAGGGTACAATTACTTTCGTTGGCTTTCGCCAGGGGTCACATCTCCGCGAATGACCTCTAAACATAAGTTTGACAAGACAAACGTTTTCTATTTCATCAATCTGACGTTTGGCTTTATACATTCTTTGGTTACTGACTTCAGAACTTTGCTCCAACGGCAGCTGCAACAACAACAACGACGCTTTACCACAGGTGAGCTGTGCCTCAGTTCTGAGTCCGTATCATAGACCATACCACCTAAGTTTTCATTTAAGTAACACTAGAATGCCTTCTAACTCGGAAAAAGCAAGATAATAAGGGAACAGTTTTACAAAATTTGCCCATCCGGCCCACTTATTAGGAACCTTAAGCAAACCACGATAGCGACAGCAACGAGGACGTGTCAAAAAAAGAAATGATCTTTTGAGCAGAACGATAGCTTACCCCGTGCATTTTAAAACTTTGTAGATTTCATAGACGTCCTCTACAACACAGAAACGCTAAGTCATCAAAATTTGCGTGGATTAAGGACGCCGGAAACCCGACGGAAAATTATTTTTGAACACAACGCTGCTTACATTTATTAAGCTGAAGTTCAGGTATGGCAACGAAAAAGATGGTAAACACGTCCAGCCATTCGTAAAATTCTAACTGAAAATAAGAATTCATTTTTTGATCGACTTCTTCCTCGGTGTTGCTGTCGTGACTTCTGAATTCGGGTATACCGGTGATTGCACTAATCGAGAATTTTATGCTCGCACTCAACGTTTACAAATCTGTTCATGAAAAAGAATCTAAAATGTTTTCGAGAAGTAAGTAAATGGGGTCATTCTAAGACTTATCCAGATAGTTGGTGCAATTAATACGTTCAGTCACGGTTGTACAACTCATGCAAATGAAGATGAACAAGATCACATAACGTTGTCCCCGCTTGTTTTGCAAGTCTCGCTGTCAGTAGTTGATATTTTTATAAGATGGTTTATTTTCTGTTTAGTGCTAGTGATGGCTGACTCCTTCAGATTAAGTTTCCTGATTATCATAGAAACTGCCGAATTTATTTCTTTAAAAATTCAAAACTACAATTCTAAGAACAAAGTTTAGTTGTCTGGAATCAAATGTTGTAAAATCAAACAAGTTCCTTCGAACTGATTAAATTCCGCGCGTAACTTTGTTTTTTTTGTTTTTTTTTTTTTTTCAGAAAAGCTTGCATCTCTGAAACTGGTAGTTTCTATCGCCTTAACTCTTTGACGCATTTTCGGACAAAAGTGATCAGTTTTAACGAGGTAATCACGGATTTAAAGTTCAGGTCAAAGTCCTGATCTGTTTGTTTGCTTATTTAAGTGAGTTTAAATAGTACTGGCATTGCGCCAGTCTCAGCCGTCACCGAGTTGCGTTCTGAGATTTATTAGCAAAACTTTCTACAATAGTTCTTCCTGATCAAATCTGACATACTAAGCTCGGATCAAGCAACCTGCACGAAGCTATCCTCCATTTTAATCGATTTTGTCTGGCGCTAATCGGATAACAGATGAGTAAGCAAATTAGTGTTCAGGATTGCAGAGATTCTTGCTTATGCAATACATGGGACAAAAAATACATTTGTAGCATTGTTTCTAGTCACAGCGCTCATAATGATATGCAAAGTTGAAAAACGCAACAACAATACAGTTTCATCAGCTAGGTGAACATTACAATTGTTCAATCCATTCTTATCTGCTTTTTACAGCGCAGCGCGGAGGAGAGAATGACCCTGTCTCCACCCTCATCGTTTAGGCTGTACTGCTGTATCCCTCTCCCCTGAGTTCCTCAATCATTATTCCCATACCTTTGAATGAGTATGAATGCGAGTGATTTGAAATAGAATACTTCTATTGATGATGGGCAAATACAGGGGAAGTTTTTTTTTTGTATAGACTACATAAGTTTGTAGCTCTTCATCCATTTCCTTTACGGTAATGTGATGGTGTACAATGGCATTATGCGTAATGCAAAGACAGATGTAGTAAAAGGGGGCACAAATACAAAAAGAGCAACAAAACAACAATCTAACAACTCAAAAACCAATACAAATTAGTATAAATGTCCTTTGTGCGCTGACCTTAGGTGCTATGTGCATGGTATACTAATGTAATCTATGATAACACTATTATAACACAAAATGTTATTTAATCGAGTCGTCTCAGTTCTCTTTAATCCTTACTCAAGTTTCACTTTGGAGTAAGAAGAGAAAAACACGAATTCCTCTCACTCTTTCAGATTTTTTTCGGCGTGTATCTACTCTGAGTGTTGCAACGAATGAACCCGAAACAAAATGATTCACTCCAAGCCAAATGTCCTGTCTTCATGGTTCGCCAACTATTTTGAACTGATCCATCTTTTCCCTTCGTAAGGTTACCCGCTGGTTCACTTTCCCACGGCCTTAGATTTTCCCTGTCGGAACCCAGCAGTTTCAGAGCTAATCATTCCTTTAAAATTGCCAGAACCTCATCAGCTGATCACTTCATCTGACAAATTTGATAAATTCCAAACGGCCAGTGTGATCCTTAATGGTATTTATATAACTTGGAGCTACTTTAGACTACTAACGTTAAAGGTCAAGGTTTTTTATGAAATTTCCAATACGCATTGGGATTTGCATCATGTTTATGACTTCGCATAGCTGGATACAACTATTACCAAATTCGAAGCAAAGCTTAAAAGACTAATTTCACTTTGCGGTTCTTTACGCTCAGTCTGGAAAACCGCGAACAACCTTTTCAAAAAATTATTTGGCAAAGAAAACTGAATAGCGACCCAGATTTTTAATATCAACTCACAAACATATCACACTTAAAACCAACCTCATATTTGACTGTAATCTTGAAAAGATATCAAAACTAATCCTTATACAGAGTACATTGAAAGTTGTAGATGAGAAAATGATTATCAGGACCAAAATAAAAGAACAGGTACCCTATTTTTCCTGTCACCACGGGATAAACTAAGCACTTAGCCTAAATAAGCTGAT